TACTGGTCTCAAAGCACCAGTGAGAGCGAAGCAAGAAGGCATTTTGGATGTAGCACAAACCGTGCACAGCAGCAGCTTATGGTCTCTGACATATGTAAGTGTAAAATATTATCTTCTTCTCTGCAACCATAGTTTCCATTTACTAATATATGTCATATATATACATGGAGGCCCAGAGAGGACAAGGGAAAGGAGGGACAGATATCTCCGACAGCACTGTGCTGCCTGGGTCGCAGCTCAACCTCCTCCAACATCCTGTCATAAGAGCATAGCGTGAGGACATCCAGTTTTAGTTATGGGACCAAAGGATCCAGGAAGCGCCTCCACTGGAGGCAGTCTTAGTCCTGCAATGTAAACATTGCAGTTTATCTGGAATAGCAATGTTTAACACTGCAGCACTAAGTGCAATAGGGACACTGTACCCAGACCATTTCAATGAGCTGAAGTGGTCTTGGTGCCTATAGTGTCCCTTTAATAACTCCTACTGCACATTGCAAAGTTTAGGCTCAACTGCCCAGTGTCCACCATCTTCTTTAAAGCACTCAGTCACTCTGTAGCTGACACCTGAGGCCAGGGAGGACTGACAACTCATGGGGCCCCTGGTGCCCGCCATCTTGCAAGCTATACTCATATAAGCCCCACCCAAATACATGCACCACCCACATGTACATCCTTGTGTTACAGAAAAGGTTGCAATATGGGGTTTTAGGGCATTAGTGAGGGACTTTAACTGTAGTGTGCTGGACTGGGGCTGTTGAATAGAGGTTGAATAGGAGCTGTAGTGGGGGCTTAGGGGCTTTCATTGGGGAATAAAGACTGTAGTGTGGGGTTTGGGTGGTTAGGGGTTGTAATGTGGGGCAAGAGGTTTAAATGGGGGTACAGGGGCTGTAGCTGGAATATAGATGCTGTAGTGTGTGAATAGGGGCTGTAGTGGGCAGACAGAGACTGTCATGGATGACTAGGGGCTGTAGGAATAAGGGCTGTAATGGTGGGAGAGGGGCTCTTATTGCAGTATAATTGCTGATGGGAATGAAAAATATATATATTAAAAATTACAACTAAATAAAGTTATTCTCCCCTCTCTGCTTATCCTGGGTATGTTGCAGGGGTTAATAACAGCAATGCTTTAAATGCCAGAGCTCATGGGAGGAACGCTTGTTCGGGTTTGGGCGTGTCCAGATTTGCCACTATGCATGCGCGGCAGTCTTCATTCAAAATAGAGTACCACGATTGGCCAAAGCAGAGGGCCCCAAAACCCAGCAGCATGACTGGACCTCTCGTGGGCACACTCCCAAGCCCTCGGGCATTGCCTGACCGCTCAATCCGCCCCGGCCTGAGACACACAACTTGCTGTAGCTAATTGAAAAGTTGTGAGGCTCCACACTGCAGGGCTGGGGCTGTGACTCTGAGATCTGAGCTGATTCTGATTTCAAAATTTTTCAATACGTCATATGGTTGCTTCTGTTAACTATGTCAGCTACTTCTTGGCTCCATATTGACCCTGCAAAGATAATAAGGAATCTATCAATATCCTATTGCTTTCACAATGTGCACATTGTGTGCTAAGAGCTAACAGTGAATCCGGAGTAGCAGACATGTTTCATACTAGCAGCAGCAAGCAACATTTATTTACTAGATATCTAAAGTTGTCTTAGCAGGAGCTCTACTGAAGATGAGAAGATGAAGATGAGATCATAAATGAGAGAGCTGGAACATTGTACAGAGACATTGTACTGTATGGCCATCGCTGCAGTCACTGTCCGCACCATTGCATCATGAAACTCGCCTTTGTGTTCAGGAAAAAACAGGGGGAAAAAAACACCATGATACCCTATCTGTTCTCTTATATAATATTAAAATGCACTGGCACCAGTACTGCAAATGGCTCATAAGAGCTTGCATTTTACCTTCATTTCTGCTCCTCTCTGTATGCTTCCTCTATGTTAACTGCCAGAAGCAAAGGACAGAGCGTCTAACAATGAAGGACAGGGAGTCAACAAGTTTATATTTGTTAAATAAGTGTTACGTAAACATCCCATTGTACAGCGCTGCAGAATTTGTTGGTGCTTTATAAATAATAATCTTAAATATCCTGAGTAGCGACAGTTCCCTTTTAAAACGTTCCCCGAGTGGGACAGTAACAGGCCCGGGCTGGCCATCGGCATACCGGGGAAATGCCCGGTGGGCCGCGATGGCCGTGAGGCTGAGGCCGGCAGGGAGATCACAGGATCTCCCCGGCCGGCCCCTGCAGGACCAGCGCTATCCGAGCGCCGGCCCTGCTATGTGCCTCCGTGGGCTGGTGGGGAGATCAAAGATCTCCCTCACCGGCCCAGAGGCACTGTTACACGCGGCCGCAGGCTGGGGAGGGAGGGAGGAGAGAGGACCGGCGGAGCTCTAACCAGCAGCTCCACCCGGTCCTCTCGCGGGATTCTGAGCGTTGCCGCGGGGGGCATAACTTTTTTTTTTTTTAATTATTAATAATTATTAATAAAATAAAAAAATATATATTTAAAATAATTTCCCTAACAGCCCCCCCAGACACACACAGCCAGGCCCGGACTGGCCATCGGGCATACCGGGCAAATGCCCGGTGGGCCGCGATGGCCGTGGGGCCGAGGCCGGCAGGGGATCTCCCCGGCCGGCCCCTGCAGGGCCAGCGCTATCTGAGCGCCGGCCCTGCTGTGTGCCTCCGTGGGCCGGTGGGGAGATCAAAGATCTCCCTCACCAGCCCAGAGGCACTGTTACATGTGGCCGCAGGCTGGGGAGGGAGGGCGGGAGGGAGGAGAGAGGACCCGGCGGAGTTCTAACTAGCAGCTCCGCCGGTCCTCTCGCGGGATTCTGAGCGTTGCCGCGGTTACCACGGCAACGCTAAGATCTCGCGAGAGTGAACTCTAGCCTGCAGGCTAGAGTTCACTCTCACCACTGGACCACCAGGGAAGGCAGCATGGCTCCCCTCATGGCACCCCTGGCAGAACGGATCTCCTCCCCCCTCCCAGGCTAAAGGTAAGAAGGGAGGGGGGGGGGACATAACTTTTTAAAAAAAAATTATTAATAAAAATATATATATATATTTAAAATAAATTCCCAAACAGCACCCCCAGATACAAACACAGCACCCCCAGATACACACACAGCACCCTAGATACACACACAGCACCCCAGACACACACAGCACCCCCAGACACACACAGCACCTTAGATACACACAGCACCTCCAGATACACACACAGCACCCCCAAACACACACAGCACCCCCAGACACACACACAGCACCCCCAGACACACACAGCACCCCCAGACACACACACACAGCACCCCAGATACACACACAGCACCCCCAGACACACACAGCACACCCAGAGACACATATACATATATATATATATATATATATTATATATATTATATAAAATAACCCTCAGTGAGTTAACAGACAAAGAAAATTAGAAACCTTGAATGTGACGGCAGATAAAAACACCCTCACGCACAGCACCCCTCTTACACAATCTTCTATACACACTCTGGGTCCTTTACACACTAGATCTCTTACACACACACAGTGCACCACCTACACACACACTACATTCCTTGTAAGGAAACACATACAACATTCTCTAAACACACCCTCTCTACAACCCCTACACACACTACATCACCTATACACACACACTACTGCCCGTATGCACACACTCGCTACATCCCCTATAACACTATGCCCCTATACACGCATTCTCTACAGCCCATAGCTACACATATTACACCACACATATTACACCTATTTACACAATACCACACCACACTCTACACACAGGCAATCCCACAAGCAGGCGCCAAACACATGCACCATACACTTTCCATACACCCCCAAACACACAGCACCCCCAGATACACACACAGCGCACCCAGACACACAGCACCCCCAGACACACACAGTACCCCCAGATACACACACAGCACCCCCAGACACACAGCACCCCCAGACACACACAGTACCCCCAGATACACACACAGCACCCCCAGATACACACACAGCACCCCAGATAAACACCCAGCACCCCCAGATGCACACCCAGCACCCCCAGATACACACACAGCACCCCCAGACACACACAGCACACCCAGATCACACACTAGATCTCTTACACACACACAGTGCACCACCTACACACACACTACATTCCTTGTAAGGAAACACATACAACATTCTCTAAACACACCCTCTCTACAACCCCTACACACACTACATCACCTATACACACACACTACTGCCCGTATGCACACACTCGCTACATCCCCTATAACACTATGCCCCTATACACGCATTCTCTACAGCCCATAGCTACACATATTACACCACACATATTACACCTATTTACACAATACCACACCACACTCTACACACAGGCAATCCCACAAGCAGGCGCCAAACACATGCACCATACACTTTCCATACACCCCCAAACACACAGCACCCCCAGATACACACACAGCGCACCCAGACACACAGCACCCCCAGACACACACAGTACCCCCAGATACACACACAGCACCCCCAGACACACAGCACCCCCAGACACACACAGTACCCCCAGATACACACACAGCACCCCCAGATACACACACAGCACCCCAGATAAACACCCAGCACCCCCAGATGCACACCCAGCACCCCCAGATACACACACAGCACCCCCAGACACACACAGCACACCCAGATCACACACTAGATCTCTTACACACACACAGTGCACCACCTACACACACACTACATTCCTTGTAAGGAAACACATACAACATTCTCTAAACACACCCTCTCTACAACCCCTACACACACTACATCACCTATACACACACACTACTGCCCGTATGCACACACTCGCTACATCCCCTATAACACTATGCCCCTATACACGCATTCTCTACAGCCCATAGCCACACATATTACACCACAAAATTGACCTATTTACACAATACCACACCACACTCTACACACAGGCAATCCCACAAGCAGGCGCCAAACACATGCACCATACACTTTCCTGGCCCTTTTGTCCTCTGGTATCCCACTTGTGGAGACACCAGAGACAATTTAAAAGCAAACACAGCACAAGCATGTTATTACATTTGCTTGCGCTGCGCAGAACAAATACAGGGCCTTTTTCTAATGCCAGAGCTCTTCAGCGGGGCTCTGGGCATTGAACCAACATGCTCACTTTGAGAGGGGCGTGCTTGTCATTAGTGATGACAAACACACCCTCTCTGGCTCTTCTTTGGGGGCCGACTGAAAATGCCCGCCCACTTTTTTTCAACCGCCCTGCACACAGCCCCCCAGACACAGCCCCCAGACACACACAGCACCCCCACACACACACAGCACCCCCAGACACACACACACAGCAACTGACACATACACAGTAACCTCCCAGACACACACACACACAGCCCCCAGAAACACACAGCACCCAGACACACACACAACACCCCAGACAGACACACACAGCACCCCCAGACACACACACAGCACCCCAGACACACACACAGCACCCAGACACACAGCACCCAGACACACACACAGCACACCCAGCACACCCAGACACACACAGCACCCTAGACACACACACACAGCACACCCAGACACACACAGCACCCCCACACACACACAGCACCCCCAGACACACACAGCACCCCAGACACACACACAGCACCCAGACACACACAGCACACCACAGACACACACAGCGCACCCCAGACACACACAGCACACCCAGACACACACAGCACCCCCAGATGCACACAACACCCTCAGACAGACAGCACCCTCACTCCCACACATATACAACACATATATATTATATAAAATAACCCTCAGTGAGTTAACAGACAAATAAAATTAGAAACCCAGAATGTGACGGCAGATAAAAACACCCTCACACACAGCACTCCTCTTACACAAACACGCTGCGCACCTCACACATACAATACGTCCAAATATATTATATATATATATACACACACATTACGCTCCAGATACACGCTAGATCCCTTACCCTATATGCACTCTTAATCCTCTACACACACACAATCTTCTATACACACTCTGGGTCCTTTACACACTAGATCTCTTACACACCCACTGCACCACCTACACACACACTACATTCCTTGTAAGCAAACACATACAACATTCTCTAAACACACCCTCTCTACACACAGTAGTGTATGTGTATAAGTGACACACACTACGTCACCTATACACACACTACTGCCTGTATGCACACACTCGCTACATCCCCTATAACACTATGCCCCTATACACGCACTCTCTACAGCCCCTAGCCACACATATTACACCACAAAATTGACCTATTTACACAATACCACACCACACTCTACACACAGGCAATCCCACAAGCATGCGCCAAACACATGCACCATACACTTTCCTGGCCCTTTTGTCCTCTGGTGTCCCACTTGTGGAGACACCAGAGACAATTTAAAAGCAAACACAGCGCAAGCATGTTATTACATTTGCTTGCGCTGCGCAGAACAAATACAGGGTATTTTTCTAATGCTAGAGCTCTTCAGCAGGGCTCTGTGCATTGAACCAACATGCTCACTTTCAGAGGGGGTGTACTTGTCATTAGTGATGACAAAACACACCCTCTCTGGCCCCGCCCCCTTCTTGGGGGGCCGCTCTAATTGAAAAATGCCCGGGCCTAATTTTTTTTACCAGTCCGGCCCTGGACAGTAATGATTGCCTACATTGCCCCTGGTACATCACCTGCTCTCCAGCAGTCATTGTCTCTTCAAATTATGTTACGCTTTTAAACACCCTGCTGGCACTGATTGGGTTAAAGGCAGTATGTCTTTAATGCATTGTGGATCCCAGACTAAAGTGCTAAGACAAATAACTTACGCCAAGTGTATCTCAACCCATGTTTCCTCCTCACACCTCTAACACATCCGATTAGTGACCCTTTTATGACGGAGGCTTGGGGGTAGAGGTGGGGGTGTGGCACCACTAGACTCATTTGTTTCCCAAGTTTTTTAACCTGTTATACATTTTGGACCGTATACAGAGCTACAGTATGGGGAAATGAACTGCTGGCGCAACAGCTAGAGTCTGTGTGGGAAGTGAACCAGTTTCCCTGTGAGGGGCTGCCAGACATTGGGAACAAAATAACAATGGGTATTCCCACGCATAGACTGCATAGAGCAGCCAAAACCTGAGCCAACAGCGTTATGACAATATGAGCACTGCATACACAGCGGGAACATGAACATTGTGTGAAGCAAAACACACAAAGCATCACAGCATGCTCAAAGAATACGCACAAAGCACACAGCACGAACACGACACACACAATATGAGCAAAACACAAATTTACGCACAGAACACACACAGAGCCGGGACGAAACATGAACATAGCATGTAATCAGCATGAACACAACACACGAAATGTAAACAGCACAGACCATGGACAGAGAGAAACATATACACAAAGTGTGAAAATAATGCACACACAAAGTGTGAAAGCAACCAGTACACAGTATAAACACAACATGCAAAATGTGAATTGTTTGCATAAAACAAGCACTATATACAGAGTGTGCCAGCAACATACACGTTCTAGCATAAACACAACACACACATTATGGGCACAGCAGAGCATGGACACAAAACACAGACAGGATGTTAACTAAACACACAACATGACACTACACAGCGTTGCATTCTTCCCATTTAGCCTGAGAATCTCCATCACACCTTCAATTGTAATCCTTAATGTCCTCATTTATCTGGTGAATCTGCCAAGTTACTCCATGACTTCAGAACCTGAACATTGACACTAAGAATCTGCCTATTTCTAGCAAGACCCTGACCCGTCACTCATTGGAATCTGCACTTTCCCTGGGACCCTACCCATTCAACCCTTGGAATCGAGCACCCCCTGGAATCTAACAATTTCTTTCCGAGACCCTGCACTACCAGAAATCTACCTACTTTATTTGAGACCCTACCTCTACATCCCCTGAAAATTATTAAAGGAACGCTCCTCGATTGGTTTAACCGCAAAGATTGCATCCAGTGCCGGATCTCCAGTTAAGGGGCGAAGCTGATTGGCCATAGCGTTCAGCTTATGCTCTAAGCCAAGTAGCAGCTCCCCTTTCATGAAAAAGTTACCATTCAAACTATCCATAATTATCCTGCAACATAATCTTCACTTGTTAAGATCTATGAGGAGAGCTGGCTGCTCCAAGGCCAGTTACTCAATGCACAATGCACCCCCTCCCCTCCCAATCCATATATATATATGTATATATATATAAATATTAGATGCCAAAGTACCAGAGTATTACAGTATACAATGGTGTGGTTTTTATTGGGACAACATAATATTTAAAAGACAAACTTTCAAGCGTTTTCCTCTCTTCTGCAGGTCTGAAGCAATACTGATCAATCTGAGTTTAACACTTAAAACAAGTGATGTTAGAGAAGGGGAGAACGGGGGGTGAGTGTGGTGTCACAAATAGCAGAAGATGTGCCTGAAAGTAAAAGGTGCGGGTTGGCTGAGAATATCCAGAAAAAGTAAATAAACACTATATATATATATATATATATATACTCACAAAATTTGGTGTAGGTGATTGGATGGCTGAATGCTAATAGTTTGTGGTATCTAATTGAATGGGTGAATGTGACTGGTTTGGCCATACCTCCAAAGTGTCTCTATTTAGGAGGAACATTCCCTATTTTAGGTCCAAGCAGACAGCTCCTTCAGGCCCTGGGGAATGTGTTGCCGTGGTAACCTGTGACAATGCTCCGATTCGGTGGAGAACTTGATCTGCGGGGTCTGGCCAGAGCAGAAGAATGGTCTGGCCTATGAGGGAGATCTTTGATCTCCTCACTGGCCGTGCTCTCCCTTTTCTACCTGCTGCCCGGGGGCCATTGCCTCTGTGGCATTTTTGGAAAATCCATCTCTGACCCTGAGGCTGTCACAAATAGTGGATTTATTAGAAGGGAGTAGATCTCACATTGGAGAAATCAGTCTGATGCATGCACCTGCTGTTTCACATCGGATATGTATATTCACAAAACAACCGTGAAAAACTGGTAGCATTGCTAAAAAAAAAATATATATACATATAAAATTAAACATTTTATTCTTTATCTTAATTTATAATTAACAGCTATAGTATATTATTATATTAGTATTTATGTAGCGCCAACAGGTTTAGAATTTCTTTACAGTTATAGAATGAGGATATTTAACAATACTTAATTGACTGACAGAAATAATGTAGACAGAGATGACGAAGGTAAAAAATGTCCAATCTAGATAAGTATGATATTGTGCAGCCTGAATCATGCCTAGGAGTTATTTCCTTTGACTTCCTCTATAAAGCTTGTTTTATTCACAGTCATTACTAGCATTGCAACCCATGTCGCCGCTCTATCACAATAGTTTTTTTGTGTTTATACAATCTGCCCATTCACTCTGAGAATCTTCCCATTCTCCACGGGATTAGGATTCCAACTCACAGAGTTCTCGATTGTACTGAGTCTTCGTCATTTGCAGAATATTCTCTAATTCTGTCAAGCTGATGTACACACGGCTATAGGCGTTAGCTGAAGGGGTACCCCAGCCATGTGGTTATTGGGGGACCAGGGGGACCGATTGACATTATATTGGTTGGCACACAGTGCATAGATTGGAGTAGACTAGAATGGGTTACATGATCATTCCAATAGAAATTAAAGGATCCCAGCGATTAGGATGCATATTGTGAAATGATTTAGAGGGTGATTATAGGATAGCCCAGCCATATACAGTCAGGAAGCCAGCTGTTTCCTTCTGCAGGCTCCACTCCTCGAAGTCTCTGAAACAAACAACCAGATCCGGTTATTTTGTCCAACCATGGCTTATGGGAAGCATTGGGAGGGATAGGAGTCAGGACACTGTCATTCGCGCCTGAAGCCGAAGACATGGTTCTACCCAGCTAAGTACAGATTTATAATAGTGTGATAAGAGTTTCGGGCTGGCAAAGCTTGCAACCATCTTTCTTCTGACACAGTACTATAATCCAGTGTACTGAATATCACATCAATGGGAAATACCAAAGGTTGAGAAACACCGTGCACAGAACGCACAATCTGTGTCATTATTCATGCATCCACATACAGATAAAACATGAATTCCAGAAATAAAAAATACTGTGAAAACGAAGCTACACGTTACCTGGTAAGACGTGACTGTACATGCAAATGGTAATATTGATGTTTAATTGCCAAATTAGATAAAGAAAACCCTTTCAGCTATTTACTAAAAGCATTTGGACGTACCAGTACTCTTTATTTACCTTTGAGGGCAATTCAGTGTGTTTTCTGAGAAGTTTATAAACTCACCTAATTGCATGTAAATGGTACCTAACTAAAGGGAATTTAGGGGATATCCATTACCTTGTTTTTCTATGCAGAGTGAACTCCTGATTAAATATATAAATTGGCCGTTTAGCTGAGCAAGATGCCGCCAGACATAGCTTTATAAAAAAATAATAAAAAAAACGTGAAATGGAAGCACTAATTTAATATCATGAGAATTATTGTTCACAATGATCTAGGAGAATTTAGTTAATGGTTAACTTTTTCATGACATCATTGTCATGTGCCGTTTTCACTTATCATATGCTTATACAGGAAAAAATGTAAACTCGATAGAAAAATTTAACAATAGACCATCTGTTCGCCATCAGTTATGCCAGCCTAGAAGGTGCACCTCGGTTGTTTCCCAGTATGGCGTGTCACAGGGAACACAGAATTCTGCAACAAATATGACCTTCAGTTAAAAAAATATCCTTTACTAAAAAACATATGTTAAAATAGAACATACCACCTGCCAGAATTATGGACAAAACTGCGCACTAGGTTTCAGAGACGGTTAAATAGTCTTATAGATTGGAAAAATACTTGGGTTATTAAGTTTAAACTTTTATATATCTCTTGCTTTGTGTTGTCTACTTCCTACACTTGGGGTACATGGTGGTACTGTCAGGGCCGTCTTTACAGACAGAGGCAAAGCAGTGCACTGGGGCCCTACCTGCACAACCACTCACAGGAATAAAAACGTAGATTATTGGCAAACAACTAAGATTCATAGTCATTTCGGAGACTCGTGAAAAATGAGACAATGCTTCTAGTATCCTCACCCCACCACACACACGCATGGTAGAAACATTGTCTCATTTTCCACGAGTCTCTGAAGTGACTATGAATCTTAGTGGTTAGGTTTCCATTAAAAAAAAATCATTTGCACGGCCCATGCACATAAAAATATAATATATCACAACTTTCGTCATTCTGGGAGATATTAAAGTTTGTGTGGGAGACCGGGTGAGTGATTTTGATTCCTGGAGACTACTGTCTGTTTTCAGGATGGTTGGCCAGCTTAGGTGGCAAGTACAGATAACAGCTGATACTGAGGTGATTAGACCACCTAAACATGTAAATAAAGAGGGTTTAAAGATTCTGAATAAATTTCCCGGTATAATATCTTGATACAGTGGGTACTGTATGTCTGCAGTTACCTTCCTGTGATATAAGCTTGGCAAAGTGTGAACAATTTAGATTATGTAACATTGCAAAGCTCTGCCCAGCGGCTCCTATTCAGGTGGGCAATACTAAGCACACACAGAGCCAGTATTTAGTAGTGCAATTAATCTCATACAAACTGATAATTGCCAGCCCAATGCATCCTATCTGGCATATGACATTGCAATGGGTATCTGGATGTTTAAAGGATCACAATAGTGTCGGGGAAACAAACTTGTTTTCCTGACATTATATCATCCTTTCGACCCCCCCACCCTCAGGGTCCCCCTCCCTTGGCGCTGAAGGGGTTAAAACCCCTTCAGCCACTTACCTTAATCCAGCGCTGGGCTCCCTCAGCGCTGGTGACCTCTCCTTCCCCGCCGACGTCCGCTCCTGAGTGGAGCGGAATGCGCATTTGCAGCAAGAGCCGCACACATTCAAACAGTCCATAGGAAAGCATTTCTTAATGCTTTCCTATGGACGTTATTCACGCTGAATGAGATTTTCGTAGGTAGACAGCCTCTGGAGGCTGTATTAACCCTGTAATGTAAACATAGCAGTTTCTGAAGGGTTAAAACCGGGGGGAACTGGCACCCAGACCACTTCATTGAGCTTAAAGGGCCACTCTAGGCACCCAGACCACTTCAGCTTAATGAAGTGGTCTGGGTGCCAGGTCCAGCTAGGGTTAACCCATTTTTTCATAAACATAGTTTCAGAGAAACTGCTATGTTTATCAATGGGTTAAGCCTTCCCCTATTTCCTCTAGCGGCTGTCTCATTGACAGCCGCTAGAGGCGCTTGCGTGCTTCTCACTGTGATTTTCACAGTGAGAGCACGCAAGTGACCATAGGAAAGCATTATGAATGCTTTCCTATGAGACCGGCTGAAAGCGCGGGCAGCTCTTGCCGCACGTGCGCATTCAGCCGACGGGGAGGAGAAGAGGAGGAGAGCTCTCCGCCCAGCGCTGGAAAAAGGTAAGTTTTAACCCCTTTCCCCTTTCCAGAGCCGGGCAGGAGGGGGACCCTGAGGGTGGGGGCACCCTCAGGGCACTATAGTGCCAGGAAAACAAGTATGTTTTCCTGGCACTATAGTTATTTAAAAATGCATAGAGGTTTGTAGTAGTGCGCATGTAAAGTTTTTCATTAAAGGGACGCTATAGGCACCCGGACCACTTCATCTCATTGATGAGCTTACCAGACTCTGGGTCCCTTAAAGGACTTAATGAAGTGGTCTGGGTGACTATAGTGTCCGTTTAATGTTCTGCTGTTTGGTGTGTACTGGCTGTGCTGTGCTCTGTAAACAAGCAGTTATTTGGCTGGGCTATGCTCTGCAACGAAGTGATATATAGCGGGCTCTTTTTATGACATCAGGGGAGTACAGTATTTAATAGTGGGAGCCTTGCAGGGCGCCTGTTCTCACTGCTCTGAATACAGTCCACAAGTAGCTGATAAGGAGTTTGTTTGGAACATGACTTCCTCTCCTCCTTCCCATTAGTGCCAATCGAGGGTCACAAACAGGGTAAAGGGCCAGTTGTGCCCATATTGTGCTAACTCAATCCAAGTGTAATCTTCCATATGTAAATCTGCAGTACCAACTGTGACTCACCTGCCACTAATCTAATTTTATTTTCTACAATCATACAAAGTTAAGTCCCGCGCTTAAACTCCCACTACTCCTGGACGGCAGCAACGACAATAGTACACATCATCCCCAATACAAACAATAAAAAACAAAGAAATAAGTTACTTGCACACTATCCCAAATCCCTAATCACACTTAAATAACTGAACTTAAGTTTTTTAGTGTCACGCCAATGGCCATTAAAGTGTAAGCTCATCAGCCACATCAAGGCAAACCTATTCTACATTAACAATTAATTTTGGCTGAAAGCAGCAAGGTGAATGGTTAGTGTAGGACTCACCTAAGAAGTGTTGCCTTGACATGGCAGTTGAGCTTACATTTAATGGCCATTGGAGTGACACTAAAACACCTCCAGTTATTTAAATATGCATAGAGGTTTGTAGTAGTGCGCATGTAAAGTTTTTCATTAAAGGGACGCTATAGGCACCCGGACCACTTCATCTCATTGATGAGCTTACCAGACTCTGGGTCCCTTAAAGGACTCAATGAAGTGGTCTGGGTGCCAGGTCCCTCTAGTGTTAACCCTGCAGCTGTCAACATACATTTACATTTACAATAGGGTTAATCCAGCCTCTAGTGGCTGTCACACTGACAGCAGCTAGAGGCGCTTCCGCGATTCTCACTGTGAAAATCACAGTGAGAAGACACTGGACGTCCATAGGAAAGCATTGAGAAATGCTTTCCTATGGGCTGTTTGAATGCGCACGCGGCTCTTGCCGTGCATGCGTATTCGGAGCTGACGTCGGCAGAGGGAGGAGAGTTCCCCAGTGCCGAGGGAGCCCGTCACTGGAGAAAGGTAAGTGTTTTAACCCCTTAAGCCCAGCGGGAGTGGGACCCTGAGGGTGGGGGGGACCTAAAGACCCTATAGTGCCAGATAAACGAGTTTGTTTTCCTGGCACTATAGTGGTCCTTTAAACAACGCTGGACATCCTCACGCTCTGCACTGATTTCATTGCGTTCCTATGGGGAGTGCATTAGGTCCCCCCATCGGATGATGTCAGAGGAGACGGAGCTAGAGGGGGGGACCGCCTGGGAGGGGGTCCAAAGGCCACTATAGTGTTAGAAAAACAGTTTTGTATTCCTATAAATTACCGTAAATTCTGTCTTCTGCCACAAACCTAATCTCACTTTCTGCCAAGGGTTTAATTCAGTCCATCCTACATTTCAAATGGACAAAGAGGGGCACTTTAAAGGCACACTCCGCTGAAATTGGTGTTATTTCTCAACAATTTACTAGATATACCCCTTAAAAGAAAATATGTATGTGTTTTCTGCATATTTTCTTTTTAGTTATATTCCAATGCAGCCTGTTGTCTGCAGCCTTTGCTAGCTCTCCCCTCTTTCCCTTACGTAGACTTTCAGTCTGTGACGGGGAATACACCAATCAGAGTCTTTTTATAGAGAAGACTCCTGTGCTACTGCCGCAAGTTTTTTCCAATACAGCTTTTACGGCTTTCCAACACTTCTCAGTGAGCTCTTCTGAGAATTTTAAGGTGACTTACTACTACATTTATTGTGGTTTAAAGAGACATTACTGTAAATAATTTTACTCTGACGTTTTGTTAAACACTCACGGAATAACAATATGTAGCTCAGAGAAAAGGGGGACACTTGTATAGAAAAAAAAGGGAAAGAGGGATTTGAGTCCAAAATAAAGACTGTTTCTCCTAAATAGGGACACTCGCGAAGTATGGTGAATCTCAGACTCCGCCACAAACCTAACTTTACTCAGACACAAACATAATCACAAACTCTGCTAGGAGCCCGAACCTAACCTGCGGCCATTAACCTAATGTCACCCTATGTCACAAATCTAATCATACCCTCTGATACGAGTCCATTATCTTCTTCTACTATGAATCTAATCTCATCCTTTGCTATAAATCTAATCTCTCCCTCTGTAGCAAATCTAATCTCCACCACTGCAAAACTTATGTTACCCTCTGCCACTAGTCTTAACTAACCCCCTCCTTGCAAATGTCATCTTCCTACCTATCAGGATTCCATTCACCCCTCTGTTACACATTTACTTCCCCCATAGTGCAAGTCTGATATCTATCCTTATGAGGCAGCCAGGAAGGTGTACTGTAATCTTTCCCTCTGATGTGAGCCCATTGTTGATTACTGTTGCAATCTGAATCTTCTCTCTTTCATGAATATATTATTTCCTCTTCAACTCAACCATAATTCTAATTGCCTCTTCAGCTGCACGTGTAAGCCCACTTCACTATTTGTCACTCACTCACTTCCAGGGCTGCCCGTTCTCTGAGTGCCACTGAAGCACCCTTGTATAAGCAAAATGATCCCATTTTATATTACGAGATCTCATTTAAAGTGACATTTAAGGCACTATAACCACCTAATCTCAGTGGTAGTTATAGTGCATGGAGTCCCTTGGCACTGTCCCTATGTTCAGTGTTAAACTTCATTTGATTGGCATAATACTGAATTGGGCTTCAAGACTCCCACAGCTTGGCCCTTCTATGCTGCTCAGGCTAATGCTACTGCGTGAGGACAAGCAGTGATGGGGAGCAGTGATTGGCTGGGAGTGGCAGTTGACCACTGTCTGTCTATCACAGTCTGTGTAGGTATGGATAAGGATGCGTGTAATCTCCACCTTAGTTATATCTCCAGTGGTGCCAGAGCTTCTCATTCAGGCTGCCAGGGCCCCTCATTCAGGCTGCCAGGGCCGCTCATTCAGTATTAAACAACTTTTAAAAAGCCAATGGAATGAAGTAGTTATGGTGCCTAGAGGGTCCCTTAAAGGAATATTGGCGCTTCTTTTTACTTTTACTTTAAAAATGTTATACCCATACTTTCATTTTATGCAGTAGTAGTAATGGTGGCAAGAGTGCCCTGATGATGCCCCACTATCAGATGTCAAAACACGATTTAACATGGTTTGACAAGTCACCTGGGTCTTACTGGGCTTTTGCGGGCATATCCCCTGCAACCAGTCTTCTCCAGCAGGAGAAACAAGATTGCTGTCTAGAATAAAGCAGGACCACGTAGTGCCCTGCAATGGTGTATTTAGGATCTGTGCTGCCCTAGGCATGATGGAACTCGGGCACCCATAATTTAAATTTTCCCCACCTCTTCCTGTCACACACCAACACACACTTTGACTGACAGACTCACAAACACTCTCTGATTTGACACAATCTGACAGACACACACAATCACTGATTCACTCACAGACACACACTGACAGGCACACACACACTCACTGACATACACACAATGACACAGACACACACACTCACACACACTGACAGACATAATCACTCAGACACACACACACACACACGCATCACACATTTACTGACAAATACACACTCACACAATCACTCAGACACGCAGGCTCCCTCACAGACACACACTATCAGACACACAGGCTCCCTCACAAACACACTGACAGACATACACAAACACACACTCACAGACACACAGGCTCCCTCACAGACACACACATTCACTGACAGACACACACAATCACTCAGACACAAAGGCTCCCTCAAAGTCACACAATGACAGACATTCACACTCACTCACAGGCACACACAATTACTCACAGACACACTGACAGACATACACACATTCACTGACAGACATACACATATAAAAATGCTTGCTAGTGTAATGTTTATATTGAGATAGAATGATAGATTACTTTTCTAAATTCTATATTTGGGGAATTGCCAACAACAAAAAGTCTTACAATATATGCATTTACATGCAAATGACACAGACGTCACTATTTTGAGGTGCTATGGAGTTTGGCACAGGCTGATAGAGATGTATGATTAAAATGCCATAAAGACCCTCTCTGGCTGAATGAAACAGTCAGCACAAGCTGGTGACTATTAGCATTGATCTTTAAATAAACAACTCAAGTGATATTAGCAGAACATGACATCTCTCAGCCCTTGGGCCTCCTTAAAGCGAGGCTAACAAGGCATTAGCTGGGCATTTGGGGGCAGCGTTTTTTTGCCAACCCCTGGAAAGTGTTGCCCAAGGCAAATGCCTTGTTTGCCTAGCGGAAGATACATCCCTGTTGCCCTGAATGTCTACTGATGTGCAATGCTTGTTGGGGAGAGTTCCCTGTGCCCCCAAAAGTGGGTCACCAGGGAACAAAGTCGGGACCGTGGATCAGGACCCAAAAATCACAACACAATTGGGAGGCATGACACTGGGTTTAGTTCAGAGCTTCTATGGGCTTATTGCCATGCTTTGCACTACATAGATATTCAAAATGTAGGAATGGAAGTAATAGTAGATGTTTAAAAAGCACGCTAAGCATCATAATCACTTTGCATCAGTGTTTAGAGCACCTTGAGACCTTTTGTAAAAATCACTACTGTTTACAACTAACTAAGGCTGTCTGTTAGGCAGCCTAGAACTCCTTGGAATTCTGGGTTCCCTCTGTTAATGTTGGCATTATTGCAGGCCTCCCCACTGTATCAGTTTCATTAGAACAGTCTCTATTTCAGTTTCCTATCCCACCGTCCAGGGTTTGTCCCCAAAAAGTGTAGCATGAGAGCATCATCAGACATGCTTGCATTCTGCTAAGGACCATGTAGTGAACACTGTAACAGTACTTTCTGCATGGTCGCCCTTAGTGGGCTGCCCTGTGTGATTGCAGTCAGCCTGGTGCATTCAAACCAGGTTGACATGTCTCTTCTCCAGGGGTGCCACCCTTTTCCTGCTCCTTTACTTGGTGGCAGTGATGCAGACTCCATCATTGACCTTCCCTTTTGGCAGTACCATTGACACAGACTGCATCACTGGTCTTAGGCCAGCCCACCCCTACTCAATTGACATACCTCCCTATGTTGAAAGGTATGTTATTTTGTGTGCGGCATAGACAATAAGGACAAAACACAATGGCATACATTCTAAACTCGGATGGACAGGCCTAAGTGGACAGGCCAAGAGAGGAATGCCAGTAATGCCAAAAATGGGGAGAGTGTGAACTCACAACAGTCTGACTGACAGCCTCCTGGGGGGCCCTGCTTTTCGACAGACAATGCAGAGAGAGCTTCTAAAGTATTCTCTTCATGGTTCTAGTGCTCTCACCACACCACAACTTATCAAGCACTCTCGCTGTGCTATGTGGGGACATATTCCTTGTGTCCCCAGATATTGGACACCAGGAGACCACATTTGACCATCAGGACCAAAACCTGATATGAGGACAGTTGGGAAGCCTTGAAGTGGAAAAAGGTTCTCCAGTCTCCCCAGTGAGAGACAAATAATGGTTTATATATAGAATCATGGGAGTTGTAGTTCACCAACATCTGGAGGGCCGGAGTTTGGGGAAGCCTGGTTTAAAGAGAGGTTCTTTGGGTATAAACTACCTATTCTATAAGCAGTCTGAGGATTATAGGATAATAGTATACTATATCCCAGAATGAGACAGTCATTGATTAATGCATACCATCCCTGTGACAGACACACACAATGCACAGACAAACATTTTACCAGTCAGGAACTTTTATTTATTTTTGGCAATATATTTTTATTGCATTATAACACGTTAGAAACACATGAATTAAATTGTTAGCGGACTCTCCGTTTGGCAGACATGTGGAATGTGGGTATTTACACACCCTTTAACGAATCTTCTCACTACACGTGTACCCATGGGTCATGTGACCAACCAGCAGCCGGGGCGGGTCATGTGACCAGGCTCCGGTACTCAGGCGCGTGCCGCCGGTGTACCACGTGACCAGGCTCAGGCGTGCTGTCAGATTTTCCCTACACCGTGCACGCACTCACACACAGCTTGCCATCCTGGCTCGGCTCTGACCCGCCAACGGTTTGTGAACTACACTTCCCGGCATACACCGCGTGACATCACTTCCTGTTACCCGAAGGCGGCTTTAGGGGCGGAGCCGGAAGTTGTCTGGGACCTGTCTGTATATAACTATCAGCAAAGCATCTAATGTATGTATTATACCATCTATATTATATACAGTGTGTGTATTATACCATCTATATTATATACAGTGTGTGTTATACCATCTATATTATATACAGTGTGTGTTATACCATCTATATTATATACAGTGTGTATTATACCATCTATATTATATACAGTGTGTGTTATACCATCTATATTATATACAGTGTGTGTATTATACCATCTATATTATATACAGTGTGTGTTATACCATCTATATTATATACAGTGTGTATTATACCATCTATATTATATACAGTGTGTGTTATACCATCTATATTATATATACAGTGTGTATTATACCATCTATATTATATATACAGTGTGTATTATACCATCTATATTATATATACAGTGTGTGTATTATACCATCTATATTCTATACAGTGTGTGTATTATACCATCTATATTATATACAGTGTGTGTATTATACCATCTATATTATATACAGTGTGTGTTATACCATCTATATTATATACAGTGTGTGTTATACCATCTATATTATATACAGTGTGTGTATTATACCATCTATATTATATACAGTGTGTATTATACCATCTATATTATATACAGTGTGTGTATTATACCATCTATATTATATACAGTGTGTAATATACCATCTATATTATATACAGTGTGTGTATTATACCATCTATATTATATACAGTGTGTAATATACCATCTATATTATATATACAGTGTGTGTATTATACCATCTATATTATATATACAGTGTGTATTATACCATCTATATTATATACAGTGTGTGTATTATACCATCTATATTATATACAGTGTGTGTATTATACCATCTATATTATATACAGTGTGTGTTATACCATCTATATTATATACAGTGTGTGTTATACCATCTATATTATATACAGTGTGTATTATACCATCTATATTATATACAGTGTGTGTTATACCATCTATATTATATACAGTGTGTATTATACCATCTATATTATATACAGTGTGTGTTATACCATCTATATTATATATACAGTGTGTATTATACCATCTATATTATATATACAGTGTGTATTATACCATCTATATTATATATACAGTGTGTGTATTATACCATCTATATTCTATACAGTGTGTGTATTATACCATCTATATTATATACAGTGTGTGTATTATACCATCTATATTATATACAGTGTGTGTTATACCATCTATATTATATACAGTGTGTGTTATACCATCTATATTATATACAGTGTGTGTATTATACCATCTATATTATATACAGTGTGTATTATACCATCTATATTATATACAGTGTGTGTATTATACCATCTATATTATATACAGTGTGTAATATACCATCTATATTATATACAGTGTGTGTATTATACCATCTATATTATATACAGTGTGTAATATACCATCTATATTATATATACAGTGTGTGTATTATACCATCTATATTATATATACAGTGTGTATTATACCATCTATATTATATACAGTGTGTGTATTATACCATCTATATTATATACAGTGTGTAATATACCATCTATATTATATATACAGTGTGTGTATTATACCATCTATATTATATATACAGTGTGTATTATACCATCTATATTATATATACAGTGTGTATTATAACATCTATATTATATACAGTGTGTATTATACCATCTATATTATATACAGTGTGTATTATACCATCTATATTATATATACAGTGTGTGTATTATATCATCTATATTATATACAGTGTGTATTATATCATCTATATTATATACAGTGTGTATTATACCATCTATATTCTATATACAGTGTGTGTATTATATCATCTATATTATATACAGTGTGTGTATTATATCATCTATATTATATACAGTGTGTATTATACCATCTATATTATATACAGTGTGTGTATTATAACATCTATATTATATATACAGTGTGTGTATTATAACATCTATATTATATATACAGTGTGTATTATACCATCTATATTATATACAGTGTGTGTATTATACCATCTATATTATATACAGTGTGTGTATAACATCTATATTATATATACAGTGTGTGTATTATACCATCTATATTATATATACAGTGTGTGCATTATACCATCTATATTATATACAGTGTGTGTATTATAACATCTATATTATATATACAGTGTGTGTATTATAACATCTATATTATATATACAGTGTGTGTATTATACCATCTATATTATATACAGTGTGTATTATACCATCTATATTATATATACAGTGTGTATTATAACATCTATATTATATATACAGTGTGTGTATTATACCATCTATATTATATATACAGTGTGTATTATAACATCTATATTATATACAGTGTGTATTATACCATCTATATTATATACAGTGTGTATATTATACCATCTATATTATATACAGTGTGTATTATACCATCTATATTATATACAGTGTGTGTTATACCATCTATATTATATATACAGTGTGTATTATAACATCTATATTATATACAGTGTGTATTATACCATCTATATTATATACAGTGTGTGTTATACCATCTATATTATATACAGTGTGTGTTATACCATCTATATTATATACAGTGTGTATTATACCATCTATATTATATACAGTGTGTGTTATACCATCTATATTATATACAGTGTGTATATTATACCATCTATATTATATATACAGTGTGTATTATACCATCTATATTATATACAGTGTGTGTTATACCATCTATATTATATACAGTGTGTGTATTATACCATCTATATTATATATACAGTGTGTATTATAACATCTATATTATACACAGTGTGTATATTATACCATCTATATTATATACAGTGTGTATTATACCATCTATATTATATACAGTGTGTGTATTATACCATCTATATTATATACAGTGTGTTATACCATCTATATTATATATACAGTGTGTGTTATACCATCTATATTCTATATGCAGTGTGTGTTATACCATCTATATTATATACAGTGTGTATTATACCATCTATATTCTATACAGTGTGTTATACCATCTATATTATATACAGTGTGTGTTATATCATCTATATTCTATATGCAGTGTGTGTTATACCATCTATATTATATACAGTGTGTGTTATACCATCTATATTCTATATACAATGCGTGTTATATCGTCTATATTCTATATACAGTGTGTGTTATACCAGGACATGCTATATACAGTGTGCATTATACCTTGGCCACCAAACATACTGCGTGTCTAATATACCAGGAGTTTGTAACATACCATTATAACTATGTACACGTCACGTGTTTTGTTCTGCGGGCATTTTACACATAACATGTTTTTTTTCTGAGGCATATAACACGCAGCATTCATGCGTTACACCAACGATGCGTAACGAACATACAAGGGCTGTTCACTTAACAATAAAATTGTACTAGTTTGAAGCCATAATTGTGAAATGAAGTCTCAAATAGCTGTTTTGTGCATATAGTCCAGATGAGGACTTTTTCAAGCTATTTTACCTGTATTTTGCAATTTGGGCTTCAGTCAGGTATATTTGTAATTTACTGAATAACAGTGTATGCTTTAAACAAAGCATGTGTAACGTGTGCATTATACCAGGGGTGTGTAACATGTAGCATGTGATTTTATAAAATATATTTTTAAACATTATAATTAATATGTGCAACTTATGCAACAAATTACATTGCTCATAACATTCTGGCGATTGCATCGTTCCTATTCTCGTAGCTATGCTATAATTTTGCGAGTGATCTGTAACATTGTATGTGGCTAGGTTTAATCATTGCATTTGGCTTTTTTTACGTGCTGTGTGATTGGTAAACCCCTTGCCACTTTGTGTTGGGTGATCATTAGCACTGCTTGCAGTTTTCTTATGGTTGTTTTTCATTTTTGGATCATTGAAATTGCTTATGTTGGTGGGTCACATTTTTGTTATGGAATCTGTGATTTGGAGTGTGATTAAACTGCTTGTAGTTTTGTGGTGGTTCTGGGCGTGATTGGTAAAACTGCTTAATGGCGATTTAGTTCATGGACAGCAACACTGCTTCCAGCTTCCATTTGATGAGTTGTGTTTTGCTGACTGTTATTGATTGTGTTACAGTGACATTTTCTTCATTACTCTTCCTACAGAGACGGACTCTAACAGATATGACCAAGCTGGTTGAATGGCTCCTGGGGCTGACTCTCCTTGGAGTAGTGTGGGCCACTCTGACGTTTGACCTCTTAGGCCTGGAGATTCCCGAGCCATGCTGGCAAGTTATCTGGCCCTTTCCGGTCTACCTTCTGGTAACATTCGGTTGTTACTCCTTAGCCACAGTTGGATATAGAGTGGCTACTTTTAATGACTGTGAAAGTGCTGCGCAGGAGCTACAGCGGCAGATTAAGGAGGCAAAGAGGGACTTGACCACCAAGGGCTTCAGTTTTTGACCAGTACATGATGCCTGGTTACTGGAACCAATTCAATAAGGACACTGTGATCTTTCAAGGGTTAATCAGGGGTGCTCACTGTGACTGGATTCCTCATTTGTATTATCCCAGATGATTGTACTACTTGTTTGGAATGGAGCTCATCTGAACAGTGGATTTTTTCAGGACCAAACAGTTAATGAAGATTAGATAATACTGTTTGCTGTGTCTTTCTTTTTTGGGGGGTTGGGAGGTTCTTGGTGAGAAGGTAAATGGAATGCCTTTCTCAGAGCGAGGATAAATACTGTCAATCATTGCTGGGAAATGTGTCAGTCATCATTCTGTATCCCTCTTAAACATGGTGTGCAGACCCTAGCAGCTATAGATAGGGCTGCTCTCGGAGAATACGAGAAAGTGAAACAAAGACAAAAGATGATCTTAGAAGCTTGCAATCTAGATTGGGGAAGTGAATAAATAAAACACATGGTATAGAGTGAGGCTCTGCTAAAAGCTAACAATCTAGAGGGGATAGAGAACAAATGGCACATTTGTGATGTTATTTAATAATGTAAAAAGTGGTGGGAATTCAAAGTAATTTTTGAATTTAATGTCATAATAGCTGAGCTTGTGCTTCCAGTTTGAATTTTCTGGCCTTATAATTTTAATTTCACTTTGAATTTCTGAAACTTGTTGAATAGTGAATAAATCTGATGGTGTAGACAGCCCCAGTATCAGGAAGTATTACTTTACTGAGAGGGTAGTGGATGCATGGAATAGCCTTCAAGCTGAAGTGGTAGAGGTTAACACAGTAAAGGAGTTTAAGCATGCGTGTGATAGGCATAAGGCTATCCTATCTATAAAATAAGGCCAGGGATTAATGAAAGTATTTAGAAAATTGGGCAGACTAGATGGGCCGATTGGTTCTTATCTGCCGTCACATTCTATGTTTTTATGTTTCTGCTCAAAGCTTTAAATCTAAAAGGAACGAGGGGTAATTTAAACACTAACAATGGTTCTCACTAAAGTCTGAATGTCTGTGGTGCGGATTAGCAACAAAATAATCCAGGATTGCAAACTCCAGACATTGTTCCCAAAATTTTGCAATGTACGAAGTTTTCAATACTGCCTCCCTATTACTTAGAAACATATAACAGAAGAGTCGCTGGAATCTGAAAACGGAATTATGGAAATACACCATGGAATGTGCAGATTAAACAGAATTGCAAATTCAGTTCAAATGAAGTTACACAAATTTGTAGATAGATAATGGCCAATTCTATTACAAGCTATCATTTAAAAAGCCGGCAATTAGCCCCATTTTGATGACAAAATTTAAAAAATTACTTTGTGGACAGGTTTAGTCCAATTATAAAACATATATATTACTTTTATTAACTCGGCTGCGTTACCAAAAATAAACTTGTGCTCTTTTTTTTTTTTTTGTAAGTTTTTATTTTGGAAGTACAATGACTGAAGAACATGCAGGTTGAGACATGTGACCATGAGACAATTATAAACACGAAGTTTGTTACGTGTGTTGAAATAAATGCACATTTTTATAATGTTAAAATAGTCAAGCGATAACATTGCAACTGGGCCCATGCTATAATTGTTAATGAGAAAACTGAGACACTGGCCCTGATATATATCCACAAGCTAAATCCAATATAGACAGCGTCAAAAACGAGGTGAGCTAAAGGTAAAACAACTTCAATTTTTGTTAAGCAACAGAGCCAAGTTTCTGACCAGGCATAAGGCTACCGTGACTTATTAAAGGGGTCCTATAGTGCCAGGAAAACAAACCCGTTTTCCAGGCACTATAGGCTCTTGGAGAGCCCCACTCCCTCGGCGCTGAAGGGGTTAAAACTTACCTTACCTTAATCCAACCCCGGGCTCCCTCGGCGCTGGTGGCCTCTCCTCCCCCGCAGACTTCAGCTCCCAAGTGGAGCCGTATGCGCATGAGCGACCAGAGGCGCGAGCATTCAAACTCGCCCATAGGAAAGCATTACTCAATGCTTTTCTATGGGGATCTTATTTGACGCTGCACTCCGTGAGGATGTCCAGCATCAGATAAGTGCGATTTTGTAAATCGCGGAAGCTCCTCTATTGGCTGTCAGGGATACAGCCACTGGAGGCTGGATTAACCCTGCAATGTACACAGCAGTGTCTCTGAAACTGCTATGTTTTCAGCTGAAGGGTTAAAACCAGGAGGACCTGGCACCCAGACCACTTCATTGAGCTGAAGAGGTCTGGGTGCTTATAGTGGTCCTTTAAGTAACTCAGACTTGAGAGAAGCAGGTATCAAGCGGTCAGCCATTTACTCAGCTAGTCCACATTTGGAAGATTGCTCCAAGCCCACTTAGGAAAACGTAAGTATCGTTGCCTCTGCACCATACCGTCAAGGCAGGATGCCTCAGCCCCTCCACTCTCCAAGCCCAGGCTTTAGTAAAATAAACAGTGCTAAAGGACCGCTGGACCTTCCATAACGGATGGTAGGGCTAATGTCCCGTGAGACTCCCATGTTGCAGAGAGGCCTCCAAGGTTGTGGATGGCAGACTGGATCACCTCCATCTTGATTCCTAGCCCAGAGGGAGAGCTGCATCCCGAGACATCATCCATGGCACCAACATCAGCGGATAAGGTGAGTTTTAATTCACAAGTGTGAATAAGCGGCAAAACTGCTCACAAACTGCTTTATATTTTGTCTGTTACTCTTCTTCCCACTCATGTAATATGCTCCCTGTTAGTACAGATGCCATTATGGTGTCGCCACATGGACTCATAGAATCTGGCTGCCTTGGGCACAACTACAGATTCTTCTCTGGTCTGGATCAGGATAATCCCCGCTGGTCCAAAGATGGGGCAAACAGAGCTTCAACTATAGCTTTCAAAGACTGCAGGCCAGGACATCGGCCTTTTCTCCTCTCCTTGGAACACACCAGGCCATGTAGGCCGCAATCTGGAGTTTATTGATGGGGGATTCACAAGTGGTACCAGGGAGCCCCTCTGTATGCTCAATCAAGCAAGTTGTTGCTGGAGTTTGTCCAAAGGCTGCTAACAGCAATATTAGTACATGTAGTGGAGATTTAGCAGGGAGCTCTCCCCAAATACATCTTCCCACCACAAAGGACAGGCTTTTATATAACTCCCCTTGTCTGAATTTATTTTTTTTCTTGAATTCTGGTTTTCATAAAATACATTAGAAAAGTAAGAACATTTCTATCCTTAATTTATAACATTAAATTAATATTTACATTTTTATTATTTCTTTTAACACTTCGTCTGCTGGCTGCTTGTGTTGCCAGTGGTCAAAGAAGGAAGAATTTTTATAGGATCATCTGCAAAAAGCAGATGAGTTTAGTTTGCAAATTTGCCTTCTACATGATTTGTTCACAGTGAATCCAATTCAAATTCAGTGTTTGATAAATATGCAAATACTATATTGTATGTTGGAATCCCACCTGCAAATTACTTATTTTAAACCAGGCCCTGGTTGGAAAGAAATGTGTGCATTCATTTGAAATAACCGCATTCCAACTGGATTTGCCTTTAGTAAATAAAAGAATTGCAAATCCAGGTACTTTTCACTGAATTTTGTTTATGTGAACCAAATTCAGACTTTAAAGGAATTATCTAGTATTCCTAGCACTATAGTTCCCTCTGGATCCCTTCACCTCCAGGAGATAAGGGGTTAAAACAAAACTTATTTACTTACCCTAACTGCCTCCTCTGACATCATTCGATGGAGCCAGGGGGGAGAGGGGGGACTTATGTGTATGTGTGGTAAGTGCATTAGGCCCTCCCCATAGGAAAACATTGCCTCAATACTTTCCTATGAGGATTTAACTGATGCTGTATGCCCTCATGTTATTATTTAGAAAGCGCCAACAAATTCCGCAGCCCTGTACAATGGGTGCACTAACAGACACGTATTTATAACTAGATGAGTTGGATACACAGGAACAGAGGGGTTGAGGGCTCTGCTCACTGAGCTTACATGCTAGAGGGAGTCATCATTATGTTCAGCGTCATTAAGGTGATGTCACGTATTCATCCGCTTATAAAAATGTGGTTAATGGCATTTACTGTCCACACAGGAAAAGTTGTGCCGAGCAGCAACCAAATCCACAGAAGGGTTAATGCTCAGCAGTAATTATGCAAATGGGAACCTGATAACTGCCTTTGGGGTCAAAGGCCGGTTACGGCCAATCAGATCTAGAGGAGGGGTATTTAGGCCCAGTTCTCATCCTGCTCAGTGCCCTGTCGTGGTTTCCCTAGTGGTTGTCCAAGAGCGCGTTCCTGATTCAAGTTTCTTCTGGTTTTTTACTTTGGCTTTGATTTTGACTAACCTGTATTCTGGTACCCCTGACTTCTGGCTTTCCCTTATCGTTGTGTCTCTTTCTGTATCCCCTGACCTCTGCAAGTATCCTGACTACTCTTTGGTACGTTAAATCTGGCCATTCTAAGGCCCGGTTGTGAAGGACTGTTATGTGTTTACCTGTGTGCTTTCAGTTTAACCCTCTCCCTGCTGTTTAAATGCCTGTATTAGTTTGGTTCAATATATAGGGAATAAATGTATTCGTTTACCAAAAGAGGACCACACACCCTGGGTAGCAATTAGCATTAGAACGCGGAGAAAACCGCAACTTAATTGCTACTAGGTGGCTGCCATTCGACATACGAACACGTGGCGAGAACAAAGGATGGCGGCCAAAACTCACGAATGCGGTCAGTGGGGCTTACGCATGAATTTCGTGGAACTAATTTCGGAACGCAAACATGCGAACGCCCGGTCACCACGGAAGTCCTGGATGAATACGTTCCCCTACACGAATCCAACTAGCGTTCGGTAGATAGAATCTACTGAATAAGGGGAACATTCACAGGTAACCAGCTGCACCATAAGAACGGTGGTTTTCGTGCAGTTAGATGCGTACAGAGACCGGCTCTTGCTACTGATTCTCTGGAACTCAAAATCGATACCTCCACATGGCGAGCTGGTCAAACTTCCACACGATGCGACACGGAAATGGAAATTCGTGAGATTTGGATATATGACTACTCAGCTACCCAGGGATGTTGAAATTATGTTTGTATGTGGCATAAAAAGTACTTTTCTAAAATTGTTAAAAACTGTAATATTTTTGGCCAGCAGATAATTGAGCTTTGTGTATTGTAGAAACTCAATTATCTAGCCTGGCCCAGAGGAGGAGTTTTGTGTTGCATAAATTGTGAGTTCTGTGTGCCAGTAAATCAGTCTTGTTCCAGCATTAAGCTTTGGTTCATGTGTGGATTATTCGGCGATTCCAGGGATATTTCTACTCGTGGAATATTGGGTGTTTTTCTTTTATGGGAAGAAGGGAATGCTTGACGGTGATACCCTATACTACCGTCACACCGGTAATACATTACCTATTAGTCATCTTTGTGACACAATTCTACGTGCTGGATCAACTAGTAATCCTGACATTACGACAGGGCCATAGATCCTGTAGAATTGTGTCAGCACATAGCTGCTTGCGAAAGAAAGCTAGTGGAGAATGATCACCGTATGGATCAGTTTGCCCAGGATTTCAGTACGCTCCTTACTCGAACAGCGCATCTGCAACCTGCGGCTTCTCCAACTGTGTCACCTCCGCCTAATGTGCCTCCTGTAGTACATAAGGCACCTACTATCTCTCTATCTCCTCCCCTGCATTTTGATGGTAAGATTCAAGAATGCCGGGGATTCATTAACCAAATTAAGTATCATTTTGAGGCCTCACCGGGATCTTTTCCCACTGACAGAGCTAAAATTGGTTATCTGATGAACCAACTTAAAGGTAAAACTTTAGTTTGGGCCAATCCGTTATGGGAGAGTAGTAGGAGCATTGCACACAATAACCAGGAATTCCTTGCGTAATTTAAACTTACGTTTGAACCATTAGGCAGGGAGGATGATGCCTCCACTGCCCTAATGCATATTAGACAAGGTAACCGGTCTATCTCAGAGTATGCCATAGAATTTTGCACCTTGGCTTCCGAGGTAGACTGGACTAACAGCGGATTAATCTCAGCATTTAAGAAGGGATTATCTGAGACTATGTTGGATGAGATTGCTGCCAAAGAACTACCCAAAAAACTCAATGAGTTTATTATGCTGATTGATAATAGACTCAGAACCAGAAATAAAACCAGACGTATGGCTTTGCCATTAGCACCTCATTTCTCCAGACCGGTTGTTCCTGACCTCTCTATACAGTCCGAACCCGATCCTATGCAGTTGGGGTTCACTAGACTGTCCGAGGCAGAAAGACAACATAGGAGAAGAGAGGGTCTATGCATATACTGTGGTAAAAAAGGACATATGAGGAGTACCTGTCCCATACGTCCGGAAAACTACCGCACCTAAGAACCTTAAAGGACCACTATAGTGCCAGGAAAACATACTTGTTTTCCTGGCACTATAGTGCCCTGAGGGTGCCCCCACCCTCAGGGACCCCCTCCCGCCCGGCTCTGGAAGGGGGAAAGGTTCCAATCTTACAACTTTTCCAAGCTGGTAGGATCTCCTCCCTCCTCTTCTCCTCCCGTCGAGCTGAATGCTTACGCCGCGACGGAAACTCGCAGGCTAAGCCGATTACCCTGAGAAGCATTATCAGTAACTTTCCTATAGACGCTAACGTCTTCTCACTGTGATTTTCCACGGTGAGAATCACGCAAAGCGCCTCTAGCGACTTTTCAATGAGACGGCAGCCTGAAATGAGGAAGAAGCTTAAGCCATTCACTAAACAGAGCAGTTTCTCACAGAAGCCTTTATGTTCTGAAAAATAGTTAGCTTCAAGCTTCAGACCAGAACGCAGACTTACTTTGTTAGCTATGAAGTGGTCTGAATTAAATAAATGTCCTTTAAGGGGGCAGGTCTTAGGTGTAACGGATACGTCTTCTGGGAATAACAATAATAGATTTCTCCTTGATATTACGATCATAGTTGACAATGCAAGGCCTTGATGGACTCAGGTGCAGCAGGAAATTTCATTGCTGTTCACTTTGTTAAAAAGAATGCTATACCTATCAAGGAGAGAATATCACCTCTGGCCGTTGAGGCTATTCACGGGAGACCACTCTCTCAACCCTTAATTACCCATGAAACCTTGCCCATTAACATATCTATTGGTGCCTTACATAAGGAAGATTTAATATTCCAAGTTATTGCATCTCCTTCTTGCCCTATCATATTAGGCTTTCCTTGGCTTAGTAAGCACAACCCTCGTATTGACTGGGCTAATGGGGAAATATTGGAATGGGGCAAGGATTGTAATACCATTAAATTACCCACTACTACACCTCAAACCCCCGAAGTTCCCATACAATACCGGGAGGTTAAGGAAGTATTTAGTAAGAGTCAGTCCAATATCTTACCTCCTCACAGGTCATATGACTGCTCCATAAATCTGTTACCCAGCGCTATGCCACCTAAAGGGGCAGTATATGCCTTATCGCCACAGGAGAGTAAAATAATGGAAGAATAGATCAAATACTCACTAAACAAGGGCCAAATCATCCTCACCTGCTGGTGCAGGCTTCTTTTTTGTAGAAAAGAAAGATGGAGAATTACGTCCATGCACTGACTACAGAGCATTAAATAAGATTACTGTTAAGAATGCCTTTCCTATTCCTCTCATTTCAGAATTGTTTGATAGACTCCAGGGTGCTAAGATCTTTACCAAACTGGATCTCAGGAGTGCATACAATTTGGTAAGAATCAAGGAAAATCATGAGTGGAAAACGGCATTTAACACTAGATCCGGGCACTATGAGTACCTTGTTATGCCTTTTGGGCTATGCAATGCACCAGCCGTATTCCAGGATTTTATTAATGATGTACTCAGGGATTATATCTATTCATTTGTCCTGGTTTATTTGGATGATATCCTTTTTTCTTCCTCTGACCTTCAAACCCACCACAAACAGGTCAAACAAGTATTGCAGACTTTACTGGAAAACAAACTTTATTGTAAATTGGAAAAATGCTTGTTTGATCAGAGTGAAGTACAGTTTTTAGGGTATAACATTTCTGCCTCTGGTTTTCAGATGGACCCTAAGAAACTAGAGGCTGTTATACAGTGGCCAGTACCTAGCTGACTAAAAGCCATCCAAAGATTTATTGGGTTTGCAAACTATTACAGAAGATTTATCAAGGGGTTTTCTTCTGTAATAGCCCCCATCACCAATATGACATGTAAGGGGGCTAGTAGTACGGTATGGTCTAAGGAAGCTACAGAGGCTTTTGAACTTCTTAAACAAAGGTTTGCTTCTGCCGACATACTGAGACACCCTGACACCAGCAAACCCTTCATATTGGAAGTTGATGCCTCTGAAACTGGGGTAGGGGCGGTTCTTTCTCAAAGGGAGAGTCAGGACACCCCTTTGCATCCTTGTGGTTACTTTTCCAGAAAGTTGTCTCCAGCTGAGCGCAATTATGATATTGGCAACAGAAAATTGTTGGCCATTGTCCTAGCGCTTAAAGAGTGGCGACATCTTTTGGAAGGTTCCAAGGATCCCCTTTTGATCATTACAAACCATAAGAATTTGACTTATATATAGGGGATGCTAAACGCCTATCTTCTAGACAGGCTAGATGGTCTTTGTTTCTGTCTCGCTTCAACTTCCTTATAACTTACAGACCTGGTCCCAAAAATGTAAAGGCAGATGCCTTGTCTAGACAGTTTGATTCTGAGTCTTTACAGGAACACGAGACATCCCCTATCATGCCACCTGAATGTATCATCGCTTCTACTGTTCTTTCACTGTCTTCTCCCTTGCTTGGTGCTATAATGGAGGCTCAGTCTCAGGCACCATGCAATAAACCACTGGACAAATTGTTTGTTCCATTAGGTGAAAGAAAGAATGTGCTGAGGGTGTTCCACGACAATGTGACTGCTGGACACCCAGGTATCAATAAATCCATATCTGCGATCACAAGATCATTTTGGTGGGATTCCCTTAAAAACGATGTGAAGGACTATGTGCAGGCTTGTTCAGTTTGTGCTGTTTCTAAGGTCCCTCATAAGCTTCCTTGTGGTTTGTTGCAACCACTTCCTGTACCTAGTGTTCCATGGTCCCACTTGTCAATGGACTTCATTGTTGAACTTCCAAGTTCCAATGGCTATACCACCATTCTTATGGTGGTTGACCGTTTCTCCAAGATGGCTCATTTTATTCCACTTAAAAAATTGCCATCCTCTCAAGACCTGGTTCTTATCTTTATACGTGAGATTGTCCGACTGCATGGCATTCCTCACAATATTGTGTCTGATAGGGGCTCTCAGTTTGTGTCTCGGTTTTGGAGGGCATTCAGTAAACAGTTGGGCATTGAATTGTCTTTTTCTTCCGCTTACCATCCCCAAACTAATGGCACGGCTGAGAGGGCTAACCAGTCATTAGTTATATCTGCGTTGTTTTGTAAATAGCACTCAAGATAATTGGTCTGAATTATTACCCTGTGCCGAGTTAGCTAGGAACAATGCAACCCATGACTCTTCTGGTCACAGCCCATTCTTTGTTAATAACAGTCGTCATCCTACTGTCCTGCCGGCTGTTTTCTCCGAGACAACTATCCCTGCTTTGGATGATCGCCTTTCTTCTATCCGTGATACTTGGACCAAAGTTCATTCCACTCTCAAAACTGCGGCTGATCGCTTAAAGTTCTATGCGGATAAACGGCGGGGTGCCAACCATGTTAACCAAGTGGGTGACAGGGTATGGTTATCAACGCGCAACATCAAATTGAAAGTTCCTAGTATGAAGTTTGCATCCAGATTCCTGGGCCCCTTTGGTATCCTTCGGAGGATTAACCCTGTGCCATATTCTCTGGCCTTCCCGGCCTCATAACGTATTCCAAATACCTTTCATGTGTCGCTACTCAAACCTCTTTTTTGCAATAAAAATACTGTCTCAAGTGTCCATCCTCCTCCTTTAGTTGTTTCTGGACAGGAAGGGTATGAGGTCCCCTCCATAATTGATTCCAGGTTTTCTCAGGGCACTTTACAGTACTTGGTGGATTGGAAAGGTTATGGACCAGCCGATCGTTCTTGGGTTCCAGCATCTGATATACATGCTGGCCGCAAAATACGCTGTTTTCACGCCAAGTTTCCTCTCAAGCATGGTCCTGCCTGCACGGTGGGCGTTCTTCAGGTGGGGGTAATGTCACTTATTCATCCGCTTATAAAAATGTGTTTAATGGCATTTACTGTCCACACAGGAAATGTTGTGCCGAGCAGCAACCAAATCCACAGAAGGGTTAATGCTGAGCAGCAATTATGCAAATGGGAACCTGGTAACTGCCTTTGGGGTCAAAGGCCGGTTACAGCCTATCAGATCTAGAGGAGGGGTATTTAGGCCCAGTTCTCATCCTGCTCAGTGCCCTGTCGTGGTTTCCCTAGTGCTTGTCCGAGAGCGCGTTCCTGATTCAAGTTTCTTCTGGTTTTTGACTTTGGCTTTGATTTTGACTAACCTGTATTCTGGTATCCCTGACTTCTGGCTTTCCCTTATCCTTGTGTCTCTTTCTGTATCCCCTGACCTCTGCAAGTATCCTGACTACTCTTTGGTATGTTAAGTCTGGCCATTCTAAGGCCCGGTAATACATTACCCGTTAGTCATCTGTGTGACACAATTCTACGTGCTTGATCAACTAGTAATCCTGACAGGTGATCCTTAAGTCTGGTAAAATTCCGGAATCGCCAATAAAATCACACAAAATTACTGTGGAGCGCTAAGTGAATATAGGTTTCAACAAAATGATGCAAATAGTGCAATATTCAATGGCAAGTTAATTTATTGTAATAAGGATGTACAAATTCAAACTCACCTAGACACAGCCTATAAAGTTGTCTCTGAACACAGACACTTCTGTAATTTTGCAGCAGTACAACACCCTCCTTTTATAGTGGATACTCTCAGTAAATCCAGGATGAGAAAAAGGGATAACATAGTGTAGTACTTTCTTGCACAAATATAAAGTATAGTGCTAAATAGCACTGTTTACTTTGTAAAGAGCCTATTAGACCGGCTCAAGTCTCTGGTGTTGCTTATAGGTAGCACTTAACCCCCTCTGTGCAGCCAGGTAGATTAAAAGATTAGCAAAATCCAATGTACTTAGTAAATAGTACAAATGTATCTAAATAACACAATACTCCATTAAAAAACTATTGAATAAAACCAAAACTTGTTTCGCCAGTAAAAACCCTTAAAATATAGAGTGTTGCTTGCGTGTACGTGTTAAAACTAAAAGAAATGGGTGATAGTTGAAGCACAAGATATTAAGAGGGTATAGAATTTAGGCAAAGAAAGAAAAAAAAAAACAGGACAGCGTTTTCACAAAGATTCCACTTGTAAAGAAAACAAGGCGCATAGAGGGAGGATTATATATACTTGTTCACATGAAAAGAATTGGTCACAGGCTTCTCAAAGTCGTTTTGTGTGAGTACATCATATTGTAAAGGAAATTAAGCCTTCTCCGTTTTGGTTGTTGGCAAATTATACAGACTGAAAGAAACAAGGTGCAATGTGGTTTATTTCTAATATATGCATTTTTCCTGCAAATAAGCTATATTCAGCACACATTCCTTGCTACCTGGTGTAGACTGACCTTTACAAAAAACAGGTGGCAAATTACTACACAGGTGCATGAGTTTGCGAAATTCCAGCAAGCACGGCTCAGCCTTACAATGCGTCCCCCATGTAAACAGATTATAGAACAATACAGAGGAATTTGGCATAGTAAGACAGCACGCAACCCGTGGGAGTGGCTATGGAACATGTGATGTAGGGCCACAAGAAAATTCACTATTAGAAAAGAAACTGACTGCCCGTCTACTACTCTCCTGTTTAGATTGCCTGCCCCGTAAATCTTCTCCAGTTATCCGAAGTACCAATCTGTTACTCAAATCTGAATGCCTACATGTACTGCCCTGGTTGCTGCTCTCTTCCCATTGCCAAATGCCCTCTTACTATCCAACTTTCACAGTATCGAGTGCTAAATCATATTGCCCCAAGTGGTTACCTGCTGCCCCCCTCCCATTTCGTATCTGCAACTTTCACCTAAAGTGGTGAACTTAAGCGTCCTCTCATTTTGCCATGTGACTAAAAAATAGACTTCTTGTGATCTGAGAAAAATGCAAATGAGCAATGCACAGCTGGGGTAAATTACTGAGTGCGACCTCAGACCAGGACTAGACAACATTAGGGCTGAAAATTGTGAATTGGGCTCCCAGGTCCTGGGCAGAGTTTATGGGGTTCCATTCCTGCAAAGGATTCTGGGAACCAAGCAAACCTCATGCAATATTTTGCCTGTATATCATTCCTGGCATCGGTGTTAAGTGCGACAAATTCTGTTATTGCACGATTCCTGGCACCTATCTGGAAAATTGAGGGGTTCTATCCCAGCGTAGGACTCTGTCAATCTCTCACTTGGTCCTTTTTTTCTCTTCTTACCTTTTATGTAATGTTCTCTGTACTTCTCTTCCCAAATATGCAACTTCTCTTAACCATACATCTACAGAGGTATCATTCACCCACTCACACCCCCTACAGACTAACTGCTCTCCCCAGTATTCTTTCTACAGCCTCACAGTTTTCTACATAACTCTGTCAACTCATGTCATGCCACATATCTAAAAAGCAATCACAGTGATTGAACAAAAAGCACATATTAAAGGGAGTTTTGATAAACATGTCACTTTCTGTTAACAGATATGTAGGGAGAAGTGCAGTTAAAAATCTAGCTTATGAACCTTGTTTCGGCTGGTCTCAGCAGGATGTGAGAGAACCTACTCAATTCATTTCATTTTTCTCCTGTAACTTGTGAATTCAGTTCATACAATGAACAAATAAAAAACAAAGAGGGATATATGTGGTATAGAACAGAAGCACCAATTATAAAAGTAAAAAATGACAACCTTAATTTTAATGTCATCAAAAAAAAAAAAAATGATAAAGTATAGAAGTCTTCTTAGGTGATGTCACAGGATAAAAAGTCTCTGAAATTTTAAAGTAAACTCCATATATTATAATATTGTATAAACCACAGGAATAGTTAAGGTGTATAATGCACTCACAAATGAATGATAAATCAGGCTTTTGGGGGTATAGCTGCTTAACTCGAATCAACAAAAATGTTAATACATCATTGCACTAACTGGATGTAGATATCAGGCATGTCACCTCTATATCGAAGAATGCTACGATTTACCAGTGTTTGGTGTCATTTTTTTACCTGTATAGTTGGTGCTGGTGTTCTTTACCATTTGTATCCCTCTTTGTTGGTTAATTTATTCATTTTTTTGTAAGGTAGCACAGAAAGGTATTTTTTGTATTGAATAATTACTCTTTTATCTAGTCTTACATGGTACGTTTTCCCTGTTTTTATATTGTCCGTTAATACAGTGTCTCTTTGTTTCTATTCTTTATTCTCTTTTTCTGTGGTTTCTACCCAGTTTTACAGATATTTTAGTCTAATTTCCAGCACCATTTCTACACTGTGCCGTTCGTGATGAAACTCATAAACCGCCCACTGCGCATTAAAGATATACACAGACATACTGAAAAACTAATTCTTTATTAGAAAGGTACTTAAAAATCATAAGGCACTTAGGAAATTGTTCCACTCCCCCATTCCAATGGGGCTTGTCGTTCTCCAGTTGATTCACATTACGACTGGAGAGACGCAGAATACCACCTTGTACAAAACTGGGCACCCTACAACGTGACATGTAGGAACAACAGTGCATATTAATGGACATTTTGGCTGAGGTCTCCATTCCTGTGATCACCCCAGTCCCATGGAAAACAGTGCACAATGCTCTTTGGTGGATAGGAAAACGCTTAATGTTTCAACTTTCTCCCCTTATACGCAAGCTATGCTTCTGCCTGGGGGCTTCACCCTCATCTAGCCCGGCTGTCCTTCCTGCCCCATGCCCCTGTGTTTGGTAGAGATGCCCTGTCCTGACTCAGCCACGAGTAAAATGCTGACCAGCCCAGCATGGGGTCAGGTTGGACACACAATACCAAGCGCTGTGTCAGCTGTGTGTGTGCAGGAGGCAGAGCTAATCTCTTCGACACTTTCTGTAGCCCTCTCTTATTGTGTTCAGTCTCTGATGACTAACTCCCCCCCCCTCAGGGTTAAGCTCTTTCATTTGGTGGGAATGCCCTGCTTTCTCTCCGCTCCGTGCACCATTCAGGATCTCACCGACTAATTCACCAATTATGATACCCACAACCTGCAGAATAAGTGTAGTAATTTTCTAGTATATGTAAGATTCCTGCCTATAGCTGGCACCCCGTAAAGGAATAATTGGCTCCCATGGCAACAGATTACATGCTTAGTGTTGCTGTAGAATGCAGCATAGTACAATGTAGGCACTTCGCAAAGGATAAGGAGTCATCAAGCCAGTATGTGGCGGTAGGATGGTTTATCCGGAGGGTAAATCCAAAACAACCAAAAACGCAAAATGCTGGTCACAATACCTGGGAAGTTTGGTATCTGCAGGAGAAATAATCTTGGTTAATAAGAGTTCCCCAGCTTAGCTAAAGCCATCAGACGATACATGTGATTAGCATTACTAGTAATGAATAGAACATTTCTTCAGCCTTCTCACAAGATACATACTCAATGCAATCAGGTTGTCTCCCAGTCACTGTGACTAATACACTCCACCGTCTGAATTCTGGCTTCCAGACTGGGGGATGTCGTCCTATTTCATACCATATTCTAGATACAGGAAAAAGCCTGGCACTCACCATAATGTAAAGATCGCCGAGTACCCAGCCGTACAGCACCCATGACGACGAAGCAAGGAATGTGGCCACGGTCAAGGGAAAGGAAAGGCACTTTGTGGATTTTGTCCTGATTATATGAGCCTGTAAGCAAAAGCATAACACATTACTCTGCTACTCTCAGATAACGGCTGGTGCTTACTATCCAGGCTTGCGAAAAGAACGTATAACCTAAGCCATCTTGTGTATCTCAATCAGATAGTTAGAAAATTACATATCTGGCTGAATTGATGGCTGACGCTTTTATATAAAAATTCTGTTTAAGTTATTGGGTTTTTAAGAGCACTGGACAGAGCATCTACAAAATGAGAACACTGGATTTCTCCATGTTAGCTAGCTATATGTACATACATATACACACACCGATTTGGCAGAATTTTTTTTCCCCCTCAACTTGCCCTGCAGCAGTTATTTTGGTATATGAGTAACGCCTTACTTTGCACCAGAGACCTTTTCCTGTATTCTGCTTATTAGCACAGCTTGACCTTCTCCATGTGCCTTACATAATAACTCTTGATCTTTTCTTATATCCAGACTTTCCTTCATTTAGGATTTTAAGATCCTTGCTTTCTTGATCTGCCCTGTGAGTCTAAATCTCTTAAAGTCACAGCCCAGCTGGACAGCAGTTCAACACAGTGATTGCAAGTTAGATGTGTGGCAGATGTAATAATATTACCAGATCGGCCATTGGAGAGAGGTACATTGTGATTGTGAAGATGCTGCAGAACATGCCCAGCTGATTCAGACGAACACCAATATCAGAGATAAGTATGTAGAAATAACCATACGCCAAAAACAAGACTCCCAGAGACAGGAGGACCTGGTATACGAGATTGCGCTAGAATATGAAAACAAAAGGTGTTATTTCATAGCGCAGTATACAGTTGTCACCACATGTACTGCAGAAATATTAAAAAAAACTTCTCAAATACTCATTAACATTACATGACAAACATGGATTCATAATGACACAACCAGCATATATTCTTGATCATCGCACCCAGCCCATGATTATAGATCTTTGAATTTGCAGTGGGCTACATTAGATTAGGATATGTTTTTTTCACAGTTGTGCATTGGGTTATGGTAGAGGTTTGTTGAATATTTGCTCAGGAACGTGCTGTTCAGGAGTAGGACTGCACTCACTGTGCCGCCAAACGTTGGCGGAGGGCGCATTGTGCAGTCACCTGCCTCGCAACATCTCATTTGTTCATTGTTCACACCCATACCTTCTGATCAGCGTAGACAATATAGGCCACCATATAGAGGGTCTGCAGTGAGGCTCCAATAGTATTTACTGTCATGAGGGTCCCATCCCCCTTTAGGTAACCATAATACAGCCATCCCAAGTTACTGAAAAGAACAAACACAATTTTCATTACATTACAAACAATACTATATACCTGGGTCCATTTGTCTAATAGCTCTTTTTAAATATATCGGACTCTCCACACAGGCACTCTTCTGTCAGACCTTTCTCCAGAGGTGACGCTTACCATCCTTGGAGGTGACCCACTGCTAGAAGCCTTTCCGTGTAGAAGTCCCGCTACCAAAACCCCAACTCCTTGTAGATGTCCCACTGCCAGAACTCCCCTCACAGTTATCCAGAGTCAAGTCATAGGCATTTGTTAAATTGTGTTGCCCTCTCCTCATACCTACTTAAGATCTGTGGTTAGGAATGGTAAAAACTGGATATTGTCCACACTCCGTTTGGAGACCATCACACGCAGGTCAGACCTTTAAAAAAAAAAATACAAAACAGAAACAGGGCATTTCAGTAAAAAGTCAAGAAAACAGGTATTCACTAGGTATATATCACAGAATTTACAATTTCTTAGAGTTAATTAGGCTGCCAGGTCCTGCTAATAGGAAACTGATAGAATCCTTCTTTAGACTGTAAGCTCACGGGCCATCTAGCTAAGCACTTTGTATAAAAGAGCTCCAAAGTGTTGCATTTGCATTGTATAGAATTGCTGCCAGGAAATGATGGAATGTAATGCAAATATTGAAGAAATAAAATCATAGAATATTGCTGCATGTTATATGTTAAAATGATAGAACTGGGCTCACTTTTTTTTTGGGGGGGTGAAAAGCCATGGCAAAAAGAAAAATCCCAAATGGAGATTCGAAATTGGATTGAAAGCAGAAACAGATGTGTAAAAGGTTGAACTTGATGGACGTTTTCAATCTACACTAGGAATAGTACCATTATTAATACATAAGGCCTAGTGGATCATGTGGAATCAAATGATCGGGGACTTAATCCAAGATATTTATAAAGTTATATATTTATGTTACTTCCTGAAAAATGGTCACCAAATTGCCACTTTAGCAAAATTGACCCAGAATTCCTCTTTATAGATACACGTGGTGCACTTTTTAATTTCTTTTTTACAAAATAATTCTGCCTAGATGCAAGAAAGTGTATCAGAAGCAGCGATCTCCCAAAAAACATGGGAACCATCGGACAATAGTATAGTTGGCTCGAGAAGAGACTGAGGGCCTCTCACCTCCGGGTATAAGCCCAAGAGGTAAACACCCCTATTGAAAGTGACTTGATTGTCAACGACGTGGCTGCGATACCCCCCTCTCCCTTTTCTATCTCTCTAAGCTCTACTTACCCCATCTCTTTTCCCTTCTTCCTTCTCTCTTCCTCTCTCTTTGTTTTTGTTTTATTTTTTCCAGGCAAGATCACACGGTCGCAGGAATAATGTAGCTTAAGTACTAGATTGATTAGCAAATATAACGGCTACTTGTACTATTCAACTGCCTGTTTTTGAATTAAACATAAAATACCTCAATAGACTGCGGGTGCCAAAGGTATATTAAGGAACGGGCTTGCAATGATAAGGTTGTATTGTATTTCCTTGCAATGCTATTTAATTCAACTGGCTTCCTTATAAGCCCAAAAGTGAATGTACACCTGTTACGTTTATTGTAAAAATAAAGAATTAAAAATAAAAAAAAAATTTAAAAAAAAATTAAAAAAAAAAAGAAGCAGCGATCCCTCTGAGTAATATTAAAATGTGACCCTTTTAGTGAATTAACTGGGCACAATACAGGAGATATACAGAATAATCATGAAAAAAGTGGGCTTCAGAGCTTTTGACTGCGAATGTACCAGTGTTACTTTAAGGACAGTGTTCATTACAGATGATAAAGTAGAATTGCAGGCAGTATTATAGGGGCATAGATAGTAAGGGGTGCATACAGTATTAGAGAGGCAGAAATAGGGATGTAAGAAGGCAAGCAGAAGCACAGCAGGAATGTGGGGGTACAGGAATAGCATAGTGAGAAATAGGTATGGACCGATTATCGGTTTGGACGATATTATCGGCCGATATTCCAGATTTGGGCAAATATCGTATCGCCCACTATAGATACAGATATTGCCGATAATGTGAGAGGCGGAACACGTGGCTGTATTAGGGAGCAAGAATCGAGTGACTGGCAGGAAGGAAGTGCACAGCGCTCCCCCTACCAGTCACTCGGTGTAGCGTGGTCGAGTGGAACACTGTACAGGAGCTTCAGTTTCCTGTACCCTGTTGGACTGACAGTAAGTGCTCACTTCCTGTCAGTCCGGCCATGTACAGGAAACGGAAGCTCCTGTACCGTGGTCTGCTCCGCTCGGAGGTAATGAGGCACACCAGGGAGGGGAGAGGACAACTAAGGGGGGAACACACTAAAGGACATGGAGAGGAGAGAAACACTAAGAGGGGGAGAGAGGGGAGAGGAACACTAAGGGACAGGGAGGGAAGAGGTACACTAAGGACCCACGAGGGGAGGGGGAACACTAAGGTACAGGGAAGGGAGAAGAACAGTAAATATTCTTGAAAACATAAAAAATATCTGACTGGCATGTATATTTTGTGCATTTACCACTTAATAAAAAAAAAGTTAACAGTAAATTTGTGTAAAAATTTTCTTTTTTCAAAATTGTAAATATACAGAATATCGGTATCGGCCTGAAGGTTCACAGAATATCGGTATCAGCTCTAAAAAAGAATTTTCGGTCAATCCCTAGTGAGGAATAGTTTGGATGTGGGGGTACAAGAAGTAGCATAGTGAGGAACAGGTTGGAATGTGAGGTAGAGGAAGTAGAATGGAGAACAGGCCGGAATGTGCAGGTAGGGGAATTAGCATGAAGAACAGGCCGGAATGTGCAGGTAGGGGAATTAGCATGGTGTGGAAAAGGTTGGAACGTTGGGATACGGGAAGTAGCATGGAAAGGAACAGGTTTGAATGTTGAATTGAATGGAGAGGAACATGTTCCAATCTGTATCCTCATATACCAAGCGGTTTCCTTATAGTACTACCTAAACCAACAGGTAGTACTATCTTCGGACAGATTAGAATATGGAGGTACAGATAGTACTATAGAGGGGAAGGCTGGCATATGGAGGTGCAGATAATACTATAGAGGAACAGTTTAGAATATGGGGTAGCAGATAGTATTATAGAGGAGAAGGCTGGCATATGGAGGTACAGATAATACTATAGAGGAACAGGTTGGAATGTGGAAAGGAGGTAGTGCTGTATTAGAACAGATTGGAATGTGGGGGAGCAGGTAGTACTATATTAGAACAGGCTGGAATGTGGATGTGCAGATATTACAATATAGGAGAAGGTTGGAATGTGGGGGAGCAGGTAGTACTATAGAGGAACAGGTTGGAATGTTGGGGAAAAAGTAATACTATACTGGAAAAGTTTTGGGATCAGGAAGTACAACAGAGGAACATGTTTGAATTTGGGGTGCAGGTATTACTATAGAGGAGCATGTTTGAAATTGGGGTACAGGCTATAGTATAGTTTGTAATGTAGGAGTGCAGGCTGTAATCTAGAGGCATTGAAAGTAAGGGGGTGCAGGCTAATCTAGAGGCAGTGTGGGTGTGCAGGCTGTAATCTAGAGGCAGTGAAAGTAAGGGGGTGCAGGCTGTAATCTAGAGGCAGTGTGGGGGTGCAGGCTGTAATCTAGAGGCAGTGAAAGTAAGGGGGTGCAGGCTGTAATCTAAAGGCAGTGAGGGGATGCAGGCTGTAATCTAGAGGCAGTAAGGGGGTGCAGGCTGTAATTTAGAGGCAGTGAGGGGGTGCAGGCTGTAATCTAGAGGCAGTAAGGGGGTGCAGCTGTATAATCTAGAGGCAGTGAAGGGGCAGGCTGTAATCTAGATGCAGTGAAAGTAAGGGGGTGCAGGCTGTAATCTAGAGGCAGTGTGGGGGTGCAGGCTGTAATCTAGAGGCAGCGAGGGGATGCAGGCTGTAATCTAGAGGCAGCGAGGGGATGCAGGCTGTAATCTAGAGGCAGTGAAAGTGGGGGGGGGGCAGGCTGTAATCTAGAGGCAGTGAGGGGATGCAGGCTGTAATCTAGAGGCAGTGAGGGGATGCAGGCTGTAATCTAGAGGCAGCGAGGGGATGCAGGCTGTAATCTAGAGGCAGCGAGGGGATGCAGGCTGTAATCTAGAGGCAGCGAGGGGATGCAGGCTGTAATCTAGAGGCAGTGAGGGGATGCAGGCTGTAATCTAGAGGCAGTGAGGGGATGCAGGCTGTAATCTAGAGGCAGCGAGGGGGTGCAGGCTGTAATCTAGAGGCAGCGAGGGGGTGCAGGCTGTAATCTAGATGCAGTGAAAGTGTGGGGGGTGCAGGCTGTAATCTAGAGCAGTAGGGGTGCAGGCTGTAATCTAGAGGCAGTGAAAGTGGGGGTGCAGGCTGTAATCTAGAGGCAGTGAAAGTGGGGGGGGGTGCAGGCTGTAATCTAGAGGCAGTGAGGGGGTGCAGGCTGTAATCTAGAGGCAGTGAGGGGGTGCAGGCTGTAATCTAGAGGCAGTGAAAGTGAGGGGGTGAAGTGTTGGGGTTACCGCAGTCACTTACAGGCCGCTAGAAAACATGCCCAGTGTGAATAGCACACAGGCTGCAGAGAGCAGCCACATCTCGTCCATCTTGCTGGGTATTATCGGTAACTAGGCCAGGGTCCGAGACAGGCCTCCAGGGTACCGCTGAATCCACGGCTCGGGCTCCGGGATAGCTGGCACGAGAGGCCGGTGTCGAAGGGGTGCGTTCCGGAGACCCTGTATGACAGGCCGGGGATTGAGAGAGGCCCCCGGGGGAGCTGGTAGGAAAGGTCGGGGTCAGACAGGATTCTCCTCTTCCTAGTTACCTCCTCCCGGGCCCGCCTATAATACTGCCACATCAGCATGTGTTACTAGCCATCTCTATATATAACTTTCACAGTCCTTGCTGTTTATATGTGTGTATAATGCCATAGCACACTCAGTATGTCTCCAAGTTCCATTCAGAACTCTCTGTATATATCTGTCACATTAAGGAATTCCTCTGTAAAGAAAAATCAATTTCTGACTAACATTAAGACCCATTTCACTTATTGTATGATATGAGTGATGTGTCACATTCACAAATCTCACTCTAGTTGGAACTACTTGTATGAAGTTTACACAATGTACAACCCCTCATTTCATTGCTCTCTCTCTCTGTGCAAACATGCTGAATTTGTATATCTAATAGTATGTACATGTGATATTCTGGGTTCTGTGTGTGTGATAAATCTGCAAAACTAAATGTCTATCATACTAAATGCTGCTTATGTGTGTCCATGTGATGTGTCTGTAATATATATCTGTGTGACATCTAAGCTATGGATATAGCTGTATTTTGAGTGAGTGTGTGTGTGTGTATATATATATATACACACTGTGTGGACTTAAATGCTATTTGTCATGGCAAAGCTGGATGGTCCACCACATATTCACCTGGGTTAAATTTCTACGGGGGATGGCAACATTATGACTCGCTTGTGATATTTGTAAAAAAACAAACAACAACAAATCTGTATGTCATTGTGTCTTTACACCACATGTATAAATGTGTTTGTAGGTATATAAAATGGACGGTCTTTTGATACTGTATGCTTTAAATAACCACTCCATACACCACAACAACTTTATCATAATTAATTTTTTTTTTTAGTGCGAGACGGTCCTGAGCGCTGGCTTGTTAGGATCACTATAACCTAATACACAGAGCCTAGAAAAACAGACCGCTAGATGAACACGGAACATATTACCGGACCTCAGAGTGGCTGTACTTAACGTATATCCACGAGAGGAAATCGGGAATAGCCAAGGTCAGGGTTATAGAAATACGGGGTAACGGTATAACTAGCCATGGTCATGATACCGGAGATATGGATTACTAGCCATGGTCAAATAAAGAAAAATCAGATGACAATATATCCCACTAATTGGGAACAGAAACCATGACAGGGCAATGTGAAATGAGTAAGTATGTCTTTAAATATGATTGTGTGTATTCTGGTTTACATCACTCCTGCGACCCTGAAAAGTGCTGGAATGAGGTCACCAGAGTGACATGGTTACTTCCTAGCTGTCAGTGATGTTTTGCGATTTATTTGTATTAATAGACGTGACCCACCAGCGAGTGATCTACCCAATGGACGCACGCTGCGAGCACAGGAAGTACTGAGCATCGCGCCAATCAGGTAGGTTTCATTACGCGTTTTACCTTAAGGGGTTAAACCATTAACCAACATCATAACTTTAAAGTTTGGAATATGGCGACTGATTGCTCTGCTCCTCCATTTCCTCTGAAGGTCAGAGGCTTCAATCAAGCCTGAGACATTGAGTAGAAAAGTTACTTTTTTTTCACTCACTTTTCTAACTGCTAGTGATAGGTTGAGAGTGTCAGCTGTGCCCGATCCAAGGCTTTCTGATTAAAGTCTTGGACCCTCAGAGAAAGTGGAGGGACAGAGCAATTGAACACTGTCTTCCAGACTTTGTGGTTTAACCCTCATCCCAGTAAAGCTTTGACTAGGGTGAAAGGTTGAGGACATCCAATTTCTGAGATCTTAATTGCACGTTTTAGACCGAAATGGTGGAATTGGTATAATGCTGTAGCTTGCAGTTCACGTGTATTTATAAAAGAAAATCCTGTTTGAATAACCCAGTTGTATGTAGTCAATACAGAAATTGCCTTATGTTCATTGAGTAGCCTCTATGTATTTCTGTGGCTTCTCACATATGATGAACTAGTCTTTGTTTAGGATATAAATTACTTCAGGAGAGAGACACAAGATTCTACACATTGCTCTCTGTGTTATATACTGTATATAAATTGGAGAGGGTTAATATGGGTAGGAGGAGGGAGGTAGGGGGTTTCTCACTATAATACCTCACATTAGGGGTTATTTACCAGATTGAGAATTGCAAAGAATTGACAAGGAAATGGCAAGTTCTCAGCCATATTAGCTGAGAAACTTTATAAAACCTGACTAATATGACCCTTAAAATCGCGGTTTCCAGAATTCCTGGTTTACGGATTAATCCAAATGATTGGGATGTGAAATGTGAACTCAAGAGTTAATTTTTATTGCTGCATTTTTCAGCCTGCACTCTATCACCCCAGAATATAAGTGCTTGAATGTCTTCCACATGCATGCATCCCCCACACACTTCTCGGGTATCTTGCTTTTATGTACATATCATACTGCTTGCTTTCTTTTACACCCCCCTCTCCCATATGTACAACCCCTTGTATAACCCCTGACTCTTTTACCTGCATCCCCTTTTACATTCCTGCTGCCTTTATGCCTTCCTACTCTTCCTTTTTTACATCCTTCCTACATGTCTTTGCATTCATCCCCTTTACAATTATCATCCCCTAGATTAGAGGTAGGCAAGCGTTGGCACTCCAGGTGTTGTGGACTACATCTCCCATAATGCTCTTGCAGACATAATGCTGGCAAAGCATCAGGGTAGATGTAGTACACATCTGAATTGCCGGGGTCTGCCTATACCAGCCCTAGATTCTCGTGACCATTTGCAGATTATTTCATGTAACTATCCCCCCTATTTTGATGTGGCAGCTTCTCTGTGCAATTAAGCAGATTTGGGCGTAAAATAGTGTAACTGGGCAGGTGATCACGCTCTAAGGTTAACCGAGCAGATCTGCAGAGTTTTGCAGTCTGTAAGGGACTCCCTAATAGTCCAGACTAGTTTTTTGAGAGTCATTAGCCAGGACCTTAGAGAAGGATTGTTTAGCACCCTGGAATATATAGTCATCACATAAATCATTTTCATTAAATGCTTACAGCGTTGAATGGTGTGCATCATGACCTGTTTAACTCTGAAGCTCACTAAGCTGTCTGCTTATTCCACAGATCTTCCAGCTGTTTCTCCGAGCTGTGGTCACAATAGGTATGGGATATTTTCTTTATTATTGCATTTCAGCGGTTTAAAGATGTTTGCAGAGTTTAGACTGTATACTTTGTGCCAAGTATTGAAAATGATGTGTCTGTATGGGGGGCAGATACTGTGTATTAGCCAATATATTTATTGCAGCCCTGTGTTGTTAGGACGGATTGCTGAGAAGCCCATAAGGATGGACTGCTTAAAAGGTTTAGAAAGAAAAGTTTGGCTCCGGCAGTAAGCGTTTTCAGAGTCATAACTCCTGGGATTTGTCGAGTTCTGTGTTATTACATGTTAAGACTGTGAGCTCCTATACACGCCTTCATAATTCAGAGCCACAAGATTTATAGAAATGCTTTTTACTTCAGATCTGAGCATAGCAGCCCGAGGGTGAATGTACACATAATGGGTGATGGGAGCTTTCCCATGTGGTATAATGAGATTTAATACCATACCATGCTACCCAAACGAAGAAGCTGCACCTCCCCTCATCCCTTAACAAAATCCTGGAAGACTGTTTCTGCCAAGGACAAGCTGGCTCAGAACAATGCAAAATAATTATTTTGTATTGGTTTCAATGTTTCTATCCTTGTACCATACATGATTACTGTCTCCAAGGATGGCAACATTCTTGATTATTACTGAATAATATGTCAGTTACAGAGAATCCGATTTGTATTTCACATTCTATGCTAGTATAGCTAGTGTTCTCAGGTTAGACATTTGGCCTACAATTTGTAATACACTCTGAATTCACAGCAATTCACGCTTTGGTGAATAGCCCAGAGTGTGTCCTGCTGCTCGTATAAATAAAAGTATCTAACGCTCATCCCTACAGTAGATGCTTCTATTCTGTTCTTTCTCTATAATCAACGCCCATGTGCTAAAAACCTCATTTAAATTTCGTTGATTTAAACTCAACACCCCTATTACGCTTTTTTATTTATTTTTTATTTAATGTTTTGTTGTTTGACTTTCCCATGCTGGAGCATCACCTGTCATTTAGTTACCATTGTACTCACGGAGTTACATTTATTCAGCTGCTGCTGAGAGTCCATCACAGCCAGGTCTGACAGCAGGAGACTGACATTACTCAATTTAATACGATTTCCAAATAATTTCGCTCTGTTCGAAATACTTTCCAAAATAATTTTACGTACAAAAAGCGGGGGACCTCTTTAGATAGCTCACTTGGATCATTTTTAAAATTATTATTGGATAATTTGTTAAGCTTATTAAATTGAGGCCTTAAAAAGGCGGATTGAAAAAGTGCTAATATGATTTGTTAACCTGGCAGTAATTGTGTGGGTTTATTAAATGGACATTCTTATAATTGAATTCCCATAATGCATTTCCACATGTTTTAAATAGGATTACATTATATTATATATTTAGTGTGTGTATATATTATACAAAAATATATCAAAAGCACAAACCGCTGCAGTATTCGTCAAAGTAATTAATCAAGCATTATACATCACTATTGTATAATGCATGATTAATTACTTTGATATATATTGTAGCTGTTTTTGTATTTTGGTATATGTTCTCTTCATTGCCAATGGGACTACTTCTGTGTTTTGGATTTTTTATTACATTTATATTTTTAACATTATTGTGTTTTCTGTGTTGTATTGTTTAGAATCTGGGGAAGATTAAACACATGGCAGGGGGGAGAAATGAACGAGTCCTTTCCTTCTGTTACATTTATTACATAGGTGAGATAGGGAATTATATCACCTTTCTGCGTAACATTTTGAGCTGTGAGTTCATAAGATGGGGGAGAGAAGGAATTAAATTCCCTTTTCTTGCATCACTAATTCAAGTTCACTACAAGAGGGAAGGTGAGAATTATCCCCTTTTGTTATATTTAAAACTAGGGTTCTATACATGGGGCAGTATGGTAATTATCCTTAGAGGGGGGTGGGGAGGATTTATCACCCCTCCATCCTTTGCTACGTCTAGAACTGGAGTTTGTTACATGGGGAACAATGCAAGTTAACCAGCTGCTATTGTTACATCAAGAATAATGTTTCACTAGGGTGGCAGAGGGAGTAATCAGCCCTCATCCCACCTCCATGATACAGGGGGGAGGTTTGGAATTAAGAGGCCCATAGTCCCTTAGAACTAGGATAAAGAGATTATTATCCCAATTCTAAATATTCCAATACTGTCTGTTCCGATACTGATACCAGCTTTGTCTGTGCCTTTCTTTCACTGTATTTTGGCCGTCTTGTGATTTGTTTATGATGTAGAATATGTTGTACTGTGGCTTCCTGTCATAAATAGAGCCTTCAAGCATTCCCCGCTCTAACGTACAATGGACAATAGTGCTACAAGTGAGGGTCATTGAAATCTGGGCCAGCTATTCACTATTGCAAGAACAAAAGAATTTTCTTTTTTAAAATTTTATTTAAAATGCCTTCTTTATAAAAAAACAAAGTCAGATTACGGCCTATAAAACTGTACATTTTGTGCTTCTGTACAAATATACATTTGCTTTAGTCCTCAGTGGAGTCTCCGATATGGATTCTGTGCCTTGGGAAGTATGCATCGATAGCCGTTGCTCCCTTCAGGTCTAGCGGACAGTGAAATGGTACTTGGGCTACTGGTTGGACAATCTAAGGGTTCCTCTGCGGATGCAATAAGATTCAGTCTCTGCTATAAATATCTGTACTATAAATCTTTTTAAAACTCATTTACATATTTACAATATACATGTGTGCCTCGGACACCAGCAAAGACATCAAAATCGTATATAAAAAAAAAAAAATACTGTTGCTTAGGGGGATTAGCTGCACAGATCCCACTCGTTTCGACATCTTCGAAATGTTCCAGGGTAGCAACGCAGATCTCTGCCAGCGAGAATCTTCGTTCTAGTTCCCGGTAGGCAGTTGTCACAGCCCTCCGGCTACATTTTTTGTCTTTGTGCTACATATTCACGCTTTGCGCGTTATTTAGACCTTCTCATAATCTGGTCGCCTAGTGTTTTAGAGGTTTAGGATTGTGGAATCCAGATTAACACAAGAATGTCTATGCTGCCTGTGCACGTGTTCCAGTCATTGGCTTTCTGTTTCCTGATCCGGTCACTATCCCATCACAAGCAAAGAAGCATCAGTATTGGCATCAGCAGGCAGAGCACAGAGAATGAAACGGCTCTGGGGGAGTTGTTCTCTGCAACACTTTTTAGAACGCCTGGTAATTCTACAGAAGGCTCGTCTGTAAATTGAAGGAGAAATCAATGCATTAGAAGTGACACAGAATCTGTAGTACTGTAATAAGTTTTATCTGGTTATCTGAGGCACTAACTAGTGCAGGGCTATGAGACTAATTTCTGTTCTTCTGCTCATATTGATTTACTGGAAGGGCAGGGAGTGTGCAGACCCAAGGCTCAGTGTGCAGCCAGCATCTGTTCTTTATTTTTCTGGATTAGGGAGGATGGGCGGGTGCTGGGCTAGAGAGTCTCTGAGGATCTGCCCGTGTCTAGGGCTGGGCTGGGAATCCTATTTCTTTCTCTTGGCCCTGTATGTCCCAACTTGACTGCAAGAGAGTTCTTCTTACCTGATTGGATTCTGGCTTTCGGGGTGTGAACATTTGTGGAGGGCGGCTGAGCTGCAAAAATGAAGAGAAAAAAAAAAAAACAATGTCATCTCCAGAGGCAGAAAGTATGGCTATAAAAGCTTTCACTTAACATGTTCACTTTATGAGCGCTACCCTGCCTTTTGAAGCAGATTAGTCAGTGGACACAATTCTCCTAAACAGGCATCCTTTCATTAGCATTATTATTTTATTATTTATATAGCGCCATCAGATCCCGTGGCACGGAATAAGAATTGTAATATGCAATAGGTAGGTAAATACTTTGCGGAACTTGGAAGTCCAGTAATTCACCCAGAATTTTTCATTAAACCCTGAATCGTAGAATATTAAATTCCATATGGCAAAACTGAGGCTAAAGTAGCTGATCTGGAAAAATTCTCCAGCTCTGCTAAAGTTAGATGTTGATTACTTCTGCCTGAATTTTGCCACTCGGATTTTAACATGACCCAACTCAAGGTTTAGCCAATACTCTTGAATTATCGCACAGAACCCCAGTAATGTGCCTATTTCACAGCACATATTTATATTTGATTTTATCCATGCAGCAACACATATACAATTATCTGTTTATCACTGCGGTTCAAGACTAAGGGACTGCTACATCTTGTAAAGAAGGGAGATAAATGTACTTACTGGCTTTCCCAGCCACGTGCACCTTTAGTTTCATGCAAGACTCTCCATGATGGTGTATTGGTTTGGCTGGAAAAAAGGATGAGAACAGCTGTTAGGGCATTATAACCACACAGACCATAAGACCTAGTCAGCAGCCACAGAGCAGACAGCCCACAGGTAACTGCAGCGCCTCGGGCACAGTTACTCAAACAATACATTGTGTTTTTTCCTGATTTGCTGAGAAGACACTTTTCCGACAGGAACACCCCCCCCTCTTCCCGAAGATGTTTTGGGAAGTGGCTGACTGTGTTGCAGAGAGATTTATTTACAGACAGACCCTTTTACCAAAACATGACAGAGGGTTCACAGAGCTCTCGTGATTGTCACCCAGCACCCTGCTTCCCTGGTATTACAGGGCACGCCTTCTTCACATGCTGAGACTAGCAGCTAGATCTCAGCCCTCGTCTACGTACCCTGCCCGTGCATGTGCCGTCTTACTGCCAGCCAAGGAATCATTTCACAGCAGACAGAGAATAGGGAGATTATGGAATCTGAATCCCCAAAACACAGCTGCCTTTTACCCTACGAAATCCCAACTTTTTTAAAACCTGCCAGCTTCGCTGACATATGCCCGGCTTAGTTCCACTACCCGTGTCTAGAACTGCCAGCTATTAGATGTCAGATTAATGCCACCTTATATTCATGGAGCCTCTGATACTGTTTATATCTCTGCCACCTATACCTTCAGCTCCTAAATCTGCTATGACTGAGTAGTCCTGCCAGTTCCTATTTTTTAAGCCCCCGAACCCTGTCCATTTTCTTATAACAAGTTCTCAGCTTCTCATTGCAGTACTTACAGATATAGTAGTATGTGCCTCCTTCTTTGAATTCTTTTCCCAGGGTAAAGGGTGTGAACCTCTGGAATTTTTCGGAGAATTTCTCAGGTCCATGTGGAGCGAAGGGTTTATTGCACTCCCATCGCACTTGGTCCTTAGAGATGGGTTTACACGTTGAGTATTCTTCATATTCTACAAGGAACAAGGTGTATCTTTCCACTGTGTGACTGGGCGCACTGCCCTCCTCGTAATGTGGGCACACGATATCCAAGTAGTCGTTAAGTCGCACTTCTACGGTGTAATCATCCCAAAGAAACCTGCGGGAAGAAAGGGGGTCCACATGAGCCTCACTCTATTCATCATCTGTTATTCAAAACATTTATGGTCATGTTAGCAGAACGAGCACCGAAGGTCGAGGCACTAACAAATGTTCTTGATTAAACTAGGTTTTCAGATTTGAACAGGGGAATTTCTAGGCCTCAATAAAATGGTTTGAAAAGAATAATTACGTTAGCTGCTTTTCTTGGCAACTTGGTTGGTTTAAAATTGCAATTCCCTTTTCCCACAATTCCTGAACAAACCCAAGTGAAATATTAAAGATAGCCAAAAAAACAACAAAAAAATACTGTACCACGAGCTCATGTTTTAATAGACTGAAGAGCTAGCACTTATCTGTTACCAAAGTAACCCAACATCTAGGTTTACAGTTTTATTTCCCCATTCCCTGTGCTGACGTGAATTCAGAGAACATTCAGAATAAATATGAAAATTCCCGATCATTTCCTGCCGTCACACAGAATACTTTCACACTCTGGGGGTTGTGTACAAACAAGACGTACGCAATGGCCCCAGGTTGTACTTCTTAACCCGAGGTGATGAGAAGTGATTGTGAGTAACTATGACTCAACTCAATGAGCCAGGTGATATGAAGCAATGTGTGAGTGTCCCACAGCCAGGAAACATAGCCCCACATACAGAGATACATTCTACTCTACCCACAGAATAAGTGATATGCTCTCTCTCTCTATATATATATATATATATATCATTTGCAGGGTTAACCTGCCAGTCAGCCAGCTCCCCCAACCAGTCTAATGCTGATTAAATATTGTGAGGGAGGCCAGTATGGCTCACAGCCTTCCACTGCATAGCACCACATTCCTTTCTCCTTCTGCCTTAGCCATATACCAGTGGGGCTGAGCTGTTACACCATTAGACTGTAAGCTCTGTGGGGTACATATTCAAACACAGTATTCTATTACAAATAGGTTCTAAATCCTTGGATCAAAATAAAGTTTTAAGCTCATTGGAGCATGTTCTCCCACATAGCTTTAGACTGTAAGTGTATCTGTCAGGGTGTTGGATACTTTGGCTTGTTGACTTTAAGGTTTATGGTTCCCCTGTTGTGCGTTTGCGTTAAACGAGGCTGGAAAGGCTAGCTTCCTGGCTCATTTGAGGATTCCCTTGTGGAAATGTATGTTTAATTTGTCATATCAATAATGCATGTTGTATTTGAATAAGTTCTGGTGCAGGGTCTCTTCCTTAGTGTGTAGGCTCTTTGGATAGCATTAATAAGTTGCGTCCTATGTTGTACACACCTATCATCAGTCTTGTGTTAATATGGCCAGTTGGTGCCTCTTGGCCCTCGGGTGCTAAACATCACATACTCATTAACCTGGCCCCCAGCAGACTGCTTGTCTCCACTCAGTACTGCTTCTGTCAATAGGTCAAGAACAAGCTGCCCCTTTCCCTCCCTTCTCCAGCCCCAAGAGAGGGGCAAAGAAAATAAATGGGGATTTACTCCCAATCCTCTAAACAGTCTCCTATTACCCAAGCATGAAATCGAAAGCACTCAGCCATAATACCTCCTCCCCCCCTCCTGTGCTAACCATAAAGCAGTCCCAGCTCCCTCTGTTTGGGTGTATTTTCTGTCACCAAACAGCAACCATTGTCTCCAAAACTGGAGCAGAAAAGAATCAGTTGTTTATTTGGAAAAGCAATCAAAGCTTTTGAAATGTGAATAATATGGCTGAGTGCATCCACGCACAGCAGTTCCACATTAATTCTCGCTAATTGGAGATCCTTACAGACTGGTACAGAGAGCTACGCCACCCTCGAGAGGGTATATAACTGGCATTTTACATAGAATTATGCCTTGCTTGTGTAGTTTTTATTTTATACAATTATACTGTTTGCACGCAGTATAGTGTGTGTTCTAACATAGGACAGTCACTAATCCCAGGACTCATTAGGGCTCTTATACTTTCCCACTTGCTATGACAGACCCACTAAGGCTGTAATTCTGTCACTCTGTGCCAGGACAGACCCTTAGTGCTATAAGTGTCAATGTGTCCCATAGGGCTGTATTAGTGTCACACAGAGTCTCTAGAGGTTTAATAGTATCACACTGTCACCCATAGGAGTGTAATAGTGTTAATTTGTGCCAGGACAGTGCCCATGTGCTGTAATAGTGTCACACTGTGCCCCCTAGGGTTGTAACAGTTTCACACTGTGCCCCCTAGGGTTGTAATAGTTTCACACTGTGCCCCCTAGGTTGTAATAGCTTCATGCCCTGCCAGGACAGACTTCATAGGTAGTCGCTGTAAATCACAAAAGCTGTGGTATAGTTAAAAAATTGGAACCCCTAGGATTTGTTTAAAAAAAACACAGCCATAAACAGGCTCCTCACTCACTCTCAGAACATCTCTCCACCTGTAATCTTGTTAGAACTTTACTCTTCTCCCCCTCTCCCTACCGCAGTATATAGGTGAACGTTGCCAAGAAAACTTCAGGTCTTTGCCCTCTTCTCTAGTGAATAATAAACTAGTTGATAAGTTTTTTTCGGCATGGATCCAAGCTGTCCTATTGGATTTATATTTTCTTCTCCAAAATCACAATTAAAGAAGAACCCACCCCCCACCACTTAAAAACATGTCCCACAGTATCCCACTCTGTAATTTCTGGTGTTTTTGGTATGTTACTGGGGTGCTCATTAGGGTGTGTGAAAGCAGCAGAGGGGGGAGGGAGTGTACTGCACGTAGCTTCTAGTTAATAAATGGCAGGACCTGTGTTTTTAGGCTTGTTTCCCTGGCCTGTTTGTTTAACTGAGCCCCAGATTCTCTCAGTCCTTTGCATTGTCTCTACATGAAGGGAGGGACATAGCTCAACAGCAGCCTTTGTTCTCCAAATTTATTTTATCCTAATGAGTCCCCATTAAAAAACACAAGTGCCACTTTATAATAAGAGAAAGCACTCGGCCAAGCAACACCTCCCTCACTTGTTATCATTGGCTTGAGATATAACAGCTGTAACGCAATTAGTGCAAGACACCTAGACTGTTACGAAATACAAATAGTACCAAATATACACGCAGACACAATCCACAAATTAGGCACCCAACATACACAATATTAGCACAAACCAGTCACAAACCATGTGTGATATGCATTGACACACCCCTTGCCCCGTCTACAGACACAATCCACATACTGTATATGAACATTCCATGTTCACAGTACAAACAGGGACAATCCTTGTACAATTCAAACACCACCACGTACACAATGTGCACAAAACATACACAAAATGTATTCTTTGTACGCAAAATATATACAGACCCGTACATACATACTATATCCCATTGTACAGCGCTACGGAATTTGCTGGCGCTATAAAAATAATATAATAATAATAATATGTTGATTTAATATATACAGCAGTACAATGAACACGTGCTATTCACACAGTATTTACATACGTAATCACACAGACAATGACAATTTCTTTGTGCCGAAAGACTCCATATTACTCTCAGGGCTGCAACAATAACATCCAGCAGGTTTAATGCCAGTCCCTGTTTGTAAATGTTTGTAAATAGTTTTGCAATACGCATCATGGCATTGGTGTGTGTGGAAGTGTACATGGGAGGGAATGGGCTTGTGACCATAGCAATTGTATGTTTATGGTTTACTTGTGCTTTGTTGTGCTTTAGCACGGTCAGAATGCTGCACGATGCATAGTTCTGCTTCGTATCTGCGTGTACAAATGCAATCTGTTGCGGTATTTGAAAGGTTTGAAAATGATCCTCTGTCACAAATTGGTATTTATGAGTAACATCTGGATAACACTGCGGTCTGGTGTAATTTATTTCACACATGCCCCTCTTTGGTGCTACGTCTATTAGGACTGTCTGACTCCGGCATTCTGCGTCCCTGTGACAACAATGCTACATAATGTTTACATTTACTACAATCTAACCACAATAACGCTGATTCCTCCGCGCAACTTTCTGCAGTCCTAGAGATGCAGTGACACAGTACCCCAATTACAAAAATGCAAAGCACACGACGAGCAGAGTATTTTCTCCAGCCTGGCCTGGGGCATATTGGGTAGAGAATCCCAACGCGTCCTCTGGAGCCTTTGATCTGAGTTAGGTTGTGAAGGCTTTATGTGAACTTTTAATTAGTGTTACTCTCACTTCAAACATAGCTGCCCAGGAACCATCAGTTGTGGCCAGATCCCAAAATATTTTTCGCCGAGGGAGTAACAGAGCCCTTTAAGAACACTCTGATTCTCCCACACCAACTGCGTCTAAGAGTAGTGGGTTTTTGCACCAACTATATATAAGTGAATAATTATTGTGGCATCTTTGCGGTACACATTCTCCCATTAACAATCCTGTATTGCCTAGTGTGCTCAGTCTTGTCACATCAGGCCTAATCTGCTACTGTACACAATAGTTTATCGTGAGCCTCTATCTGTAATTGTACACAGACTTTTCACTTTGGCTTTGTATATGTACCCTGCCCTAACAATCCCCTCGCCCTGAACACTTAGCAGAAATAATGTTTAGTGACAGGTCAGGACAATTCATTAAAAGGCTCTGATGCAAGGTATTGTTGGTTCTTTCATTTGTCACTGGATTACATGTAAAACCCCTGAAACAGGTAATTCTACTTTTAATATTAACTCTGTAACTTCATCCAGTAACCTGACCTCTCTCAGCACCTGATTCTTCACATAACACCCACATGGGCCAAAGACATCACTCTTCACCTCCTCTAAGGAGAGCAAACCACAAAAAAACCAAAAACACAAACGGATAAACAAAAATCGCACTCGCAAACGGTTTTCCATGCAAGAAGCGCTTCTGTGTTTACCATGGATTAACATTCCCAGCTAACCACATTATTCTGGCTAAACAAAAAAACCATTCTAGCTCACTATGCACGGAATCCTGTGATGATATTCTAGCGTCAGGAATATTGTGCAGCATTGTCTGGCTAATTAGATGTGCAATTTGGGCGAAGTTTAAACATTTACTGTACACAGGGAGAGATTTGTTCTCACTCACAGTAGCGGCTAGAAGATTTCATGGCGCACATGACAGATTGCAAGCTCTGCGGGCCAGTACTTGTGAGAAGTGATTGCATCACATCTGGGGTTAAACAGGGGGTGGGGTGGAGCGACAGAGTGTCTTGGCAGCAGGACTTGTTGTTTTGCCTGTGAGGCTTTGAGATAAGGAAAGAGTTAGAAGAATGTTTTCAACTTTTTCCCTGGGTAATGATTCTCAATCACTGTCTTGCACAGAGTTATCTAATAATCTTCCCTTTGTCATGCCTAGAGTAGGTATTAGATGGTTAGCTCTTTGGTTAGATGGTTAGCTCTTTAGCCTTTGACCTCTGACTATGTGCTAGGTTTAGCATGGGTTTTCCAGGTCATGGCATGATGCCCACACTGAACATGGGAAGAAATGCCTGCACTATGAAAGGAAGCCTGCAAGGTCTGAGAAAGGAAAAGCAAGTCAAGAGGTTTCCTCTGCAGCCTTCCTGCTCCAACTCCGGAAAAAACAGGGATCACTACTCAGATAGGGCTGGTCTTATCCCAGCCAGGTCTGTGTCCTTACTACACATGCTAACCAGGAACAAAGTGTAATGTACCCTAGCCAGGGCTGCCACATAGCCCTGCTAATCAGAATCACAAGAATTGTGAAATAAAACGTATTGTACCTTCGCAAGGCTTGCCACATTACTACTCTGACCAGAAACAAAGATGTCTATTCACCAAATGCTAAACTGAGTCCACTTGTTCAGACTCCGCCGTTGAAACTGAATGTTTGCTATGTGAAACCCATTCGGCAATTTCCACTATAATTTGGCTGCTCTTCTATTAGTTGTTAAAATTAGTTAAATCAATACTTTGATGGCTGTTCACAAACAGACGAATTGCACTTTAATCCCCTTAATTCTTTCCATCCAGATACAGTTCCAAGAAATTGCATTCGCAACCCTTATGCCCCTAAACAACCCTAAAGCTACTCCCTCCATCCCCTACCCAATAATAGTACCCCAACCATACTTTAACCCCCCCCCAACCTTCTTTGCCGTTGCAATGATAACCACTTGAAATTAGTAAGAAACTAGTTTGATCAGTGTATTTTTGTTTTTAATTAAGCCACTAGTGAACACAATTTGGACTGATGCTAACAGAATTAAATTACCACTTAGTAAATAAATGTAACGTACCCCAGCCAGTCCTGTCACCTTACTACAGAAGCTAACCAGAACCATGTGTAACGTACCCCAGCCAGTCCTGTCACTTTATTACATAAACCAACTAGAACCATGTGTAACGTACCCCAGCCAGTCCTGTCACTTTATTACAGAAACTAACTAGAACCATGTGTAACGTACCCCAGCCCGACCTGTCACCTTACTACACAAACCAACTAGAACCATGTGTAACATACCCCAGCCAGGCCTGTTACCTTACTACAGAAACTAACCAGAACCATATGTAACATACCCCAGCCAGTCCTGTCACTTTATTACATAAACCAACTAGAACCATGTGTAACGTACCCCAGCCAGACCTGTCACCTTACTACACAAACCAACTAGAACCATGTGTAACATACCCCAGCCAGGCCTGTTACCTTACTACAGAAGCTAACCAGAACCATGTGTAACGTACCCCAGCCAGTCCTGTCACTTTATTACATAAACCAACTAGAACCATGTTTAACGTACCCCAGCCAGACCTGTCACCTTACTACACAAACCAACTAGAACCATGTGTAACATACCCCAGCCAGTCCTGTTACCTTACTACACAAACCAACTAGAACCATGTGTAACATACCCCAGCCAGTCCTGTCACCTTACTACAGAAACTAACTAGAACCATGTGTAACATACCCCAGCCAGTCCTGTCACCTTACTACAGAAACTAACTAGAACCATGTGTAACGTACCCCAGCCCGACCTGTCACCTTACTACACAAACCAACTAGAACCATGTGTAACATACCCCAGCCAGGCCTGTTACCTTACTACAGAAGCTAACCAGAACCATGTGTAACGTACCCCAGCCAGACCTGTCACCTTACTACACAAACCAACTAGAACCATGTGTAACATACCCCAGCCAGTCCTGTCACCTTACTACACAAACCAACTAGAACCATGTGTAACATACCCCAGCCAGTCCTGTCACCTTACTACAGAAACTAACTAGAACCATGTGTAACATACCCCAGAAAGTCCTGTCACCTTACTACACAAACCAACTAGAACCATGTGTAACATACCCCAACCAGACCTGTCACCTTACTACACAAACCAACTAGAACCATGTGTAACGTACCCCAGCCAGTCCTGTCACCTTACTACACAAACCAACTAGAACCATGTGTAACGTACCCCAGCCAGTCCTGTTACCTTACTACACAAACCAACTAGAACCATGTGTAACATACCCCAGCCAGTCCTGTCACCTTACTACACAAACCAACTAGAACCATGTGTAACATACCCCAGCCAGTCCTGTCACCTTACTACACAAACCAACTAGAACCATGTGTAACGTACCCCAACCAGACCTGTCACCTTACTACACAAACTAACTAGAACCATGTGTAACGTACCCCAGCCAGTCCTGTCACCTTACTACACAAACCCACTAGAACCATGTGTAACGTACCCCAGCCAGTCCTGTCACCTTACTACACAAACCAACTAGAACCATGTGTAACGTACCCCAACCAGACCTGTCACCTTACTACACAAACCAACTAGAACCATGTGTAACGTACCCCAGCCAGTCCTGTTACCTTACTACACAAACCCACTAGAACCATGTGTAACGTACCCCAGCCAGTCCTGTCACCTTACTACACAAACCAACTAGAACCATGTGTGTGTACCCCAACCAGACCTGTCACCTTACTACACAAACCAACTAGAACCATGTGTAACGTACCCCAGCCAGTCCTGTCACCTTACTACACAAACCAACTAGAACCATGTGTAACGTACCCCAGCCAGTCCTGTCACCTTACTGCACAAACCAACTAGAACCATGTGTAACGTACCCCAGCCAGTCCTGTTACCTTATTACAGAAACTAACTAGAACCATGTGTAACGTACCCCAGCCAGGCTGTCACCTTACTACACAAACCAACTAGAACCATGTGTAACGTACCCCAGCCAGGCTGTCACCTTACTACACAAACTAAGAACCACACTGGGACAAGCCTGCTCTGCTGTTCCCAGACACTGTGTATGTCAGGGTGTATCTTAGTGAAGGGTGTGATAGAGTCCTGCTGCAGGTAATTGTTTTATTAGAAATCATGAAAAGCCTGGAGCAGGCAGATGTCCTATTTGTGCACTGGGAACAAAAAGCGAGTGACCCTCATGGTGACACACGAGGGGCTGCAGAGTGCATGTACCCCATAATACAAGAGACAACTTTCCTCAGTTCACTTTAATCTGAATCCCATCCCCCAATGACCCCCCATTGCTCCCGGTCACTCCCCTCTGGCTCTGTGTGTCCCAAACAGAGGCCACAGCTGGCTGGCTAGCAAAGCTTTCCTAAAACAAATTCACTGGACAATAGACCTTCTCCTCCACCCCTCCCCCAGACCCAGCAGCATGACTTTTACAGGAGTTTAACTCTTTCTGTCCTTAAAATATAGAATAAGTGTGTCTGTAGATACTGAACCCCCAAATCACCATTCCATTCCTCTCTACCCAAACTCCTGGAATGAAGCCCTGACTCAGACCTTCCTGTAAAATAAAACTCACTACCTGGCCAAGTATTAAGCAAGTGTGACTCACACATCAAAGACGATTCATAACACACTGCCCACACTCACAAGAGAGGCACTCACACTGCCCACACTCACAAGAGAGGCACTCACAAGAGAGGCACTCACACTGCCCACACTCACAAGAGAGGCACTCACACTGCCCACACTCACGAGAGGCACTCACACTGCCCACACTCACAAGAGGCACTCACACTGCCCACACTCACAGAGAGGCACTCACACTGCCCACACTCACAGAGAGGCACTCACACTGCCCACACTCACAGAGAGGCACTCACACTGCCCACACTCACATAGAGGCACTCACACTGCACACACTCACAGAGAGGCACTCACACTGCACACACTCACAAGAGAGGCACTCACACTGCCCACACTCACAGAGAGGCACTCACACTGCACACACTCACAAGAGAGGCACTCACACTGCACACACTCACAAGAGAGGCACTCACACTGCACACACTCACAAGAGAGGCACTCACACTGCACACACTCACAAGAGAGGTACTCACAACGCACACACTCACAGAGAGGCACTCACACTGCACACACTCACAGAGAGGCACTCACAACGCACACACTCACAGAGAGGCACTCACACTGCCCACACTCACAAGAGAGGTACTCACACTGCTCACACTCACAAGAGAGGTACTCACACTGCCCACACTCACAGAGAGGCACTCACACTGCACACACTCACAAGAGAGGCACTCACAAGAGAGGTACTCACACTGCCCACACTCACAAGAGAGGCACTCACAATGCCCACACTCACAAGAGAGGCACTCACACTGCCCACACTCACAGAGAGGCACTCACACTGCCCACACTCACAGAGAGGCACTCACACTGCACGCACTCACACTGCACACACTCACAAGAGAGGCACTCACAAGAGAGGTACTCACACTGCCCACACTCACAAGAGAGGCACTCACAATGCCCACACTCACAAGAGAGGCACTCACAACGCACACACTCACAGAGAGGCACTCACACTGCCCACACTCACAGAGAGGCACTCACACTGCCCACACTCACAGAGAGGCACTCACACTGCCCACACTCACAGAGAGGCACTCACACTGCCCACACTCACAAGAGAGGCACTCACACTGCCCACACTCACCAGAGAGGCACTCACACTACCCACACTCACCAGAGAGGCACTCACACTACCCACACTCACCAGAGAGGCACTCACACTGCCCACACTCACAGAGAGGCACTCACAGGAGATGCATTTACACTGCCCACACTCACAGGAGAGGCACTCACATAGTCAACACTTGCAGGGGAGTCACTCATATTGCCCACACTAACAGGAGAGGGACTCACATGATCAACACTGTACTGTACTGTGAGCACTAGACTTAGTACATATAGCGAATATAAATCACAAAGTTCATAGCTTCCACTGTTAACATACAACTCCATATGCTGTGCCGCTCTCAATATAGCAATTCTGCTTTCCAGTGAAGTTCTTTAGAAAAGCCCAACATTCCTGACTTGATGGCACATAGCCTCTCTTTCTGATGTGCAAAGCCCCTCACAGTGTGCAGTGTGAGTCCCTCACCCTTCAAAGCATAGAATTGCACTATGCAACACATAACCCCTCAGCTATTAGATTTGCCCCCAGCTGTGCATAGTCCTCCATGCTGCAGGGCAGAGCTTTTTACCCATTCACCCTGCAGAGCAAAAATCTTCACCCAGCTGTGCACAGCCCCTCACTCTGGAGAACACTTCACCTAGCTATGTGTAGCCCCTCACCCTGCAGGGCAGAAAACCTGTGCATAGCTCTTGCAGTTCCATGTTATAGGTTTGTAGGTAAATCCATTTCCAGAATGTACACAGTGTATCTGTCACACATTCAACACTGTATCAAATGTGTGTGAAAGTTATTATCACAAACCAACATATCCAGCACACACTGTGATCTCTACAGCTGGGTTTCTCAACTAGATGCCACAAGTAACAGGTTAATACAATCCCTCCAGCACCAACCTACCATTAACAGCTTTCCACCAAGTACCTTAAACACCTTAAAGTAAACAAGCGCTTGCTTAACCCTTTACCCTGGTCACAGGCATCTGATGGAGAACTCAGTCCTCACCGTATAACACGTACCCCATGCAGATATCTTGTATCACATAGTCCATATAGCAAACTCCATATCCGACACTCATAACCGTATGCTAGCACTGTATCGCCTCTATACAAATTATGTAACACATGTCTCATTTCATAAAAAATAATATTCTATACTCCAGCACATACCCCAACACTGTAGTATTGCTAGATTATTTTAGCCGTATCAGAAAGTACAAGAATGCCCTTATTAATCCATTCTTTAACTGCTGTCCCCTCTGTATTCTAGTTCTGTGTTCATCACCCATTGCCCTTTAATATTTTATCTGCGCCTGCACTCTCCCATATTGTAGTATTTCCCTGTATATATATATATATTGACCCCAGTGCTTTTAGGGCTTGCTCAATTACCCCTTTATCCTATGACACCCCCAGATTTAGGCAGGTTTGTCTCATTCCCAACTTATCCTGAAGTACGTGCTCACTTGTCGTAGTCTAGTCCATACAGATTTTCCACCAGCCTTTAAACCTGCGGTTACAGTGTAATAAAGTTCCTCTCTTGCAGATAAGCCACTTACCTGCTGTTCGTACTGTTCCAGAAAACGGTATGTCTGTCTGCAGATACCACCAAGATCCAGATACCCAGCACAAACAATCCATACAGCTCCATGGTTAGACTCTGTTCACAACTGTGTGTTTGCAGTGAGATGTGGGCTTTTCCCTCTTGTATGACAGTCTCCTCCCTCCTGCTTCTTACATATTAATGAGGGTGTGACAGCCCCTTCCCTGCAGCTGCCTGAGTGCTGTCTCCTTTGTGGTGTTTATGGACTGTGTCTGATTGTAATGTTATTGCTTTAGGAGACAGTCTGATGTTGGACCCCCACCCTGAATGGCCAAGTCCTCCAAAGGTGCTCTCTGATAAAGATGTATCTGTTTTATACCAACATTCTAAAAGAGTATGGGTTTGTGGGAGTACGAAGTAGTTGGATTAATATTTAGACATTTGGAAGCTTGGGGGGACTTCTATTTCTTGTTTTAGAGGGGGTCCCCTTTTATATGCCATGATTTATGTGTTTTTGTCCTCGGGAGTTGATCCAAATAAATGATGCTATTAATTCAATAAAGACCCAAACTGTCAAGGATCACTCTACTGAAGTGTGTCCCATTAATAGCTCCCTGGACAAATGCATAACAATGCAGACAGATTATAAAGAGCTCCCAGTTTAATGCAGAGCCTGTATTCCTACACACACTAATTACAGAGAGTAGGTGAGCTGGTGATAAAATCTAGATCTGCAACATTAGCTAATGATACGTGATCGCCCACTGTCTTCGTGATTGAACTGAATGACATCACCCTGATTATTTATTTCTATTTCTCCACTATCCTGTTTCCCTCGTGTACCCAGGAGACCACATCTGGAGATCGGTGACCTTGGGGAGCTAGCACGTATAACACCAATTACACATGTACCCAATATTTGTCTCACAGGCGGGGGATCGTTACGCAGGTGAGATCCCGAATCAAGGGCTGAATGTTGGTTGACGCAGGGAAATGGTATCAAACACACACAGATGGAATTTAAGCTCCTTGCAAATGAACCTCAGTATCAGCTCCTGGGAACCCCAGTATCCATCACACAGATGGAATTTGAGCTCCTTGCAAATGAACCTCAGTATCCGCTCCTGGGAACCCCAGTATCCATCACACAGATGGAATTTGTGTGACTCAGAAAGCTTTGCACAATTAAGATTAGATTGAAGAGCTCCACCTGAATACCAGAGAATCCTATACATAAATGGACTATAATTTCATTAATTAACTCCCCACAGTTAGACTTTTGGATCTATTGCACAAATGGAGTTTGGTTAACTTGGGGGACTTCCCGTGAATGCAGCCCATAATTAGATACAAGAGTGGAGTTTGGTTAAGCCATATAAAAAAAAAAGGAGGTTCCTGTTCTCTCTCTTCTCTGTGGACATTGTAATAATGTCCAAACCATGTGCCTCGTTTATGTGTAGAAAACATTTGTCCTATTGGCTGCTCTAATTCAATATAATTTATTACAAGTTATTTTGTTCGATTCTTTCTTTGCCTTTCCATATCTGCTAGCCATGGCTTTGACTTTATGTCTGCCATTATATAGTCTAATGTGCTACTGTAGTGATTCACATCCAACTAAGTTAGCTTGAAGGTCATTATAAGAGGACCACCCTATCAGTCGGTGGGTCTGCACTTTATTTACAGGGAATTAATTAGTGTGCTAAGCATTAATCAATGAAAAAAGGACAATGCACTTCCCCTTTCATTACAATGAAGCTAAATCAGACATCATGTAATTGAATGAGGACTTACATAATTGATCTAATAATACCCTGTGTTGTTTCGGCAATCCCTGTGTTAATCATCTATCATGGAGCACAGGAATTCAGGGTTGCGATATGGGTGCTGAAAGTATGTAGGTCGGGGAAACTAGGGCATGGATGAAGGTGTGATCTGGATACAGTTTGGGGTAATTGGGTATTCACGCCACAGAGGTGGGTGACTGGGGATACCAGACAAGATGTGGAGGTCACTGACTATTAGACCATATATTGGGCTATGGGGTGACTCTGGATGTTCTAAATTATACAGAGTGAGACAGGAGAGGGATTGGGTGGTTATTGCTGTGCTGGGACTGTACTCAGTGTAATTACTGGAATGTGCTCAGCCATTCCAAGTTCCAGGAGCTGATGGGATCATTGAGATAAGGCTGGGTATAGCCTGCTCCTGCAGTCTGTGTGTCTCAGTGGGGTGTTGAGATGACAAGATAGGAGCATTGTGTAAAGGGATTTTGGGATGGACAGTCTTCCTGTGTGTTTATTGTTTGTTTACCATGTGATATCTGCTTGTGAACATATATCTGTTGCTCTACAGGAGAATATATATCTCACCTGCAGTGCTTGCATCCTAACCCTTATAATGAACTCCTTGGCATGCTAACACACAGGTATAATCAGTCTGAAATGCAGTGCTTCTACCCTGACCTTTTCACATCTCTTCTCTACATTGTTTGCTCTTAACCCTTTCTTGCCTTCTGAATTTGCATTCTAATGCTTTTTTGACCTTCAGAACTGACACTCTAAAACGTTCTCTTGTCTGGTTTGCAGAGCTTGCACTTAGAAGTCTTTACCTTCCATGGTCTGCAGAGCTTGCACTCTAGCGATCACTCTTGACTGCAGAGCTTGTACTCTGAGACTTTACCATTCCTGGTCTTCAGAGCTTGCAATCTAATGATTGCTCCCATCTTGTCTTTGAACTTTGCACTCGGAACCTTTCACCTTTCTTGTCTGTGGAGCTTGATCTCATATGATCACCCATTCATGATCCACAGAGCTTGCAGTCTGAACTATTCATTTGCCTGATCTGCAGAGCTTTCAGTCAAAACATTTTACCTGCCTAGTCTGAAGAGCTTGGCCTCTAACTATTAAGCCTCGGAAGCCTACAGTCTATTCCTATTTACCTATTGTCTGCAGAGCTTACACTCAAATAATTTCTCCTGCTTGTGCTGCATACCTTGCATGCCAATGCTGTAACATGCATGGGTTTTAGAGCATGCACTCTAATTATTTCTCCTGGCTGGCCTGCTGAGGTTTTTTTAACCATTATAACTTTCTTGTGTGCTCCACTTATACACCAGCAGTTTTGCCATCCTAACCTGCAGAGCTTGCACTCTTTCTCCCACTCTACCCTGTCCTGCCAAGCTTGTACTTATGCCATCACTCCTGTCTGCTCATTCTTGCATGACCTGCAGAGCTTGCACTAAAACCAGCTTTCTTGCCAGGCCTGCAAAGCTTTGAGCGGTGTGTGTTTATTCAGTGTCTGTTGTTCTGCTGATGAAAGGTGCTGGCAGGCTTCCACCAAGCTGGTATTTTCGTGTAGTGCAAAGAAGAGATTGTTGTCTGGTTAACTCATGCCGTGCCTCAGCCAAACCTGAAGACTGGGACGCCACTGACGTTTCTAAGCATTGAGGCTGTATGATAAAGCCATGTTGTGTTTTATTCTCTTGTTGGTATCTATCCCCAGTGCTTGCACACTATTTTAACGAAACGTGTGATTTTCCAGTAATTATGGTTGAAATTCCCATATTATTATTATTATTGCCATTTATATAGCGCCAACAGATTCCGTAGCACTTTACAATATTATGAAAGGGGATTTAACTATAAATAGGACAATTACAAATAAACTTACAGGAACAATAGGTTGAAGAGGACCCTGCTCAGTATTGTAACCATTTTGCTGTTGCAGCATCATGGGAATTGTAGTCAGTTGACATCATCTTGAGAAATGTAAGCCGTCATGGTGTTGGTCAATAAAATAGCCATCTAACCTATTCAATTCCTTCATAATATTTAGCTAGCTATCTCTTGTAAACCAGCCCTGTCAGTCTGACCTTTCCCTTCCCCTCGGAGGCGAAATTTTGTTATTTGTAGAAAGTTAGAAATAACAAAACAGCCAGAATAACCAGAGTTTGCGTGATGTGTAAATGCGCTGAACCGGCGGCGTGACATACCAATGTATCGGTGACGTAGGCGCTGTTATTTGAATTCCTTCAGAGTAAATAACATATCAAACCCCCTCTCCAAAAGTAATGCAAACAACAAGAAAAACATTTACTGGACTCATTCCAGCTGCACAGAGTTAATTCAAAAGAGGGGTCCGGTGATGATAATACGAATCCACCTTAGGCTTATAACCACCGAGTGCAGGGAAATGAATCAATGGGTCTTGATTTGATCTCCATGTGCCCTAGGCCTGTGTTTTCTGTCTGTTTCTGTATTCTCACTGTGCTCTATGTAACGCTCTCTGAATTTTGTCCCTCTGTTCGATTCTCTGTCTCTTGTCTCTCAGTATAACGCCCTGTGTTCCATCTTTGGAATGTCTTGTGGCTCACCATGTCCCACTGTAGCCCCTTCTTATGGCTCTGGTAAATCATGTATTAGATTATGTATGTGAAATGTGTTTGTGATGCTTTTCTCATGTTACCCACCACCAGAGAGCTGGCTTGGGGGTTTACCCCCTGTCCCCGCCTCGTGTTTCTCATCTCCCCTCACTCAGCAGTTCTCTCCTAAACGCTGAAATCTCACTTTTATTTCATGAGCTAATCTATTGATTTGGGGAAAGCTGCCCTGCTCTGGGCCGTGGGGACATGCTCTGGTTTCAGTTAAATAGCCTTTCTCTTGAAACCCAAAACTCTGTGAGTCTCATAGCTTTTCGCTCTTACTCTGTATTCTGCAACCCAATACGCCAGTCACAAATGGTTGCTTATCCCAGGGTTACCTGTAAAATGTCCTCCCTAGAACGTATTCCAAATCACATTGGTTGTAAGGGACCAAAATCAACTGAGCGGTTCCAGTCCTCCTGTAAAAACTAGCCTAAGAGCTGGGCCTCTCAGCAAAAAGCTGTCCTGTGCTTGTAAAACTAAGTGTTTCTGCTGTAAAAAATATAAAGCTTAAGTAACTTGGCTAATAGAATACAACCACAATGCCGTGCTGAATACAGTCTGAATATAGCCACAACACCGTCCACAATATAAACTGAATACAGCCACAACACCGTCCACAATATAAACTGAATACAGCCACAACACCGTCCACAATATAAACTGAATACAGCCACAACACCGTCCACAATATAAACTGATTACAGCCACAACAGCGTCCACAATATAAACTGAATACAGCCACAACACCGTCCACAACAGCGTCCGCAATATAAACTGAATACAGCCACAACACCGTCCGCAATATAAACTGAATACAGCCTCATAACGTCCACAATATAAACTGAATACAACCACAAAACCGTCCACAATATAAACTGATTACAGCCACAACACCGTCCGCAATATAAACTGAATACAGCCTCATAACGTCCACAATATAAACTGAATACAACCACAAAACCGTCCACAATATAAACTGATTACAGCCACAACACCGTCCACAATATAAACTGAATACAGCCACAACACCGTCCACAATATAAACTGAATACAGCCACAACACCGTCCACAATATAAACTGAATACAGCCACAACACCATCCACAATATAAACTGAATACAGCCACAACACCGTCCACAATATAAACTGAATACAGCCACAACACCGTCCACAATATAAACTGAATACAGCCACAACACCATCCACAATATAAACTGAATACAGCCACAACACCGTCCACAATATAAACTGAATACAGCCACAACACCGTCCACAATATAAACTGAATACAGCCACAACACCGTCCACAATATAAACTGAATACAGCCACAACACCGTCCCAATATAAACTGAATACAGCCACAACACCGTCCGCAATATAAACTGAATACAGCCACAACACCGTCCGCAATATAAACTGAATACAGCCACAACACCGTCCGCAATATAAACTGAATACAGCCACAACACCGTCCGCAATATAAACTGAATACAGCCACTACAGCGTCCGCAATATAAACTGAATACAGCCACAACACCGTCCACAATATAAACTGATTACAGCTACAACAGCGTCCACAATATAAACTGAATACAGCCACAACACCGTCCACAATATAAACTGAATACAGCCACAACACCGTCCGCAATATAAACTGAATACAGCCACAACACCGTCCACAATATAAACTGAATACAGCCACAACACCGTCCACAATATAAACTGAATACAGCCACAACACCGTCCACAATATAAACTGATTACAGCCACAACAGCGTCCACAATATAAACTGAATACAGCCACAACACCGTCCACAATATAAGCTGAATACAGCCACAACACCGTCCGCAATATAAACTGAATACAGCCACAACACCGTCCGAAATATAAACTGAATACAGCCACAAAACCGTCCGCAATATAAACTGAATACAGCCACAACAGCGTCCTCAATATAAACTGAATACAGCCACAACAGCGTCCGCAATATAAACTGAATACAGCCACAACACCGTCCACAATATAAACTGAATACAGCCACAACACCGTCCACAATATAAACTGAATACAGCCACAACACCATCCACAATATAAACTGAATACAGCCACAACACCGTCCACAATATAAACTGAATACAGCCACAACACCGTCCACAATATAAACTGAATACAGCCACAACACCATCCACAATATAAACTGAATACAGCCACAACACCGTCCACAATATAAACTGAATACAGCCACAACACCGTCCACAATATAAACTGAATACAGCCACAACACCGTCCACAATATAAACTGAATACAGCCACAACACCGTCCGCAATATAAACTGAATACAGCCACAACACGTCCGCAATATAAACTGAATACAGCCACAACAGCGTCCGCAATATAAACTGAATACAGCCACAACACCGTCCCAATATAAACTGAATACAGCCACAACACCGTCCCAATATAAACTGAATACAGCCACAACACCGTCCACAATATAAACTGAATACAGCCACAACACCGTCCGCAATATAAACTGAATACAGCCACAACACCGTCCGAAATATAAACTGAATACAGCCACAACACCGTCCGCAATATAAACTGAATACAGCCACAACAGCGTCCACAATATAAACTGAATACAGCCACAACAGCGTCCGCAATATAAACTGAATACAGCCACAACACCGTCCACAATATAAACTGAATACAGCCACAACACCGTCCGCAATATAAACTGAATACAGCCACAACAGCGTCCACAATATAAACTTAATACAGCCACAACAGCGTCCACAATATAAACTGAGTACAGCCACAACACCTTCCACAATATAAACTGAATACAGCCACAACACCGTCCACAATATAAACTGAATACAGCCACAACACCGTCCACAATATAAACTGAATACAGCCACAACAGCGTCCGCAATATAAACTGAATACAGCCACAACACCGTCCACAATATAAACTGAATACAGCCACAACACCGTCCACAATATAAACTGAATACAGCCACAACACCATCCACAATATAAACTGAATACAGCCACAACAGCGTCCACAATATAAACTGAGTACAGCCACAACACCTTCCACAATATAAACTGAATACAGCCACAACACCGTCCGCAATATAAACTGAATACAGCCACAACACCGTCCGCAATATAAACTGAATACAGCCACAACACCGTCCACAATATAAACCGAATACAGCCGCAACACCGTCCACAATATAAACTGAATACAGCCACAACACCGTCCGAAATATAAACTGAATACAGCCACAACACCGTCCTCAATATAAATTGAATACAGCGCCAATAACGTCCTCAATATAAACTGAATACAGCTACAACACCGTCCACAATATAAACTGAATACAGCCGCAACAGTTTATATATTATATTACTAGCATTTAGTGCCAGCATATTCCGCAGTGATGTACAATTGGGGGAAATTAAACAGTACGATATACACAGCCAAATACAAAGTTCTCCTGCTCATGAGATCTAGTCATGGAAGCTCATGAAGTAGCTTGCTGAGTACAGTCTTTATACAAGCGCAACACCAACTTGAGTGCCATCTCAGTACAGCCGCAGTGCTAACACCAGTACAGTCTTGGTACAGTCACACAATCAACACGGTACAGTATAAATAGTCACAAGTCCGGAGTACTGTCACGATTCAGCCCGTCACCAACAGGAGTACAGTCTCAATAGGAACGCAACACTATCTTGAGTATAGTCTGAGTAGAGCCGCAACACCGGCTCAAGCCTAGACTGGCTACAGCTGTGGCAACAAATCGAGAATTGCTCCAACATAAACACAAGTACAGTCAGAATACAGCGGCAGCCCCTTCCAAATACAACCTCACATCCATATATCCACAGCACTAGAACACTCAGAATACAGCCTCACATCCATATATTCACAGCACCAGCACTAGAACACTCAGAATACAGCCGCAGCCCTTTCCAAATACAACCTCACATCCATATATCCACAGTGCCAGCACTAGAACACTCAGAATACAGCCTCACATCCATATATCCACAGCACCAGCACTAGTACACTCAGAATACAGCCGCAGCCCTTTCCAAATACAGCTTCACATCCATATATCCACAGCGCCAGCACTAGAACACTCAGAATACAGCCTCACATCCATATATTCACAGCACCAGCACTAGAACACTCAGAATACAGCCGCAGCCCCTTCCAAATACAGCCTCACATCCATATATCCACAGCACTAGTACACTCAGAATACAGCCGCAGCCCTTTCCAAATACAGCCTCACATCCATATATTCACAGCGCCAGCACTAGAACACTCAGAATACAGCCTCACATCCATATATCCACAGCGCCAGCACTAGAACACTCAGAATACAGCCTCACATCCATATATCCACAACGCCAGCACTAGAACACTCAGAATACAGCCTCACATCCATATATCCACAGCGCCAGCACTAGAACACTCAGAATACAGCCTCACATCCATATATTCACAGCACCAGCACTAGTACACTCAGAATACAGCCTCACATCCATATATCCACAGCGCCAGCACTAGAACACTCAGAATACAGCCTCACATCCATATATCCACAGCGCCAGCACTAGAACACTCAGAATACAGCCTCACATCCATATATCCACAGCACCAGCTCTAGAACACTCAGAATACAGCCTCACATCCATATATTCACAGCACCAGCACTAGTACACTCAGAATACAGCCGCAGCCCTTTCCAAATACAGCCTCACATCCATATATCCACAGCGCCAGCATTAGAACACTCAGAATACAGCCTCCACAGCGCCAGCATTAGAACACTCAGAATACAGCCTCACATCCTTATATCCACAGCGCCAGCACTAGAACACTCAGAATACAGCCTCACATCCATATATCCACAACACCAGCACTAGAACACTCAGAATACAGCCTCACATCCATATATCCACAGCACCAGCACTAGAACACTCAGAATACAGCCTCACATCCATATATCCACAGCACCAGCTCTAGAACACTCAGAATACAGCCTCACATCCATATATTCACAGCACCAGCACTAGTACACTCAGAATACAGCCTCACATCCATATATCCACAGCGCCAGCACTAGAACACTCAGAATACAGCCTCACATCCATATATCCACAGCGCGAGCACTAGAACACTCAGAATACAGCCTCACATCCATATATTCACAGCACCAGCACTAGTACACTCAGAATACAGCCTCACATCCATATATTCACAGCACCAGCACTAGTACACTCAGAATACAGCCGCAGCCCTTTCCAAATACAGCCTCACATCCAAATATCCACAGCGCCAGCACTAGAACACTCAGAATACAGCCTCACATCCATATATCCACAGCACCAGCACTAGTACAGTCAGAATACAGCCTCACATCCATATATCCACAGCGCCAGCACTAGTACAGTCAGAATACAGCCTCACATCCATATATCCACAGCGCCAGCACTAGAACACTCAGAATACAGCCTCACATCCATATATCCACAGCGCCAGCAGTAGAACACTCAGAATACAGCCTCACATCCATATATCCAGAGCGCCAGCACTAGAACACTCAGAATACAGCCTCACATCCATATATCCACAGCGCCAGCACTAGAACACTCAGAATACAGCCTCACATCCATATATCCACGCCAGCACTAGAACACTCAGAATACAGCCTCACATCCATATATCCACAGCCAGCACCAGAACACTCAGATACAGTCGCAGCCTTCCAAATACAGCCTCACATCCATATATCCACAGCACTAGTACCTCAGAATACAGTAGCCCCTTCCAAATACAGCCTCACATCCTCAGCAGCACTAGAACACTCAGAATACAGCTCACATCCATATATCCACAGCGCCAGCACTAGAACACTCAGAATACAGCCTCACATCCATATATCCACAGCGCCAGCACTAGAACAGAATACAGCCTCCTCACATCCATATATCCACAGCTCCAGCACTAGTACACTCAGAATACAGCCTCACATCCATATATCCACAGCGCCAGCACTAGTACACTCAGAATACAGCCTCACATCCATATATCCACAGCGCCAGCACTAGAACACTCAGAATACAGCCTCACATCCATATATTCACAGCGCCAGCACTAGAACACTCAGAATACAGCCTCACATCCATATATCCACAGCGCCAGCACTAGAACACTCAGAATACAGCCTCACATCCATATATTCACAGCACCAGCACTAGAACACTCAGAATACAGCCGCAGCCCTTTCCAAATACAGCCTCACATCCATATATCCACAGCACTAGTACACTCAGAATACAGCCGCAGCCCTTTCCAAATACAGCCTCACATCCATATATCCACAGCGCCAGCACTAGAACACTCAGAATACAGCCTCACATCCATATATCCACAGCGCCAGCACTAGAACACTCAGAATACAGTCTCACATCCATATATCCACAGCGCCAGCACTAGAACACTCAGAATACAGCCTCACATCCATATATCCACAGCGCCAGCACTAGAACACTCAGAATACAGCCTCACATCCATATATCCACAACACCAGCACTAGAACACTCAGAATACAGCCTCACATCCATATATCCACAGCGCCAGCACTAGTACACTCAGAATACAGCCTCACATCCATATATCCACAGCGCCAGCACTAGAACACTCAGAATACAGCCTCACATCCATATATCCACAGCGCCAGCACTAGAACACTCAGAATACAGCCTCACATCCATATATCCACAGCGCCAGCACTAGAACACTCAGAATACAGCCTCACATCCATATATCCACAGCGCCAGCAGTAGAACACTCAGAATACAGCCTCACATCCATATATCCAGAGCGCCAGCACTAGAACACTCAGAATACAGCCTCACATCCATATATCCACAGCGCCAGCACTAGAACACTCAGAATACAGCCTCACATCCATATATCCACAGCGCCAGCACTAGAACACTCAGAATACAGCCGCAGCCCCTTCCAAATACAGCCTCATATCCATATATCCACAGCACTAGTACACTCAGAATACAGCCGCAGCCCTTTCCAAATACAGCCTCACATCCATATATTCACAGCACCAGCACTAGTACACTCAGAATACAGCCTCACATCCTTATATCCACAGCACCAGCACTAGAACACTCAGAATACAGCCTCACATCCATATATTCACAGCGCCAGCACTAGAACACTCAGAATACAGCCTCACATCCATATATCCACAGCGCCAGCACTAGAACACTCAGAATACAGCCTCACATCCATATATCCACAGCGCCAGCAGTAGAACACTCAGAATACAGCCTCAAATCGATATATATCCACAACACCAGCACTAGAACACTCAAAATACAGCCGAAGAACTTGTTCAGTACAGTCTAAATTTGGCCTCATTGTGGTTGTATGAACACAACCGCAATGAGTATCACTGGCTCGGGGAACTTATCTAGTTGTTTTAGACACAGTGTTATAGACACTGCCAAGCAAGCTTAGTCTAATTGGCATAAAGAGAGACCATATGCCAGGGAGCTTGCAGTCTAGTGGTATAAAGAGAGACCATATGCCAGGGAGCATATAGTCTAATTGGCATAAAGAGAGACCCTATGCCAGGGAGTTTACAGTCTAGTGGTATAAAGAGAGACCCTATGCCAGGGAGCTTACAGTCTAGAGGTATAAAGAGACACCCTATGCCAATGAGCTTACAGTCTAGTGGTATAAAGAGAGACCCTATGCCAATAAGCTTACAGTCTAGTGGTATAAAGAGAGACCATATGCCAGGGAGCATACAGTCTAGTGGTATAAAGAGAGACCCTATGTCATGGAGCTTACAGTCTAGTGGTATAAAGGGAGACCCTATGTCATGGAGTTTACAGTCTAGTGGTATAAAGAGAGACCCTATGCCAATGAGCTTAAAGTCTAGTTGGTATGAAAAGGGACTTTGGGCCAGGGAGCTTACTGTCTTGTTGGTATAAAGAGGGACATTGGGCCAGGAAGCGTACAGACTAGTAATGTGAAGAAAGAGATTTTTGTCATATGATGGCTGAGTTATGATCTGATAACTAATGTGAGTATATCCCTGTGGCCTTTACTATGCCCCCCAAAAATATGGGTTTCTGTGACTGTAAACACTGCTGCTGGTGCTCTCCAACTTTCACCTGGTTTGTCTTGAACTTCACAAATAGGTTGTTTACGCTGTGAAGGGAGGTGATTGAAAACCTTACACAATCTATGCACGTAAACACATAACACGTGCAAATACCGCAGCTGTGCCTTCCAGCAATCAGACAGCCAGGCCCACTAGAAATAAAGCCAAAGAATACCTTGTGCAAACAAATACGCTACCTGCAGATATTGAACTGTATTATGTATCCAGAGCAAAGGGCTAAAAAATATCACCCTTCCCAGACGTGTTGTTACTCGAGAGCAGGGCACATCGATAATCGATAAAGTGATTTGTCTGCTGTAATCTCCACTTCAGAACAGTCCGTTTGAATACCAGATAATTACTGGTTACAAAATCCCAAAGCTAATTCAGTCTAAACAAGCCTACTTGGGTTACAGATAGCTAAATTTTATACCATTAGCACAGGTATTGTCTATCTCAGGGGTAGGCAACCTTCGGCACTCCAGATGTTGTGGACTACATCTCCCCTGATGCTTTGCCAGCATTACGGCTGTAAGAGCATTATAAGATACGTAGTTCAAAACATCTGGCGTTCCGGAGGTTGAGTAACCACGGTCTATCTTTGAGGCCTAGGGTCTTCTATCTATAACTGTGTTATTGTGTCCCTTTCTGTGGGGAGGTCTAAGCTACACACGGAAACGTCCTGTGCCGAAGAGCTTACAATCTATTAATGTAATGGGTAACACTATTCAAGGAGCTTGAATTGTTTAGCGGCAGATTGTAAGTTCCATTTAGTAACCGTGATATTATCACTGTGTGAAGATTCAGTGAAGCTAGGTTAGATGATGTAAGGATGTTCCCCATGGCTCTCTGTGCCCCTCAGGAATTGGGTGCTCAGCAGCTGTAATCTGTAGCTGTCCTTGTGGATGGCGATAGAGATGTAAACACTCTCAAATTCAAGTAATTCTACTTAAAGAATGTACATTCTAAACAGAATAGAAAGTGTAACACCATCTTACTGCAGGGAAACACAGAGAGAAAGGAATTATGAAACAGGTAGCCAACCATCTGCCTCCATCTGCAGAGGGACACAGACATAATGGAGCTATGGAACATGAAGTGTGCCCTTCACACTACAGTGTGACACAGACATAATAGAGCTATGGGACATTGAGTCTACTCTCCTTCATCATGACACAGAGAAGTGAGTTGAGGGACATGGTGTCTGCCCCTCCATCTGCAAAGAGACATAGAGGAGGGAGCTATGGGACATAGCATGTACCCCTCACATTGCAGGGTGACATAGAGGAGGGAGCCATGGGACATGGCGTTTTCCCCTTCACATTGCAGGTTGACATAGAGAAGGGAGCCCTGGGACATGGTGTCTGCCCCTCCAGCTGCAAGGTGACACAGAGAAGGGAGCTATGGGACATGGAGTGTAGCCCCCAGCTGTAGGGTGACAGAGAAGGAAGCTATAGGACATGATGTAGGGTGACAGAGAAGGAAGCTATGGGACATGGTGTGTACCCCTCACATTGCAGGGTGACATAGAGGAGGGAGCCATGGGACATGATGTCTGCCCCTCCAGCTGCAGGGTGACACAGAAAATGGAGCTATGGGACATGATGTCTGCCTCTCCAGCTGCAGGGTGACAGAGAAGGGAGCTATGGGACATGGAGTCTGCCCCTCCAGCTGAAGAGTGACATAGAGAAGGGAGCTATGGGACATCGTGTCTGCCTCTCCAGCTGCAGAGTGACATAGAGAAGGGAGCTATGGGGCATGGTGTGTACCCCTCACATTGCAGGGTGACATAGAGGAGAAAGCTATGGGACATCGTGTTTGCCCCTCCAGCTGCAGAGTGACATAGAGAAGGGAGCTATGGGACATCGTGTCTGCCTCTCCAGCTGCAGAGTGACATAGAGAAGGGAGCTATGGGGCATGGCGTGTACCCCTCACATTGCGGGGTGACATAGAGGAGAAAGCTATGGGACATCATGTTTGCCCCTCCAGCTGCAGGGTGACACAGAGAAGGGAGCTATGGGACATTGAGTCTGCCCCTCCAGCTGCAGAGTGACATAGAGAAGGGAGCTATGGGACATGGAGTGTACCCCTCACATTGCAGGGTGACATAGAGGAGGGAGCTATGGGGCATCGTGTCTGCCCCTCCAGCTGCAGGGTGACTCAGAGAAGGAAGCTATGGGACATGGAGTGTACTACTAACATTGCTGGGTGACATAGAGGAGGGAGCTATGGGACAGTGAATGTACCCCTAACATTGCAGGATTGCTGGGTGACATAGAGGAGGGAGCTATGGGATATGAAGTATACCGCTCCAACTGCAGAGTGACAGATGAGAGCTACCTAATACTTGCTAACAGTCCCTAAGTTTCAGGGGCAGTCCTGAATGTGGTACCCGAGACGCCATCCCTGAGTGTTTTCTCTTCTGTCCAGTGTCAGAAAACAATATGTAAGAAATCCAAGACATTATAACCCACACTTGAATGCCTGGGCAGTACTCACTGTGTGTGCAATTCAACTTGGACTCCTTGCCAGGCTGCCTGTCACCCTGGCATGACATACACACCCCATATTGTACTGGCACTCCCCCAGCAGCCCCCCTACTGTCCAGGCTACCCTACTTACCCATGAAGAAAATATGAGACAGTGAGGCTGTCCCTCCCAGGCACCCAGTGATCCAGAGCTGCTTTAGTATGTAGTATCCTTGAGATATGCAGAACTACTCTCACCTCTTAATGCTGCCCCCAATAACGGTAAGTCTACAAAACACTGCATCTGGGATCACTGCAGTTTGCTTTCTAAATGAATGTCCACTTTGATGTCCTCTGAGGTGAGAGTGTCAAATCTAATCAGACAGCAATTAGAAAAAGACTAGGCTGCTTGGCAGGGGGGCAACAATACAAGGCAAATGACTAATTGAATCAGCAGAATGTGTGATCTGTTCACTGGAAATGTGACAACAAATGTGTTTGTAGACTTGTAAATGTGCTAGTCTGTTGGCTACAATGGTCTTATAAATACATTTTCCTCTTAATTAAAACATTTCATTAGCAGTGTACTGAGCCAAAGTTTCTCTTTCATTTAAAACCAATTGTAGACAGGTTTATAGTGTTAACAGTGAAAAATGGCCTTTACATCAGTTAAAAAGCAAACAAAACGCATTTTCTCTGGAATAAATGTTAAAGTGGTTTGCTGTGTGAATAGTACATTAACCCTTTACATGTCTGTTAACGTCACTGTATGATCAACAATTGTATTCTCCTGACTCCCCTGATTATTCTGAATGTGTCTGTATATAAACATTAAATCTTACTTGTTTCTAACCTGTTCAGTTAATTGATATTATATTGTACTTAAAGCAATATATACAGGGCCTCATAAAGCCATACTGAATACAGTCTGAATACAGGCTTAGTGTAAGGGGTAATATAATCTCTATATACAGGGTTGGCTCAGTGTAAGGGGTAATATAATCTCTATATACAGGGTTGGCTCAGTGTAAGGGGTAATATAATCTCTATATACAGGGTGGGCTCAGTGTATGGGGTAATATAATCTCTATATACAGGGCAGGCTCAGTGTAAAGGGTAATATAATCTCTACATACAAGGCAGGCTCAGTGTAAGGGTTAATATAATATCTATATACAGGGTGGGCTCAGTGTATGGGGTAATATAATCTCTATATACAGGGCAGGCTCAGTGTAAAGGGTAATATAATCTCTACATACAAGGCAGGCTCAGTGTAAGGGTTAATATAATATCTATATACAGGGTGGGCTCAGTGTATGGGGTAATATAATCTCTATATACAGGGTTGGCTCAGTGTAAAGGGTAATATAATCTCTATATACAGGGTTGGCTCAGTGTAAGGGGTAATATAATCTCTATATACAGGGTTGGCTCAGTGTAAGGGGTAATATAATCTCTATATACATGGTGGGCTCAGTGTATGGGGTAATATAATCTCTATATACAGGGCAGGCTCAGTGTAAAGGGTAATATAATCTCTGCATACAAGGCAGGCTCAGTGTAAGGGTTAATATAATATCTATATACAGGGTGGGCTCAGTGTATGGGGTAATATAATCTCTATATACAGGGCAGGCTCAGTGTAAGGGTTAATATAATCTCTATATACAGGGCAGGCTCAGTGTAAGAGTTAATATAATCTCTATATACAGGACAGGCTCAGTGTAAGGGTTAATATAATCTCTATATACAGGGCAGGCTCAGTGTAAGGGTTAATGTAATCTCTATATACAGGACAGGCTCAGTGTAAAGGGTAATATAATCTCTATATACAGGGCAGGCTCAGTGTAAAGGGTAATATAATCTATATATACAGGGTAGGATCAGTGTAAGGGGTGATATAATTTCTATATACCGGGCAGGCTTAGTGTAAGGGGTAATGTAATCTTTATATACAGGGCGGGCTCAGTGTAAAGTTTAATATAATCTCTATATACAGGGGAGATTTAGTGTAAGGGATAAAATAATCTCTTTATACAGGGCCAGTGTATGGGGTAATATAATCTCTATATACAGGGCAGGCTACGTGTAAGGGGTAATATAATCTCTATATACAGGGCAGGCTCAGTGTAAGGGGTAATATAATCTATATATACAGGGCAGGCTCAGTGTATGGGGTAATATAATCTCTATATACATGGTGGGCTCAGTGTATGGGGTAATATAATCTCTATATACAGGGCAGGCTCAGTGTAAGGGTTAATATAATCTATATATACAGGGCAGGCTCAGTGTAAGGGGTAATATAATCTCTATATACAGGGCAGGCTACGTGTAAGGGGTAATATAATCTCTATATACAGGGCAGGCTCAGTGTAAGGGTTAATATAATCTATATATACAGGGTGGGCTCAGTGTAAGGGTTAATATAATCTCTGTATACAGGGCATGCTTAGTGTAAGGGGTAATACAATCTCTATATACAGAGCCAGTGTATGGGGTAATCTAATCTCTATATACAGGGCAGGCTCGGTGTAAGGGGTAATCTAATCTCTATATACATGGCAGGCTCAGTGTAAACAGTAATATAATCTCTATATACAGGGCGGACTCAGTGTAAGGGGTAATATAATCTCTATACACAGGGCAGGCTCAGTGTAAGGGGTAATATAATCTCTGTATACAGGGGGAGTTTAGTGTAAGGGGTAATATAATCGCTATTTGAAGGGTGAGCTCAGTGTAAGGGGTAATAAAATCTCTGTATACAGGGGGACTTTAGTGGTAATGCTATATCTGTATACAGGGTGGTCTTAATGTAAGGGCTTTTATGATCTCTTTACCTTTCCACACATCTCACCCACCTGGTGTGTATGTATATATATATAATTGTAACCCTTACACTGAGCCCACCCTCTATACAGAGATTATATTTGTCTTAATTTTATCTTGCCGTCTGTTTAAAAAATCTCTTGTTGTCTGAATCTAACACTGAATCTCAATTTCTAACCTTATGTCACAATGTTGAGCTAATTGTGGGTGATGTATTTGCTGAGTAAACGTGCGCTAGTGACTGTGTGATACTGCACAGTAATAGCAGCAGAGAGCTGTTGATTATGCTCGCGTGTCTGTGTGCTTGTTATGACATCCAGGGCCTTGTGAGTTGTAGGTACAGAGTCCAAAGTGTGTAAAGGAGTCCGTGCCTTCTCTCATGTAGCTTCTCGCACGCATTCCACGCAGTTGGCATTCTGTCACACGCTGTGTTTTTCAATGATCTCATTTGGAAAGGCATGTCTTCATCGCTTGTCTCTTTCAATTTATGTTGTATGCAAATTACTTGTTGATGTCGAACATCCCCAATTGTAAAGCACGGCCAAAAATGTTAATGATGAATACATGCTAATAATAATAACAACAGTAATAAATATTTCCTATATTATACCTATAGTTATAATCTGACCATGGCACATACTGTATGGGATGTTGGGATACTATAGGCACCCAGAACACTTGATCATAATTAAGTGGTTTGGATGCAGTGCTCTGTCCCCTTAACCCAGTGAAACATAGCAGTTTTAGAGAAATTGCAATGTTTACATTGTAAAGTTAAGACCGCCTCTAGTGGCTCTCATACTGACAGCCACTACAGGCACTTCCTGGTGAATAACATGGAGTTTTACTGCATGTAATGATGTTGGATGTCCTCATGCTTTGCATGCAGACATGTAATGTCTTCAATTTCCCCATAGGAAAGCATTGATTCAATGTTTTCCTATGGGATAGCTTTCATGTGTGCGTGGCACTCACCGCACATGCGCGCTAGGTCCCCCCCCATCGTTGTGACATCACAGGAGGAGGAGATCTAGCCAGCGCTGAGGAAGGTAAGTGTAAAAAGGTTTTTTAACTCTTTCATGCTCGGAGGTGGGTTGATACCTATTAAATTACAGACAGGGACACTATAGCTTTAGAAATACATGTTTTGTATTCTTAACATTATAGTGTTCCTTTAATTCGATTATACCGTATATGGTAATTATCTGACCATGTCACATACTGTATGTAATATTAAATTGATTATACTATATATGGTAATTATCTGACCATGTCACATACTGTATGTGATATTTAATTGATTATACCGTATATGGTAATTATCTGACCATGTCACATACTGTATGTGATATTTAATTGATTATACCGTATATGATAATTATCTGACCATATCACATACTGTTTGTGATGTTAAATTGATTATACTATATATAGTAATTATCTGACCATATCACATACTGTTTGTGATATTAAATTGATTATACCGTATATGGTAATTATCTGACCATGTCACATACTGTATGTAATGTTTAATTGATTAACTGTATATAGTAATTATCTGACCATATGATATTACCAGTATTCTATTATCACCCTACCATGTAATATGTTGTGTGCGATATTACCGGTTGTTATTACCTGGTCATATCATGTACTGTGCTATAGTAACTGTTTTATACTTTCTGGTTATGTACTAACCTGTTGTGTTATGTTGTATTATTTGTTTGATTTAATGTATTATTTTATGAGCGTGATATTACTTTTATTACACTGTCAGAACAGACTTTTTTATTTGGTGTAATATTTTCTGTAGTATACTATACTGTAAATGTTTTTTTTTTTTTAAGTAGAAGAGTGGTCAGTTTGCTTCAGGGGAATATTTACACGTAATCTGCTGGTAATCAGATGATTGTCCCACTGAATGGTCAGTTGATTTTGTGTCTGTCATCTGTAGACATATACGTAAAGACAGTCTATGCAGACCCACAGTCTGGAGTTAATTATTGCAACATCTAAAGATATCAAACCAGTGGCTGTTTGTCAAATGGAGCCACCCTTATATCTTTAGATTCTGAGGCTGGAACAGTGCTCACAATCTTGTAACTTTCATATTGATGATGATGGTGTCAGTGTGAGTTTATGTCCCAATGATAGATAGAGCCTGTATACTGTGTAACCCACAGCCTGGCTCTATCTGCTGCAAAAGTAAATTACTTTAATACCCTCATAAGTACACTGTCCCATCAACCCAAACATCTATTTCACACTTTTTCGCCCTTTTAATTCCCCTCCTTCTACCCCCTTGTCCGCCACAAACTTTGCATCTCACTTCACTGAGATTTCTACCATCAGAGAAGAGATCGCTAATTTTGCTCATTCGCATCTGCTACAGCAGAAGAAGTTTCTGCTCTGCTCCGGTCCTCCCGCCCCACCTCCTCAATCCCTCAATCCTATTCCTTCATATCTCATCCACACTATGTCTCCCTCTCTTGATCTTTCCTCTGGCACATTTCCCTCACCCTTCAAACATGCAACTGTAACCGCAATTCTGAAAAAGTCCAGCCTTGACCCCAACTCCCCATCCATCTACCGCCCTATCTTGCTACTGCCATTTGCCTCCAAGATTCTCGAGAGAGAGCTGTGTACACCAGACTGACTGACTTTCTCGAAACCAACTCTCTGCTTGACCCCCTTCAGTCTGGATTCCGCTCTGGTCATTCTGTTGAAACAACTGTGACCAAAGTATCCAACAATTTAATTGCTCCTAAATCTCGCGGCCATTACTCTATCCTAATTCTCCTTGATCTTTCTGCTGCCTTTGACACTGTTGATCATCAACTGCTTCTTCGCATTCTCCGTAATTTTGGTCTACGGGATACTGCTCTCTCCTGGTGCGCTTTCTACCTCTCCCAGCGCTCTTTCAGTGTTTCTTTCTCTGACTCTGCCTCTTCCCCCCAACCACTCTCTGTCGGCGGTTTTCTCCTTGGTCCCCTATTGTTCTCTATCTACACTGCCTCCCTTGGTAAACTCATCAGCTCCTTTGGCTTCCGTTATCATTTCTATGCGGATGACACGCAAATCTACCTGTCCTCTCCTGATCTCTCTCCGCCCCTCTTGCCTCTCTTTGATTTCCAAATGGATGGCTGCTCATTTTCTTAAACTCAACGTGTCCAAAACAGAACTTCTGGTCTTTCCTCCCTGAAGTGTTACTACTCTCATGTCTTGGAGTATTGTACACAGTACTGGAGACCGTATCTTCAGAAGGATATTGATACCTTAGAGAGAGTTTAGAGAAGGGCTACTAAACTGGTTCATGGATTGCAGGATAAAACTTACCAGGAAAGGTTAAAGGAGCTTAACATGTATAGCTTGGAGGAAAGACGAGACAGGGGGGATATGATAGAAACATTTAAATACATAAAGGGAATCAACACAGTAAAGGAGGAGACTATATTTAAAAGAAGAAAAACTACCACAACAAGAGGACATAGTCTTAAATTAGAGGGACAAAGGTTTAAAAATAATATCAGGAAGTATTACTTTACTAAGAGGGTAGTGGATGCATGGAATAGCCTTCCAGCTGAAGTGGTAGAGGTTAACACAGTGAGGGAGTTTAAGCATGCGTGGGATAGGCATAAGGCTATCCTAACTATAAGATAAGGCTAGGGACTAATGAAAATATTTAGAAAATTGGGCAGACTAGATGGGCCGAATGGTTCTTATCCGCCGTTACATTCTGTGTTTCTATGTCCAATCAGTCGCCAAATCCTGTCGCTTCCATCTCAAAAACATAGTGCGCATCCGGACCTATTTAACCCCGGATGCGGCCAAGGTGCTGGTCCATGCTGTTGTTCTCTCTCGCCTGAACTACTGCAATACTCTTCTCAGTGGTCTTACGTGTTCCCAGATTGCACTGCTGCTATCTATAATGAATGCGGCAGCAAGGCTCATTTTCCTGTCCTCCCGCACCTCCCACGCCTCCCTCCCTCTGTCAATCCCTGGCTTCCAGTTAGATATAGAGCTCAATTTAAAATTCTGGTGCTTGCTTAAAAGTCCCTACATAATGCTGCTCCAACCTACCTATCCTCCCTAATACACAAGTATGTCCCGTCGAGGCCCCTACACTCTGCCAAAGACCTACGTATATCCTCTGTCCGTATACCCACCTCTAACGCTCGCCTCCAAAACTTTTCTAGGGTTGCACCTCTTCTGTGGAACTCCGTTCCCTTCTCCGTAAGAATTTCACCCAGTCTCCAGTCATTCAAAAAAAATCATTGAAAACTCACTTCTTCAAGAAAGCATATCAATTAAACTGTTCGCAGGTTTTCATCCCCCACCCTCCATGACTCCTCTCCTGCAACTGTCAAAAATTACCTACTAAGCCCTCAGTGAATACTTTTCTAACAACCTACTTCATACCCCTACTTTTACTCTTTGTGTCACTATACCCCACTCCCTCTAGAATGTAAGCTCATTGAGCAGGGCCCTCCACCCCTCTGTTTCTGTACGTCCAGTTGTCTGGTTACAATTACATGTATGTTAGTCCACCCATTGTACAGCGCTACGGAATCTGATGGCGCTATATAAATAATAAAATAATAATAATAAACGTGGGAAGCAACCTTTTTTGGATGAGGCTATATGGCTAGAAGTCTAGTGGATGGCCCCCTCAGTTTGATTTCCATGTGTGCGATTGCCAAATACGTGGATACATTGTGTGAAGACTGACAGTCTCTCGTCTTCCCTGCTTCTGTGCAGGAAGTGACGGTCAGTTTTCAAACACTGTCCGACCCAAGGTGTATGTATGTGGCTGAAGGAATATACATTAATTAATTTAATTAAAAAACTATTTCCTTTCAAAACTCGATGACAGGATTATTATAAGTAAAGCTAATTTTGAGGTGACAGTTGTGCTTTAAGCAACGTTTATAAGCAATTACTAGGCTAATTTAACCATAGTCCATCAGGCAAAATAATCCCACAGAAGGGCAAACTGCAGACATTATGGAAAGAGGAAAACAAAATGACTGCATCCAGGAATTGCAGTCTCGTCAAGGAAGAAAACCTAATAAATATAAATAAAGTAGGAAGTGAGGAACTGTAATCATTAAAGGAACTCTATAGCGTCAGGAATACATTTCTGTATTCCTAATACTTTAGTGTTCCTGTCCCTACATGTAGCAATAAAGTGTTTAAAATATGAAGGTTTTCTTATGCTATTCCAAGGAGCGTTGGGGACCTAATGCGCATTCACAGTTTCCATAGGAAAGCATTGAATCAATTTCATATGGGTCCTTACGCGTCACATGACAGAGTTTTACCCGGTCAATGCAGCGGATCCGCCCCTAGCGGCTGTCAGTATAACAGTCACTAGATCTTGACTTAACCCTGCATTGTAAACATCGCAGTTTCTCAAAAGCGTAATGTTTTACATTGCACGGTTAAAAGGACAGGAAAACTGCACCGAGACCACTTCATTGAAAGTTTCAAGGGACACAAGGAAAAGAAACGTGAAAGAATAAAAAAAATGTCAGTGCCACTTTAATTTTTAAAACTGTGAAAATGTTTTTCACATCTAACATTTTTTCAATTCCCCCCCCCCACCAACAGAAGAAAAAAAACAAAAAACCCTACCCTAATAAAGTAATAAATCACATTCAGTGCTTAAACTGTACTTTAATGTAACATAGTAACTTTACAACAATAGACTCTCTTATAATCAATATTTGAGTCCAGTCAGCTTTTCAAGGTAATCCGTTTTGCCGTCTTGTCCATTAGCCTCTATTTTCTTCTTCTTAATGGTGCCCTCTGGTGGCTTAATTGAGCAATATATTTTATCCCATTATAGGAGCTTGTCATATGCCAGGTCAAGATGGACAAGGGTTCCATCACAATGTGTGCTGGCAGTTTATGCTAACAGGGCGTTATTCACCAGGAATTTGTAGTTTTTTTTTTTTTTTTGTTTGTTTTTTTAATTCTTTATTTTTCCGTGCATGAGTCCACATAACAAGCTTTCATTCTATGCCCCAACAGCCTTAGCATGTTTCAAAAAAGACAAAGTTTACCAGTTGCGGTATATAATATAGGTGCACATTTTTTGTATAATGGTTATCAAGAGAGTATTTTAGTATGCGTTTGTAGCAGTGGTGTGTTATAAGATAGTGTTTTATGTTGGACAAGTTAGGTAGAGGCTATGTAATGAAATCCTGCTCGGCTATCCTATTATATATATATAGGCAAGAGTACAGCACATCTAATATGGTGTCTTGTGTAGCGTACTAACGTGGTTAGTGTACATCTAGTGTGCGTTGTGAGGGAGGCTTTGAGGTGAGCCGTGGCAGTATTGCTAGTGTTGCAAGCTAGGACGTCTGAGTGTGCTAGAATGGAAGGGAAGAGGGTGAATATTACAACATAATTAATTTACATTTTTCAAGATTCTTTTGTTTCAGGTATTGTACCGGAGGATTGGAGGAAGGCAGATGTTGTTCCTATATTTAAAAAGGGTTCAAAATCCTTGCCTGGAAATTATAGACCTGTGAGCTTAACTTCTGTGACTGGGAAATTAGTTGAACGGCTATTAAGGGATAATATTCAGGAATTCATTGGGAAGAACTTTGTTATTAGCAATAATCAGCATGGTTTTATGAAACATAGGTCATGTCAAACTAACCTAATTGCATTCTACGAAGAAGTAAGTAGAAGTATAGATCAGGGTGTTGCAGTGGATGTGATCTACTTGGATTTTGCCAAGGCATTTGATACGGTTCCTCACAATAGGTTAGTGTTCAAACTAAAATAAATTGGTCTAGATGAATATTCTTGTTCTTGGGTAACACATTGGCTTAAGGATAGAGTACAACGAGTTGTCATTAATGGTAAATTTTCAAGCTGGACAAAAGTGTAAAGTAATAAAATGTGAGAAGGATATTGCCTTGCTGCAGAGGGATTTGGATAGATTGGGGGACTAGGCACTAAAATGGCAGATGAAATTTAACGTAGAGAAATGCAAAGTTATGCACTTCGAGGTCAAGAATGCACAAGCAACTTACACCCTAAATGGTAGTGAATTAGGGATAACCACACACGAGAAGGATTTGGGAATTGTTATAGACAACGAATTAGGCAGCAATATGCAATGTCAATCTGCCGTTGCTAAGGCCAGTAAGGTTTTGTCATGTATAAATAGGGGCATAAATTTTCGAGATGAAAATATAATTTTGCCTCTTTAAGACCACACCTTGAATATGCTGTGCAATTTTGGGCACCTGTTCTAAAGAAAAATATCATGGCACTAGAAAAAGTGCAGAGACGAGCTACAAAATTGATAAAAGGAATGGAGCATTTTAGCTATGAAGAAAGGTTAAAAAATTTAAATCTCTTTAGTTTGGAAAAACGGCACCTGAGAGGTGATATGATAACATTATACAAATATATTCGGGGCCAGTACAAACCTTTATCTGGAAATCTCTTCATAAACAGGGCTATACATAGGACACAAGGTCACACATTTAGGCTGGAAGAAAGGAGATTTCATCTAAGGCAAAGAAAAGTTTTTTTTTACAGAGCAATAAGGATATGGAATTCTCTGCCTGAAGAGGTGGTTTTGTCAGAGTCCATACAGATGTTTAAACTGCAATTGGATAAATACTTACAAAGACACAACATACAGGGATATAATTTCTAATTAGTGGGGTAATAGCTGCTTGATCCAAGGAGACATCTGACTACTATTTTGGGGTCAATAAGGAATTTTTTTTAGTTTGTTGCAAAATTGGAAGCGCTTAAGACTGAGTTTTTTGCCTTCTTTTGGATCAACAGCAAAAACATATGTGAGGAAGGCTGAACTTGATGGACGCAAGTATCTTTTCAGCTATGTAACTTTGTAACTGTGTAACTGTATAGCGGTACAGGCTTAACTTCAAAGATTGCTGGCAATTCTTGATGTATTAAGCAGGGTGAGCAATCCTGTCTAAATGTTAGGCAAATGCAGAATAGTATAACTGGTAAGAAAGATAGACATGGTGAGTATTAGCTTATTCTTTCCTTGGCATAACAGGCTAGACATGGATAAAAGGATAATAAAAGGAACACGGGTATACTATGCATTAATATGCTATATCGAGTAGGCAGTTAATTATTAAGTAGAGGAACACTGGTGGCATGACATATTCAGTAACAAAAACAAAGAAATTGGTAGCTAAGGGGAGCTGGGTCAGCAGTGTATATCTCTTGTACTAAAATATAATGCCGTCAGCCTATCCCTTTAACTGGTATTGCACAGTCCCACATTGCTTGAATTTGTAGGCTTGTTGCCGAAGTTAGCAGTGATGGGTTCTGTGGCTGCAGTTGCTTCCCTTCTTCCTCTCCTATTTTCCACTTTTCTGTCATCATGGGCATGGAGGGATGTGGCTTCAGTGTCTGCCGGTGAAGTGCCTTATTCTTTATGCGCCGGTGCAACCTCTGCCGCCTCGTGCGCCTCGGGCCTCTGGTGGGAACTGCCTTACATGCTGGGATGCGGTTCGGGTACCAGTTTACGGCTCTGCCACAGCTCTTCATAGGGTCTGGGGAGCTATGAAGATGGAGACCGGGATCACCCCCGCCGGTCCAGAGGGGGGTAATGGGGCATCAGGATCATACTCGGAGCCCTGCCTGCGCGGGTCTGGGAGAGCGGCCGCCTCAACCCGTCTCAGCGCCTGCTAGGCCTCACTCAGTGACAGTGCCCGGAGATAACTGCGGAATGCGCTGTCAAGACGGTCAGTCAGTATGTAGGTCAAATTTTAGATTTAACGAGTGCGAGTTTGAGTGGAGCAGCTTGAAAATAGGATTTTGTTGCGTGCTTCTCCAGGAGCTCATAGGATTCACATCCAGTCACCATGCTGGTCAGGCCTCGCTCCCTGGAATTTGTAGGTTTATGCCTGAATCATGCACATCAAGGTTTTCTCAATATTAAAAAATGTGGCAAATCCTCATCATAGGACAGTTCTGTAGGTGTACGTATGCACCTCATACCTTATGGTAAATAAATAAATGAATGGCCAGAAGATCAATGTCCCTATATCAATAGGAACAGATAAGGGGGTAACCCTAAACAAATAATAACAAAAAAGATGCAAAAATCTGTTCCAACACTATCAAGTGTGACATACGATGGACAAACTAATCATAATTAAAAATCTCAAAGATACTTTATTATTAAACCAAAAACACATATACTCTAGCTATGACTTCCTGACTTAATCGAGAAGTCCATTATAGCAGTGCAAGCAAAAATATACACACAATAAAAGGTGAGAAATGATAACGAAAAACATAAAAACAAAACTAAGCAAAATAAATTGGACTCCCACTAGGAAAGCTATGCAGCGTGTATCAATTTAAGTTGTTATCAATGTATCATAACCAGATCCGATACAGTATTGTGTCCATGTATCACAAGAAGTAACTAACGCGGAGTAAATAGCCACAACCTGTGGAAATACCGCTACATAACCTGTCCATACACATCCAGTCCGTTCACCGGTCTCCGGTAAAAAGGGAATCAGATTATCAATCCATAAAGTGTAACTGACAATGATATGCCGGTTACCTCAATAAAGAAACCAGAGTGCTAAATTAACTAAACTTAATATGAATCAAATAAACATAAAAATAGTGAGAAAGGTGCAGTGAGAAATAGTGAGAAAGAGCACCTGGTATAGAAAAGTAAGGAAAAAAAAAAAAGTCCTAATGTTATCAAACAGAGAACCGGAAAACTAGTGTATAGCAAAATACAAAAAATCTATTAGTTTATTAATCGATAACTAGTCTGTCTGTGATCCATGCATAATGATCAAATGTCTAAATTGCTATGGATACCTAAGTAACTCATGAGTGTATCCCTTTATCGAACTCTACCCATCAAGGTAAGGGGATATCCAAGAGAACGGGAGATAGAGCAACTGGTTAACTAAATAACCGTCGTTGAGCCCCGACGGGCGTTTCGCCTTAGAGTAAAAGCTCATCAGGGGGAACTGACTCACCAGTCTGCCAGGGTTTAAAAAGCCCGCCCTTGGATCTCATAGGTCACATCCTGGAATACGGGGATATAACTGAGTACGGTGGCTGAGATGGCTCAAGAGATAAAAATAGCCGAGCTCAATTAATTATGGCTGCGTGCGACTAGAAAATACAGATCATTGCCGATAAACAGGGGAACTGTCTAATCTTTCAAATAGACTTTGTCAATTGAATTATAAAAATATCAATAAATTCAGTACATTTGTCAAAGATACAGTCCAATAATAGGGATCATCAAAAAGGTGGGATGTGTGGTAATATAACATATAATGTAAACCCAACCTGACTTATCAACCCTGTTACTAATCACCATCGCCATATAATAAAAATGATCAAATCAAAACAATATCTGCGAGCCACTGTACCAATTAAAGTGTTTTTGTATGAGTTCTAAAGCGAACTACTAATCTACTGAAAGTATAACAAAAAAATATAATAAATACAGAAGTAATAATGTCCAAAATTTTATAATATGTAACAAGTAGTGCCAAAAGAGGAGACATCTGCCTTCAGAGTCTAAAAGATGGTTGTACAGATCCTAAAAAGGTTTAAGAAGGAGAGATCATTAGTTAGTGTATAAATAACTAACAGTTTTAATGGTGTATAAATGCTATATAGTTGAATTCTTTGTTAAGACCCGAAGGAACCAGGGTCTTAAACGAGAAAATCCACTGTGATTCTTTCCTGAGCAGAGTTTTTTTTAAATCGCCTTTCGATGATTAGGTAGCAATTTCTCAATAGCCTGGAATCTCAAATTGTCCGGATCCCCACTATGGAAATTGAGAATGTGTCTTGCAAGGCCTGCCAATATATTTTGCCCTCTAAATTTACCACATCCACCCAAACCCAGATTAGGGTTGAGACTAATGCCTTAGTCAATTGCAGTTCTACACGATTGATCTATTTGATCACCTGTAATTGTGGTACCCAATATATCGGTAAAACGTATCAAGAGTTTAGGCGCAGGATTCTGCAACATATCACCTCTGTCAAGAATACTGTCACCCCCACTCCGGTAGTAAGACACATTCGTTAAGTGGCAAAAACCGAATAATTCCACGAATGGTTTTCCCTGGCTCTTAGCAGCGATTGTTCCCCTCATTCGAATGAACAAAAATACCGAACAGCACTCTTCTAGCTGTTCGGGAAATAAAGATCCATCGTTCGCTTGTTGAGACCGGTGTTCGGGAAGTCGAGTGTCCGATTTTAGTTCCAGACACTCAACGACCAAGTCCCGCTGCCTTTGTTCGCATAAAAAAAAAAGATGGCCGCCGTTTTCTCAGCCACATGGCGTTCGGTAGTACAAACGCTGGCCGCACAGGTAGAGGGTTCAATTGAGGTATTCTTTGAAGTTTAACGAGCCAGGGGGGTGGTCTCTGTTCGGTAGTTACATCTATCGAATGAATAGGGAAGCAATATTAAACATAAAAGAGGGATTTCTTCACACTGCTCCCCTATAGTCCCTTGGTCAGCATACCCGCCTAGACCCTGTCGGGTTGGCTTGGGGATGTCCGAGAAAAGTACTTTAGGAGTCCAGTTCGGTCTGTCGGGACAGACCGTCCGCATTACCGGACGGTATTGCATAGTTATAGCTTCAGTTATATGGCTGAAGGGCTAGGCTCCACCGTAATAGCCTGGGGTTGTCACCAGCTACCAGGTTTAGCCACACGAGGGGGTTGTGGTCGGTCATAAGAGTAAATGGTCGTCCATACAGATAAGGTTGAAGTTTCTTGAGGGCCCAAACTAGGGCTAGGCACTCTTTTTCCATGGTGCCATAGCTGACCTCTCTGGGCAAATGTTTACGGCTGAGATATGCCACCGGGTGTTCCATGCCGTCGTCCCCCCACCTGACTCAACACGGCTCCCAACCCAAACATGGAGGCATCTGTGTGTACAAGAAATTGTTTAGTATGGTTGGGCGCTGCCAACACAGGGGCCTCACTTAATGCAGCTTTAAGTCTCTGAAAAGCGTCCGCGCACTCTGGGGTCCAGGTTACTTGTTTAGATAGGGCCTTTTTGGTAAGGTCGATGAGAGGTTTGGCCAGGGCGCTATACTCTGGGACAAATTTTTGGTAGTAGCCGGCCGTCCCTAAAAAGGCTAATACCTGGGTTTTAGTACGGGGCTGAGGCCAATTGGCTATGGCCTCTAATTTAGCAGGCTCTGGATGCTGCCTACCGGAACCTATCCTGTGGCTTCGGTACTAAGACTACCGGCGAAGCCCAAGGACTCTGAGAGGGTTCGATAACCCCTAATTTGAGCATATCCCCTATTTCAGCGAGCATATTTTCACGTACTGCCTCAGGGATACGATATGGTTGCTGCCATAACAGCGTTTCTCCCTGGGTTTCTACACGGTGTACCGCAGCGGAGGTATATCCTGGTATGGCAGAATACATTCCTTGGTATCCCTGAAGCAGCTGAGATGCCTCACTCTTCTCTATGGGGTTTAATTTTTGACCCAAGCTTACTTGGTCAATAGTACATGGGGAGGTGTCTAATAAATCGGGGAGGGGCAGTCCCTCACTATCCTCGTAAGAGGGGGCACATACTGCGCCCACATCTTCAGTCCTCTCGAAATAGGGCTTGAGCATGTTTACAAGAAAAGCTTTGGTCAGCCTTTCATATGAACACTTGCTCACAATATAGGTGGTATCGCTTATGTGCGCCACTACCTTAAAGGGTCCCTGCCAGGCCGCCTGTCCTTCTTAACGGGCCTTAATGCCAACACCTTCTGTCCTATTTCTAGTACCCTATCTCTGGTGCCCCTATCATACCACTTCTTCTGGCATTCCTGGGCCGCTGCAGGTTCTCCCGAACAGATTTGGTGAGGGCCCGTAGTCGGTCCCGGAACTCCAGAACATACTGGACGATAGGGACTCCCCCCTCATCTGTGTTGCCCTCCCAGTGCTCCCTTACAAGATCCAGGAGTGTACAGGAGTTCGAAGGGGGAAAACCCGGTGGATGCCTGGGACACTTCGCGGTAGGCAAACAGAAGGTGGGGTAGATACTTCTCCCAATTCCTGCAGGACTCTGCGAAGTTCTTTAGCATCTGCTTGAGCGTGCCATTAAAATGTTCACAGAGTCCATTGGTCTGGGGGTGATAGGAGGCACTGAATAGGGGGTTTACTCCACAGCTCTGCCACAATTGCTGTGTCAGGAGTGCTGTGAACTGAGTCCCCCTATCGGACAGGATAAAAAACCTACCAGGGAGAAAATTTTAACTAGGGCCTCAGCTCTCAGCCTCTATGTTCGAGAGGGCTACTGCTTCAGGGTATCTAGTGGCGAAGTCCACTACAGTTAATGATGAACTTTTTGCCGGACTGAGTGGGTCGGCCGAGGAGTCCTATTAAGTCTACCGCTACTCGGTGAAACGGCTCTTCTATAATGGGTAAAGGGTGGAGTTTGGCTTTTTGGTGGTCACCTCTTTTCCCTATCTTTTGACATATGTCACACGTTTCACAATAATATTTAAGATCTTGCGTGATCCTAGGCCAGAAGAACGTTTGGGTCAACCGGTCCCTCGTCTTCTTAACCCCTAGATGTCCTGCTAAGGGAATGTTGTGACTGAGTTTTAATAACTCAGCATGAAACTTTCGGGGTACTACCAGCTGTCTTTTAGTGACTTGGGTGGCCCCGTGTCCCACCCCTCCTGTCACTCGATACAATAATCCCTTATACCACTCAAACCTTTTGTGAGTGCTGTCACCACTAGTGTGGGGTCTGTTTTCTGTTCCTGTTCAAAACCCTGTGGAGTATCCCAGAAAGTGGAAGGGGGGTCGGGCAAAGGGGGTATTTCAACTCCTACTTGGTTTTCCTCAGAGTGCAGCGGTGCTTCCAGTCTGGCTTGTGCTCGGGTTGTAACCGGGTAGGCTTCTGAAGTAGGGTCCCGTGAGAGTTGAGAGGTTAAACAGCCTACATCGTTCCCCAATAAGACCACTGCCGGCAAGTCCTGCATAATGCCAACCTCCAACTGTTTAGATCCAGAACCCCAGTCGACAAGGACGTTGGCTGTGGGTAGCTTGTGTATGGCACCCCCAGTCACCCTCACAGCTACCATGCGGCCGGTGCGAGCTTGGGCCTTGTCCGTGTGTGGTTGTACTACGGTTAGTGTGGCCCCAGAGTCTCTCATAGCTCGGGCCCCCACGCCATCTACTGTAATCCATTGACGGTTGTGGTCCCGGTTGTCGCCCCCAGCTTGCACTGGATTGACCTCATGCAAGACACTCCACTGTTCTTCTTGGTTAGGGACGCTGGTAGGACTTTCCTGTTGTGGTGGTTGCCTTTCCCAGCTTCCTCGGTTCAAATGAGGACACTGGTTTTTGTAATGTCCTGGTTGCTTGCAGTAATGACACACTGCAAGGGGTTGAGGTGTTGCTGCTGGGCCTTGGGGAGGGTTACTTATGGAGGCTCTAGGTGGTGCAGGCGTTGCTGGTACTGGGTAGATGTGTTTAAAAGTTGGTCTGCTCACACCCTCTTCTCGCCACCCTGTTCTAGTCTGGCGGCTTCCTCCACAGTTTGGGGTTTTCTGTCCTTTACCCAGTCTTTTATATCGTCTGCTGTGTGGTTAAAAAACTTCAATAGTATGAGCTGTAAGGCATCCTCCAGGGTAGTTGCTTGGCAGCCCTGCATCCAATTCCGGGCTGCCCTGTGTAGCCGGAAAGCCCATTCAGTGTGCAAATCTTACCCTGTTTTCCGAAGTTCCCTAAACTTCTTCCTGTTCGCCTCTGGGGTTACAGCGTATCTGGCAAACAAAATGTCTTTTACCTTGCCATAATTGTGTATGTCCCCATCAGGTACTGCTCACAACACCTCTGCTGCTCTTCCTGATAGCTTGCTGCTAAGTACTGCAGCCCATTTTGTGGAGTCTAATCCCTCCAGCGCACATTGACGTTCAAAGTCTTGTAGATAACTATCAATCTCCATATCATTATCATTAAAAGTTTTAAACGCTGCATAGTTTACCTTCTTTGGTAGGTCATTTGTACTTCCTGGGGAGTGTAGCAAATCCCCCTGTAACGGTCTGTCTCGATCGTCTCACTCTTTTTGCTATTGCCTGGCTTGTGCCATGACCTGCAGAACTGCCTCTGTTGATGGATTGGGTCCCAATACACTGAGCATCCATCTGATATCCTTCTGCATCTCGGTTTCTTCCTCGTGCTCCATCTCTGTATTACTGGTTTCGTCGCCCTGTATTAAATCCGCAATTAACCAGGCTTTTGTCTTGCTACTTGCCACTATGCCTCGAGCTTCCAGTAAATCTTTTAGCGTGGATCTTTTAAGTAGCTGGTATTGCTGAGTCACTCATTCCCTTGCTTGGTTCAGAACGTCATTTCAGGATTCCAATCCCTCCGCTTGCCACCAGTTGTAAGGAAACCTAGGATATCCAATCCTCATTCGGTAGTTTCCTCCCGAACCGCCAGAGCGTCAGTGATTATAGCTCTCCGTTCGGTAGGTGAAATAAACGAAAATACATACGAATACAATAGCTTTACAAGATGATTCCCTTAATAAAGCGTACGAATCCCCAAACATCAGCCGAAGTCTAGAAGAAGGGTGCAACAGAACTGTGTTTTAATGACCACACACTAGCTTTTATGCAAGTCCCCATGCAAGGGGACATCCCACAGGGAGGGACACAGTACAACCAATCATTTACAGGAAAAACGTAAAACACTCCCAGCACAAACATACAATTCCCTCCCCTAGTCCTCGAGATAATCAAGTCTGATAAAGTAATAACTTGATTATCTCCAGGCAGAAAAATTAAAATTTTATTCAGAACACCCCTTTAGGCATATGGTATCCCCACAAACAATATATCCCCTGATAGCCCCAATCTGAGTGACCAACATATTAAAATTTCAAAGTTCAGGGGTTCTCAAAAAATTATGGAAGTCTTTTGTGACCGGCTAACAGCGAGGTGGCTGCCCCAAATAGTTCCATGAGTTTGGGTAGTTTTGCCAGTCTATTTCATTAAGTGGCAAAAAATGAATAATTTCTAGCTGTTCGGGAAATAAAGATCCAGCGTTCGCTTGTTGAGACCAGTGTTCGGGAAGTCAAGTGTCCGATTTTAATTCCAGACACTCGACGACCAAGTCCCGCTGCCTTTGTTTGCATAAAAAAACAAGGACCGCCGTTTTCTCAGCCACGTGGCGTTCGGTAGTACAAACGCTGGCCGCACAGTTAGAGGGTTCAATTGAGGTATTCTTTGAAGTTTAAGGAGCCAGGAGGGTGGTCTCTGTTCGGTAGTTACTTCTACTGAATGAATAGGGAAGAAATATTAAACATAAAAGAGGGATTTCTTCACAGTGACAATAACCATTTTGAGAAAGATTGGGACTGTCTTTCCCATACTGCGCTGTTGATCTTAAAATATGTTGATGAACTGTGCTATGGTAACACAGGCGTTCCTTTTTCAAAAATTGTCAGATCCTACTTGACTCTTGTTCTATCACGTGCTGGGCTGTTAAGATTCGTCTGTTGGAATTCGGTGTGCGTTAGTGGTGTAAAATGAAATCAGACCGTGTTTTTGCGATGTGGGCCATGACCCACAGAAAAGTTGATATACTTGGTTTGAAATACTATACAAACTCCACTGTTTGACCATTTATAGCCATATGAAAGGGGGCCAACCCATTCATGGGGTTATTAACTCAAGTGGAAATTGTGGCAAATTTAAAGTGCAGATTTACTGCCCAAATATCCAAACTTGAAAATTCTCCAAGTCAACTATGATCCCGGTTTGGCTACAATGGTGTTAATTTTCCAGTTTTGCTGGATCAGCCTTTAGTTTTAAATATAATTTTATTTCCCAACAATTCTCCCTTTAGTGGATATTCCTGATAGTATTTACGAGAGAGAGGAGAATTAAATTGAGCCTGTATTTTTCTTTGTGTATATAACAGCAACGAAGTGGTGATTGCTCAGGAATACGCGAGTGAAATATCTTTTAGATTTTGTGTAAGACTAATTTATTTCTGTTTATTCTTTTGTATGTATAGCGAAGGTTACAGACATCAAAGAGATTAAAAAGAAAGCATTGGAGTGTACAATATCTGTATTATTTTATGGGAAGGGATATATCTTATACATATTGAGGACTAGCACATAGTTTTCATATAAAGAGTCAGAATACCAATTTGTCTGGATAATTTCATACTTGTTTTCACCGAGTGGCCCTGACCCACGGAAGACTTTATGGAAATTTAAGGAAAATTTGTACAAAACCACTTTGCTTGACCAGTTGAAGCAGTTTGTAACGCTGCCAACCCACAATGTTTAAGTAAATTGTAGAAATGTTGACTGTTTTACTGAAATAAATTGTGGCTACTGTAGCACACCAAGCCAAAACAAGCAAATATTGCATTTAGCTTGCTGGGATCCTGGCAATAAAGTGGGAAAATGTTTTATTTTTTTAAGAAACTAGGCTACAGTGAATTTTCTCTAACTAACAGCCTGTACTTATTTGAAACTGAGACATACTTAAACCATGGTCCAGGAAATGGATAAAGTTACAGGAAACTTTAGACAAGCGTTAGCACCATTTAACATATTTTGTTCAATGTGCACAGACAATAATTGAGTGAAATCTGTGGGTCCCACAAAGTCTTCATAGATCTTGTTCAATAATTTTGCAGCCCATGACCAACCATGATTGACAAATGTCCATATCAGTATTTGGTGATACATTTTTTATTTTTTTTTATTTACCAGATTTGGGTGAGCAAAGCCACTCAAAGCCACACTGCATTTGCATTTGGAGGGATGTGTGGATTAATGTTATATATCATGAACTGGGAAAGCCAGTTTAAAATCCAATCAGACTACCTCACCAGTAAGTGTCCCTGATAAAGACCCCTAATGATGGATATCTACCTACCTACAAATCCTCATAGATTGTAAGCTCATCTGACCAGGATATTCACTAACGTGAGAATTGGTGGGTATTCAAAGTGAATTTCAAATTCAAGGTCAAAATAGTCGATCTGAAAATATTCTCCCATTCAGTTATGGATTAAGTTAGACTACTTTGGCCTTCACTTAATTGTAAAGTACTGCAGAACATGTTGGCGCTATACAAATTTAGATAATATTGTTCCCTACTAACTGTTTCTTCAATGAGGAATACAGTTTGTGTTGTTGTATAACAAATTATAAAAAAGTGTGGCTTTACTTTATTAGCAGCCAATGTTTAGCTTTCTGTGTGTTGTCAACTTGACAGAATGGCAAGCTTTCAGTTCTACTGGTTTTGGAAAATATATCTGAATTTAAATGGTGTAGACTGAGAGCATTTCACCGGGTATTGATGCAGGAATGGCAGCATTAAGGCAGAATAGCAAGGCCAGAGGCCAAGATGTGGCTAAATTTTTTTTGTTTTTAGAATTCAGGTTTTTTTTGCCCTGAAACGTGCAAATACCTGTTCAGAATTGGTTTAGGGAATATTTTTCCTTGTGTGTGTGCGATTTCCTCCTTCAAGTTACGAAAGGTAAAGCATCACTAGCCCAAACGAGTGGTTTATATGCTCAGGCACTCTAGATTACAGAAATAGGTGTATTGTTTTGTGGAAGCTGTGTAATATAGATTAGTCGGTGCCTGCTGAGCTTTTATGTCCAGGAAGCAATTTAATAGCTAAAACCATTGAACCATTTCAGCTGGGTTGGGTAAGACACGTTGACAGACTATAAACACTACAAAATCATCAATTCTGCAGAATGTTCGTGTCAACCTTTAAGAATTCACACGTTTAATCCAAAATTTTGCAGTTGCTGCTGTTTTTGAGAATAAACGGGACAGGTTTTCGTTTACTAATAATTGCAGCGGAAATCTCCACATATCTGGATCCGCTGTCCTTTTTAAAACAAGAAAAAAAAATCGGGGAAGCCCACTTGGTAGGATTAACATAACAATAATAATCTTTTGCACCACTTAGAAGTCATTTTGTTACTTTTTTTCTTTTTTTGTTAACTCCTACCCTAAGGACAAATGTCTTAGATCTGGCATTACAAAACCGTAGTATTGCATGACAATGCTACTGTAATCCTGTCTGCCTTTCACTTTCCCTAAAGTGTCTTTTAAATGCTGTGCAAATTCTTTTCAGCATTATACAAATGTAGGTATTTGTGCATCCAGTCTTACAAACTGGCTTGCCTAAAGCTTTTATCGGACTCTTCTCATATAAACCGGAATCCTTCTATACAAAATACATAGGTTTATATGTTTTGTGTTCTCATCTAATGATTTGTTGTATCATATCCAAGTGGGTAACAATTCCTTGATATTTAAAGTAGACAAACGTCTCCATATAGAGATGGGAAGGCCCTGAAAAAACATACAAAAAATTTAAAAAACTGACAAATTGGAGAGGGCAACAACACCTTTTTTTATGATTACCCAAGATGTTTGTTTTGGTTTTTTTCAGGAAAAATTGGAATATAAAATTGAGCGTACATTATAAACAATATTATTTTTTAGTTATTGGTGTTTGCCTGAGAAAAATAAGCAAAAATTTTCAAATACTTTCAAAAGAAATATCCTTTTCCAAATGTTACCAGGATGACAAAACACATCCTTGCCTGACAGAGGTATTCAAGGGACATTAAAATACCTACCTGGATTAAATGACAGGCCTTCCAACATCCTGGATTAAGTTGGACAGTCCAAATGTTCAGGTCCTGTCTGGCCGTCCTGATTTTGGGGACACTAGTGAACTGATCCCAGGAAGCATAGCTGGAGCGCATCAACAGACATGCTCGCACATGCCCAAGGCATTTGGGTCTTGCAGAGAGCACTTAAACATTGCCCTGTGTATGGTCCATCTTTGGTTGGCCGGCCTATTTGATTGGCAGGCAGCCTGTCATGCCTGGCTGACCTGTTAATTATATGGGTGGCCTCACACCCTTTCCGAGTGGGTGTCACGGCCCCCGGCTCGCCGCCATGTGCGTCTGTGCCCGACCGGCACAACCGCACCAACTCGAGCCGGGAACCGCTCCTCCATGCCGCTCGGGGAAATCCAAGATGGCGCCGACCATGAGTCGCATCCATCCATGGCTCCACCCCCCAAAATTATACGAACGTGCGCGTGACGTCACAACGTCAACGCACGCGCACGTTCTGGGGTCAGAGCTCACCCTCTGACCAATCAGAGTCTAGAGAGGGATATTTAAATCCCTAATTCACTCCAGTTCCTTGCCCTGTCGTGGTTTCTCATTCCTGGTTTCCTGAGAGTGCGTTTTTCCTTGTGATATTGATATTCTGGTATTCTGATCTTGACTATTCCTGGTTATTCTGATTTCTGGTTCCCCTGACTTGGCTTGTTGAAACGGTATTGTGCATTTCTGGCTTCCTTGACCTCGGCTTTCCCTTTGACCATTCTCTATCTCTAGCTTATTAGTCCGGCCATTCTAAGGTCCGATTTACGCTCTGTCCTTTTATTTCCTTTCCTTTTTTTATGTATATGTTTACATAGTTTCTGCGTGTTGGACCACACTAGCAGCCATGACAGTGGGTTAACCTTTTGGACAGAGCCAGCAGCACAAATTGCATCACCATCAAGCCCCCTTTTACCATTACCACTGGCTTCCAGCCACAGAATGCTGACGTTAAGAGGTATGAAATGATAATGAAAAAAATCAGATTCTTCTTAAATGTACTAAACAATGATAGTTGTCTCATAATGAGAGATGAAGCACTCATGTCTGTCAGCTTGACGTCCATCAGGGTCTCATGAAATAGGAACTTTACTAAAACAGGAGTAAGGGGGGTCTCCTAAACTCCCATAAAGCATTTCAGTAAGCAAACGCATTAGGGTTCTGGTCTGTCTCTCTAATGGAATGGAGTGCATACTCTCTGTTTGGTTCTACGAATCAGCAGGAGGGTTAAAGGAGACAAAATAATGTTCTTAGTTGGTGTTTCATGTTCCCAGTGTTACAGGTTCACTTTAAATTTTTAGGATTTCACCACTTTCCATTTGTTTTGTTTTGCTTTCTTAAAATTTTCAAAAATTTCCAATTTCTTTTTTGCTGAAAACAAAAATAGAACCCAGGGAAACAACCTATTTTTACAATGGCTTCAGCATTTCTGGTAACTTTACATCTCTAACCCTGTACATGTTTTATAGCCCGAGCTGCTCCAGCGTTCAATGTTTACCACTAATTGTTACTAAATTCCAGCGCTATGTTGGCTTGTAATTCGATTATAAACGCGATACACATCCGCACAAGTACACCAAAAAAATAATTCTTGAACCTGTTGAAGTTGGCATCGTGCTCCGGGACCTCCTAATAACTAGAGATATTTGCTTTTGAAACAGTTTTGGAAATTGTCCTTTTCAATGCACTGTAGGGAATTTTTGAAAGATCATTTCTCTTCCCCCCTTTAGGAGTGAAACTTGAGCCTGCAGTGGTGTCGCGTGCAGACAGTTTCATGACAGTAGCAACATCAGTCGCTGGTTAAAAAGTGTGGTCTACTTATGTTACCAGGTGTTTTAGAATTGGTTTGTTTTCTATGTCTATGACAAATGTGTCCCGGAGCACTGTTTGCAAATAAATTGAAAATGGCAAGTACTGGCTAGCTGTACAGAGTATGGTATATATTAATGTCTGCTACCTGTTTTCTAGCGTTAAATATGAAATGCTCTTTCACTTTCTGAAGCCTTGGGGTGATAGCGGTCTGTCAGAACCCTGATTGTTTTCCCAACCGTTTAGGGTCTGAGTTAAAAAAGCAAGTTGCAAGAGTTGTGCAGAATTGACGAAGGAACTGCCTAAAATTAAAAATAGTTGAGGTGGAATACCTAATATTTGCACAACATTCACAGAATTCCTGGTTTAATTAATAAATCCATAGTTTATTGTAAAACGTCCTCTCTGGTTTGGCAATTTGCAGTAAAAATACAATCATGTACTTTTCAGGTAGCAAAACATTCTATTCAGCCACAACTTAGTTTCTAATGATGGAAAGCAACGAAGAATCCATAACAATTTTTAGGGAGGTGCAGATCTAACTTACTTTTAATATAAATAATTCAAGTCCAAGTCGAATGAACGTGGAGGCCATTCAATGGTGCCACTTCATCCGATGTGGGAAGGTGTTGTCAAGGTAGTCGCGTCCCTTACTACAGAAACATAATGAGGAGGTGCCCCATCTTGTTGGATGAGGAGTTGTAGCACAACCACATCGGTAATTATTACTATCCACAGTTCTGGTGGAAAAAAACGGTCCTACAACACCTTCGCTAAACAGTGCATCCCGCATGTGACGCCTGTCTGCTTCAGTTGAGATGTGATGGTCAAATCAGGATTTTCATCTTCCCAATACACACAGTTATGCATGTTCACATAGCCTGACAATTTGAAAAAAGCCTTTTCTGACCAAATGATCTTATCAAGATGGTCTGGTTCATTAGAGGTTTGTTTAAGCATTATCTTACAGAATTGCACCCGACGTTGTTAGACATTAGCGGCGGGTGGGGACCATAAGTGATAATAGGAAGGGATCTATTGTTCCCCCCCAGCCCCCTCCATTAGCGCAGGTGGGGGTCCTAAGTGATAATAGTTACATAGGCTGAAAAGAGACATGTGTCCATCAAGTTCAGCCTTCCATACATCTGTCCTTTTCTGTTGATCTAAAAGAAGGAAAACAAAAACAAAACAGTTTGAAGCACTTCCAATTTTGCAACAAACTAGAAAAAAAAATTCCTTCTTGATCCCAGAGTGGCAGGGGGTAACCTTTTGTTCTCCCCCAGCCCCCACCCATTAGCGGCGGGTGGGGACCCTAAGTGGTAATGAGAGGGACCTATTGTGCCCTTCCAGTCCCCACCCATTAGGGGCGGGTGGGGTTAATTGTAAAAATAGCCCTCCCCCAGTGACTAGGGGTCCTCAAGACCCTAGTCACTCTGCCTAATAAACAAATACCCTCCCTCCCTCACCATAATAATAGTAGGTAGGTAGAATTAACTAAATACATGTAAAATAAAACAACTTATACTTACCATTAACATCTTCTTTCTTAAGCCAACTAACCAGAGCACGTGGGGAGGCTTTATAAGCCTTTTCTCACCATGAAAAGCTCAGTATGCGCAGAGCCCTTACCAGGTAAAGGGGATTTTTAAAAATTAATTTATATTTTTTTATTGTAGAATCGCTTGGAGAACTGTAATAATTGACAGCCTAGTCAAGCTATTGTTAAGCAATATCAGCTATGAGCTACAAAATGATTAGGAATACAAGCTAGGCAAAGTATATTAAACAAAATAAACTGTAATGCCACTGGGTACTATACTCCTAAGAGTTCAAGAGAAGAGGACAGAAATCCCTGCAATATTAATAAGGAATCGCTAAAGAAATGCAGAAGTCCACTAGCTTCTATACAGCCTATGCCACAGGTAGGCCATGAGAGACTAGCAGTTTCCATGTCAGGCATGATTTCGTAGCTTGCCCCATCCATATAGTATTAGAATAGCCAGGCTTCAGACAAGAACATCAAATATGTTCTGTTTTGCCAGAACCTCTCACCACCTATAGCCCGGGCCGTGATGGGAGCCGGTGCCTTGTGTCCAGTGATCTCCCCATTCTAAGCAGAATACCCCCTGGGTATGTGGACCTTGTATAGAGCCAAGCATTCCAGTATCCATGTGTGTGGCATTGTGTGATAGGCTTTCTTGTAGTCAGTCCAGGCTGTGCACAGATTGGTCTGTCTGGTTTGGGAATCCCGTGTGAATGCCGGGTCTACCAGGAGTTGTTATTTTGATCCTCTGGTGTTGTTTGCAATCCCCTTTTAAATATTGCTCATGCATTGATCACATGCCCATTAATCTTGGCGGCTATGATGCCTGACAGGACCTTCCATGTTGTGGGGAAACAGGTGTTTGGTCGGTAGTTAGATGGTGTTGTTCCCTTGTGAGGGTCCTTCATGACCACTATTGTTCTGCCTTGTGTTAGTCAGTCAGGCTGGGAGCCTGTTGCTAGTAGTTGGTTCATTTGTGCTGCTAGGCATTTATGCAGCTTGCTAATTTCTTTTTCCATTAGGTGTAGATTGTTACAGAACGCCGTCACTAAATGCCATATCCACATGTGCCCACTACTATTTCGTGTGTGTTTCCCCTTGTGTTTCATACTGTGTTCTCTTTCCCGTTCGGGTGCATTCATGCAAACGGAATCCGTTCATCTCCCGAACGGGGACCACCCCGGCACCCCATTAGAATGTTCACACCAATCATTTAGAACGTTCACACCCATGACAGTGCAAAACTGCAAGGGAAGTAATTAATGAGTGTTCCCCTGGGTGGCCACCATTTCGTATAGACGAACACCACCCAGGGGAAGTATTTGTATCCAGAAATGGCCTTCGCACCGGAACACCTGGAACGGGTTCCTAAGGTTGGTGGGGACACTTTTGGGGTACTGGCTGTTATGGCGGCAAATCGCCCTATATAATCCTAAAGGAGCATAATCACTACCTGGGCTAATGGCTGCCCAAAGAGCGCTCTCTCCGGTTCTACCTACGTGGAGATATCCACCAGAGAAAGAGACGCAAACCACAGCAGAATCCCTGGAACTGCGAGGCGGCTTCACCATGGCAGAGCCCATCTGGTCGCCTGGAAGTCTGTGCCGGCCAATAGGTGAAGGGCTACCATTCAAACTTCACTGAACAAAATCATAAACGTTTGTTTTTGCCTCCGTTTTTCATGAGTTGAACTCAAAGATCTAAGACTTTTTCCATGTACACAAAAGGCCTATTTCTCTCAAATATTGTTCACAAATCTGTCTAAATCTGTGTTAGTGAGCACTTCTTCTTTGCCGAGATAATCCATCCACCTCACAGGTGTGGCATATCAAGATGCTGATTAGACAGCATGATTATTACAAATGTGTGCCTTAGGCTGGCCACTATAAAAGGCCACTCTAAAATGGTCAGTTTTATCAGACAGCACAATGCCACAGATGTTGCAAGTTTTGAGGGAGCGTGCAATCGGCACACTGACTGCATGAATATTCACCAGAGTTGTTGCCTGTGAATTAATTGTTCATTTCTTAAAGGTGTTTCATAGAATTTGGCAGTACATCCAACCGGCTTCACAACCGCATACCACGTGTAACCACACCAGCCACGGACTTCCACATCCAGCATCTTCACCTCCAAGATCGTCTGAGACAAGCCACCCGGACAGCTGCTACAACAATCGGTTTGCATAACCAAAGAATTTCTGCACAAACTGTCAGAAACCATCTCAGGGAAGCTCATCTGCATGCTCGTCATCCTTATCAGGGTCTCGACCTGACTTCAGTTCGTCGTAACTGACTTGAGTGGGCAAATGCTCACATTCGATGGCGTCTGGCACTTTGGAGAGGTGTTCTCTTCACGGATAAATACCGTTTTTCCCTGTACAGGGCAGATGGCAGACAGCGTGTATGGTGTTGTGTGGGTGAGCGGTTTGCTGAGGTCAATGTTATGGATCGAGTGGCCCATGGTGGCAGTGAGGTTATGGTATGGGCAGGCATATGTTATGGACAACGAACACAGGTGCATTTTATTGATGGCATTTTGAATGCACAGAGATACCGTGACGAGATCCTGAAGCCAGCTGTTGTGCCATTCATCCATGACCATCACCTCATGTTGCAGCATGATAATGCACGGCCCCATGTTGCAAGGATCTGTAAAAAAAATTCCTGGAAGCTGAAAATATCCCAGTTCTTGTATGGCCAGCATACTCACCGGACATGTAACCCATTGAGCATGTTTGGGATGCTCTGGATTGGCGTATACGACGCGTTCCAGGTCCTGCCAATATCCAGCAACTTCGCACAGCCATTGAAGAGGGGTGGACCAACATTCCACTGGCCACAATCAATAACCTGATCAACTCTATGCGAACGAGATGTGTTGCACTGCCTGAGGCAAATGGTGGTCACACCAGATACTGACTGGTTTTTGGACCCCTCCAAACCCTGTCAATACAGTAAAACTGCACATTTTAGAGTGGCCTTTTATTGTGGCCAGCCTAAGGCACACCTGTGCAATAATCATGCTGTCTAATCAGCAGCTTGATATGCCACACCTGTGAGGTGGATGGATTATCTCGGCAAAGGAGAAGTGCTCACTAACATAGATTTAGACAGATTTGTGAACAATATTTAAGAGAAATAGGCCTTTCGTGTACGTAGAAAATGTCTTAGATCTTTGAGTTCAGCTCATGAAAAATGGGGGCAAAAACAAAATTGTTGCGTTTTACAATTTTGTTCAGTGTAGTTTTGCGCCCTTTCTCCTGATTGGCCAGCCAAACACCTCCCCGCCCTTTTCCCTGCTTGGTTGTCAGAAGGCCTCCTCTCCCCTCTATATGTGTACCCCTTTTCTTTCCCGGGGGGGCCTTAAGTTTCCCCCATGTATGTAATGTAATGTGTCCTATTGTCTGTAAATGTTGTGCTGTTGGTATTTCCCAGAGTGGGAGATGGTTATCTGTAAACCATCCCCCTCCAGCCTGGGACTGAGGAATTTGTACTGAATAGTATGGAGACCCCGTGCGGGGGTCTGTGTATAAATTAAGCTTGTACCAATAAAGCATTGTCAGTGTTGTACCTCCAGAGCTGTGTGGGGGAATGGGTCTCTTTATATTCTAAGTGATTCCTGAGCAGGTGAAGGAAGGGAATTAGCGGAGGTAACCAGTCGGGTTATCCTGGGTCCGCTACATAGCTCATGTCAGGTCTTGGGGCTGACCAACTCTTCATGTGGATTACTTGTTGTTAGATATTTTCCACTGTGATGGTAAATGTTGGTTCGGAAACTGGGAGTATGCAGTGGTCTGCTTTCAGGTCTAGTAGCCCCTGGGCCTTGGTGTTATGTAATGTTTCTTTCTCCCATATTATGTTTCAATACTGTTTAGTCTCTGCTCTGGGTTGTTCTTGGATGGGTATGTTGCAGGTGCGGATCCAGAACCAAATCTCGGGAGGGGTACTGGTGGGTATAATCGAGGCACAAGGAGGAGGGGATCCGCCACTGGTATGTTGTGGTTATCCTGTAGCTGTGCATAAACCTTGGATGGTTCTTTGGTAAACAGAACATTTATTCTCTTAGCCTCTGCTTCTCTGGTGTACCTGCTCAGTCTGGTCGCCAGTGCTGTCAGCCTTTGCTTAGCTGTTTCCTGTGTCTCTGTTATGTGCACACTCTTGTATTCTCGTAGACAGGATCTACCTTGATCTTTCCACCTCTAGTTATCTTTATCTTGGCTTCCAGTCTTAGTCTCCATGGTGGGCATTGTTTTTCATTCAACCTGATCTTGTAGTCGAGCATCTGGTGGACCACTAATGCTGATAGATAGATATGTGTGTATGTATATATTTCAAAGCATCAGTGGTCCTCCAGGTGCTTCACTACAAGATCAGTCTGAAGGAGAACACAGACGCACACCCACGCACACAAACTTCTAGAAATTAACTTTAAAGTATTTGTGTGTTTGGGTTATCTTTCTGTTCCAGTGTGTGCAGTGCCATTTGTTGGAAATTGTCTTGTTGTTTTTTGTTTTTTTCTTCCAATTTTGCAGCCAATAAATGTTCGGACAGCAGCACTAAAGAGTTACGTTCCCATTGTCATTAACATAGCGAGGTTGTACCGGTATAGTGAGGGTGTATTCGGTGATGTGTAGATGGGTATTTCTCTTCCTGTTAGGGAGGATAAGAAAATCTTTAGTTACACTGAGCTGAGGCACTATTTTTGTTTCATGCTGTCTGCTTTTAAAGGGAGAAAAGGTTATCTGTGGGAGTAGAATACCGCACGCACTTCTTCTCCAATAGAATCAGTTTTGTTATATCTATTGCTGGCTGTTTTGCTCTTGCAAGATTATCTTTTAGGTTTATGAGTGAAGCAGATATATGGAGAATAATTTATATACACTGATTTCCACAGCGGGGGGCTGTTGGATTTCTGTTCCCAAACTTGCACCAATAAGTGATCACTTGCACTGCAGCACTCTCCCAGGGAGCCCATGGAATCACGTTTCTAGTGACCTGCAGTGTTCCACAACCTCACTCACACATTGTCATTGAGACATTCAGCTCAGTGGGGGATGCTGGAAGTTGTAGTTTTCTTTACACTGTTTAGTTGCCAAGCAGAGAAAATATAGCCCCAGTGTGCATCAATTCCTGGCACAATGTCTTCCCAGAATACAAGAGCCCGGTGGCTAACTGGAAAGTACCCAGGATTCTTCACCAAACTGTCACTCGATAGAGCATTGGCATCTTATGTTTGCTGGAGAAAGTTGGTGCTACATTTTATGTCCAAATATAAATTATATAATCTGGTACCTGAATGTATACTACATGTATCTGTAATTAATTAGTACACAGCAAATTGTTTACTGTTGCAACACTGTCACAAGCTGGGCTGGGCTGACTGGGGGCAGGTAACATTGCCCCTGGTACCCCTGGCATGCAGAAGTTTTGAGTTACAGCATTGCTGTACCATCCTGACGCTGATTCCATTCACAGGGATTGTTGAAATGTGTTTTGCCTTAGTACTGTAGGAGAGAGGTGACAGGAAGAAATTGTGCGTCCTTTCCAGGCTAGCACTGTATTGGTGTATTCCAATATACAATATTGTACAATTAGAAAGTATGGCAAGAAGTATGAAAAGAACATTAACAAAAACAATGTGAAATAATAATTATATACAATGTCAGCAGTTTTAAAACAGAAGGATGATCACACTGACTTTTTTGCTGACATAAAATTTCTCATGAAAAGTAAACTATAGTGCCAGGAAAACAAAGTTGGTCCGAAATGTAGTTTCACGCAACCAATTCGCTGTGTGTAAAATGTCCGATAAGGAAACGTCTGCCATAAAAGCAGACTATACTCCCAGACAAAGTGCGATCCAAACAAAGGATCGATCCCTGCTAGCGACAAATGCCATCTAATCCATCTGGACATTGTGGTGACCAAAACCAAACCAAGAGGTCGTATGTAGGAGCAGTGGCTGAAGTGCAGACGGTGCAGCTGCACCGGGGCCCACCAGCTAATGGGGCTCTTCGGGTTGCCCTAAGTGCAGGGGCCACCCAATGGGTGCTATTTCTTTATAGTTTAACAGGGGCCCGGTCGGGCGCAGCGGCACTTTAAGAGTCTGATTGGGTCCCTGCAATATCTACTGGCTGGAAGATAAATAGCATGTCACTTCCTCCCAGCTTCTTACTGATAGACCACGCTGGAGGAAGAGAGGGAGGATGCAGCGGAGGAGGCACAGGCAGCTTGGGGAGAGGAGCAACCAGAGAGCTGCTCCAGATATCCAACTCCCATCAATGGCAGCCAGCAGCAGGGACCCAAGGGAGGGTGTGTTAACAGGTGGGTGGCTGCAAATATAAAGCTTGTATGTGATCATGTGTATGTCAAGGTGTGTGTGTGTGCATCTGTGTAACCACTGACATAATCCTCATACTGTACTGCACCATATGCCTGTTTGTGATCCTTAGAAATAAGCACCACCACTATTTTGTGTAAGAGTTCTACAAAGGAATTCCATAGGGTTTTTTTAATTAATAAACAATGTTACACTATACAGTGGAACCTCGGAAGTCGAACAGTCCCGTTCTCGAACAATTCGTAAGTCGAACAAAAATTTTAAGTAAGAAATGTCTTGGTACACGAATGACTTTCAGTACCCGAACATACAACAAAGAGCCAAATGTCTCGATACGCAAACGATCTTTGGTTCCCGAACATACAACAAAGAGCCATATCTCATTTTCAAGTCAGCAAAAAGAACACAAGAAATAACCATTTAGGAGATAGACCCCCATGGGTGGGGAGTAGCCCTAATAAAACGTAACTTTTAATGTATAAATATATGAATAAAATCCTCAATCTAAAAGAGGATCAAATAGAGTATCTATATTAGGAATAAATCCTACAAAACTGTGGTATAAAGAAATATGTATACATGAAATTGATTAATGTATGAAGCAAAAATAAAAAAATAAGTAAAATGAAATAAGGAAAATAGAAAGAATCAGAGACTATCCACTCTAAAACTGTGGAGAGTAATAACTGAAAATAGTGATGTATAAAATAAATATAAGTAACGAAAAATAAATAACAAATGAAAAATAGTATCTTTGTAAATTGGCCGGAGGGGGAAAGCTAAGTGAGATAAGGTTGTAATGTAGCAAGTCATCTATTAGAGCGGAATGAAATACCAGAGTATAGATAAGCAAGTACAGCCCGTCTCTACATTACTGTGCCTTCGAGGGCACCCCTTAATAAACACTAAACCCACCTCCCGTCACTTAGAGGAAATAGAGGATATCCTTGAAAGAATATATAAAGAAAATAATAAATAAAGAATGATAATAAATAAATAATAAAAATAATTAACTGTGGACACCTCGTGGGTGAAAAATCAAACTAGCTACAGAGATTACTCGTGTAAAGAATAAATGTATAATTGTATAAAAGTCTAGTATGGGTGGTATTGTCTCAGATAATATTGGCAAAATGTCATCCCATATCTTTTATCCAACCCCATACGTAAAAGTCCCGGCGCGCGTTTCGCCAAAAAATGTTATTCCAGGGGAGCAGAGTATAACCAAAAGCAGGTTTAAAAATAGTGCCTCTGTTGCTGATAGGATGCCCACTGACCAATCAGAACGTGGGTGGAATTCCTGTGGATGGTGCTAAAGCCTCAGGTTAAATTAACCCTATAGATGCCTGATAGGGTCTTTGTAATATAATTACAGAGAAAAACATATACATTAATGTAAGAGCACACATTAGATTATTGAGACAAGTGAAATGCTATGACACTTTACCTAACTATCCTGGTAAATTCCAGGAAATAATGTTAATGACAGAAGTCAATTGAGAATAAAAATCAATTGTTAGGTCTTATCAAAACAGACTGTGTGTGTCACACAGCGGAAAAATCAAAAGAATAAAACGAAGAAAAATAGATGTTTATAAATACAGGACGATATCTATTTCGTCCTCAATCTATAATTGAACATATTATCGATGGTAAACCAAAAGGGGAGCTAGAGGTACCAATAAGCACTATATGGTTTGATGGATTGATAAAAAAGTGAATAATCACGTAATGGTTATGGTAGCAGAGAGAACCAATGGTTACTAATATAGCCAAAAAAAATAAATTATATTAAACAGGGACCCTCAAATTTCTAAGCATGGATGGCAAAATGTCAATACTTGGAAGGAGTGATCGCAAAGACTTCTTTCATGGTGGTTTATTGTGTATAAGTCTAATTGTAAAGTCTTAGTGAGACAGATTTGTACTTGCTACACAAGTGGATGTTATCGTCCTGAAAAAGAATGTCTGTAATTCCATATTAAGGCTTGTTAGATGAAATGTTCTAATAGATTGTTCCTAAGACTTAGTGAACAAAAGGAGAGGGATTCCTCATTTTCAAGTCAGACAATTATTATAAATAATTGTAATAATGGCCAACAGTACATTTTTTAGCAAGTTGAAAGGCAGGAACCACTCAAATATATCTAAGGTGCTTATTATTAGAGTGATCTCTGCATTTTTAATGCATACATATAAATGTAAAATGCTGTGATTTAATTCTTATGGGAAATGTTGATTTGGTTCTCGAACACTTCGGGACTCTAACAGCCTTCGGGAACAGATTAAGTTCAAGTTCCGAGGTTCCACTGTATTTGTTTATTTCCTGTCTCAAATGTGGCGCTCTTTTGTTTTTTGGAACTTGGGAAGGTTCTATTGTATTTAGTTGCGTTTTATACTGTTTTGAATATTTTATACTGTTTGTTTGTGCACTCTCTTATAGTGTATACTAAACACAAATAGGCCACTGCATTCCAATGGCAATAATAAAAAAATACACTATACAAAAACATGCTAAAATTCAAGCTAACAAACACGGTTCACAAATACAACCCTTCAAAGATTAGCAAATTGTCGATCAACTGCTGGCATAGCATCGTTGAAGTTGTACGACAGATGTGGATCTACCTTTTGGCCAATGTTGCACTTGAAGGGGGCCCAAAAACTGTATTGCACCAGGGCCCTCTCTACATTAGTCCTGCCACTGCATAGGAGATCCGTAGTTGTCATGAGAGAGACCACAGAGAAGCCGTAGCCAGTGGTGTATCCTGGTTTTGTGCTGCCCTAGGCAGGACAAAACTCCCACCCCACCTTCTAAATACACACACACACAGTCAGACAAACACACACACACAGTCAGACACAAACACACACACAGACACACACACACACAGTCACACACACACACACACAGTCAGACACACACACACAGACACACACACAGTCAGATACAAACACACACAGTCAGACACAAACACACACACAGACACACACAGACACAAACACACACACACAGTCAGACACACACACAGACACACAGTCAGACACACACACAGTCAGACACAAACACAAACACAGACACAAACACACACACAGTCAGACACAAACACACACACACACACAGTCAGACACACACTCACATTAACACTTTTTTATCCCCCAGCCTCCTTACCTTTGGGAATGCAGGGGTGCGGGGGGTTCTCTTTATCCCTGGGGTCCACGCTGCGGCACGCGAGGCAGCTGAGCAGAGTGCTCAGAGGAAGAGCTCCCTCGCCAGCCGCCTGCCAGCGCCCAGCATGTCTGTTAGCCGCGAGGCTAACTAGGCATTTGCCTTGGGCATTTGGGGGCGGCTTTTTTTGCTGCCCCCTGGAAAATGCTGCCCAAGGAAAATACCTTGTTTGCCTCGCGGCTAAAACGTCCCTGGCCGTAGCCACCATGTAGGAATGTAATGCCAATACCAAACAATGCTGGGTGTCTGACATTAAAAAAAATGGGTAGAAAACTGAAGCTGAGTCCAATTTAGTCTGACAGGAAGTAAAAAATTTGACCCCGTATGGAGAAAAAAAAATAAAGCGTCCACGTTGAAAGCGTGTATGTCTGAGATCTAACAGAAATACCCTAGGCACAAAAGGTAGGCTTGGCCGTCAGTTGACATAAATACAGGCTATCATTTGGCGACCAATCCTGCAAAAAATGAAGAACCACATCCATATCCAACAAACGTGTATATTTGAGGGCTAGTGGATGCCAAAGTCGGATACCATGAGCAGTAGGCAAAGCAGTCTTGACCCACCGGTTTCTCCTGAAGCAGTACATGGGCTGCCGAAATGGCCGCACAAAGCACATTAATGAAACGGTATGACATACCATCAGAAAAAAGAAACAAGAGAAAATGCAGGATTGCGGAAACAGGGGGATAGCGGAAAAAGGGGCAGTAAAAGGATTCAAGTTCCAACTCACACACCAATTGGACCAAGATTGCCATGTGAAGAAGTAACTTCTCCTTCACCTAGGAGTTCCAAAGGAGGTCTCTAGCTTTTGTCGATAATTCGCCGACATGCCAGGAATCTCTGAAAAAGTCCAAGCCACCAAGGATAGATATCTAAATCTTGAAAAACAATAATATTCTCACCCTGTCATGTATTGACTATGTCTTATGTATAAGTGATATGGATAAGAAATAATTGATAAAAAATTTAAACAATAAAGGAAAATAATGGTTACTCGTTGAAAATAGCTTCTAATAGTAAAATAGTAAGTAAAATGATCCTTAAATGTCCATCTTAAAGGGATCACTATAGTCACCAAAACAATCTTTGCATAATGAGGCCGTTTTGGTGTATAGATTATGCCTCTGAAGTTTCACTGCTCAATTCTCTGCTACTAAGGAGTTAAATCACTTTCTGTTTCTGTTTATGCAGCTCTAGCCACACCTCCTCTGATTGTGACTGACACAACCTGCATGGAAATAAAATGGTTTAATTTTCAAGCATAAGTTTTGGTTCCTGCAGGGTCTAGAATGCTATTTACAGAGCAGCGAATAAGAAAGTCTAAATTAAACAGAATTTGCAACAAAGAAACTGTAAACATTAGATGACACTTTATAGGAAGTGTTTAAGAAGGTTGTGTAAGTCACATGCATGGAGGTGTGACTAGATCTGCATAAACAAAGTGATTTAACTCCTAAATGGCTGAAAATTGAGCAGTGAGACTGCAGTGGAATCATGTATACACCAAAACTGCTTCATTAAAGGTATTCTCCAGTGCCAGGAAAAGTTAGTTTTCCTGGCACTGCAGGACCCTCTAGTGCCCCTTTACCTTCCCTTCAGTGACTTACCGGAGTCGAGCGCCGATGTCCCTCGGCGCTGGGTCAGGCTCCACCTGCGCTCCTGCCCTGCCGCCAACAGCCAGCGGGGGAGACCTAATGCGCATGCGCGGCCGTTGGCGGGGAGACCTAATGCGCATGCGTAGCAATGGCTTCGCACGCACATTAGACCTCCCCATATTAAAGCATTATACAATGCTTTCCTATGGGGATTTCAGCGACGCTGGAGGTCCTAACATAGCGTTGTGTTCTATGAACACGGAAGTCTCCTCTAGTGGCTGTCTAGTAGACAGCCACTAGAGGAGGACTTAACCCTGCAAGGTAAATATTGCAGTTTATGAAAACTGCAATGATTACACTTGCAGGGTTAAGGCTAGTGGAAGTTAACACCCAGACCACTCCAATGGGCAGAAGTGGTCTGGGTCCCTGGAGTCTCCCTTTAAGCAAAAGTTGTTTTGGTAACTATAGTGTCCTTTTAAATCCAGCCTTATGCACTCACAGCAATTATGCACAATACTTCACCGTTGTGTGATGAATAAACATTTAAGCATCATTTTACTTACTATTTTACCATTAGAGACCATTTTTAACTTTTATTATTTTTAATTTTTTTATCAACTATTTCTTATCCATATCACCTATACATAAGGCAGAGTCAATAAATGACAGGGTGAGAATATTATTGTTTTTCAAGATTTTTATATGTCAGTAGGTTCCCTATTTCTTCTCTACCCTTTTCTACATCATTTTGTGAGTAGACTGTCTCCCCATTTTTTCTACTCTGCTGCACTTAATCATTACATAAGGATTGATATCTGTCCTGAAGCATTGGATGTGGGTGCCTTAGCGGGTCTTGGACCAAAAGGCAGGAGGAGAGGGTCCGCACAAAACATCGCGAGGAGATCCGGAAACCAAGGTTGACTCGGCCAAAGATCGGATCAGGTGAAGGGATCTTGCAATCATTGCAAATGGAGGGAAAGTGTAAGCTCCCCGATCCAGCCATACCTGAAGGAACACATCCACCACCATGCTCTACAGATCCGGCAGCCAAATGTATAATTCTGGAAGTTGATGAGTGTTGGGTGATGCAAACAGGTCCAAGTGGAATGGAATTCTCTGTGAATCTAAGCTGGCAAACATTTGAGGATCCAATTGCCAATGGCTGATTTTTACCAGCAATGAGAGAACCAATGCGCAGTAAGGTTGGATGCTCCCAATAGATGTTTTGCCAGAAGCATGATGTTTCATGGCTGGCAGTAATCGAAAGTCTCCTGTGTGAGGTCCTACAAGGCTTGGGACTGAGTACCCCCTAGAATCTACGGAGTACTAGGGGGTAATCTAGGGCCTAGATGATTGATATAAGGGTACATTGTCCTTCCAAAGCAGAAAACAGGGGAAATCACAACACAAAAGGAGACGGTAAAGTGCCAGACAACACAGGGAAACAAAACAACCCCCCATAATCCGGTGACCCCCAAAGGAAAAGGAGGGGAAAGGATAGTATAAGTAGGGCACACTATCCCTACTATCCCCACAGTAGACAATAAAAACAGAAACAAATAAAATAATAGTCCTTAAATGAGGGTAAAATGTAGGAAACAAATACTCTGACCTGACTTGTGATTGAGCAGTAAAGAAAGGCTGTATTTTGGCTATATGCACCTCTTATACCCTTTGCTCATTCCTGATTGGTTCTTTGTTTATCTATTATTCTTTGCTGCAGTGGAGTAAGGAAAGAAAGTTAATGCAAAATATGAAGTCTCCTGTCACATGGTAAAATTGTGCTGATACAGTCAGGAACCTTTATCCTCTGTGGATGCAATATAGCTATCAGGAGGGAGGAAGTCAGTGGTTCCCAAACATTTTAGGTTCAAGGCACCCCTATTATTTCAATATTTTGCCAAGGTGCCCCAATTCAGAGCAAGTTTTGAGTTTGTATATTTGTACAGTGCTACGGCATATACTGGCACTATAGTGTTGGTGTTTAAAGGGGTGTTTGTATATAGTTTTAGTGTTTTAATACAGTGGTATGTGTGTATGTGATGTTTGCGTTTGATTGCAGGGGTGTGTTTGAATGTAATGTTCACTTTTAAATGCGGATGTACATTTGTGTGAAGTATTTGTGTTTGAGTGAAGGGGTGTGTTTGTATATCCTTTTTAAGTTTAAATGCAGGGGTGTCTTTGTATGTAATATTTGTGTTAGATTGTATGCGTGTGTTTATATGTTGTGCTGGTGTTTGACTGATTGGCTGTATGCAGATACACTACCACATACATACATACATACTTACACAGATATACATGCACATTAACACACAGATACATATAAATACACTGACACACACAAATTCATACAGACACCGACACATATATACATGTTAACACACGTATACACCAACATATACACACACAAACGCACACTCTGACACACACAAACAGTGACACATGCACACACCCTGACACACTCATGCACACCCTGACACACAGATGTGCACACGCACATATATGTGCGCACACACGGACACAGATACACACAGAAGCACACTGACATACACACACACAATCTGACATAAACACATACAAGTGATATATTTTTTATATCTGTAGCCACCCTCCTCTTAGCTTACCTTGTGTGTCCAGGAGGGTGGCTTGATTGGAGTCCTGGTCCTACTACTGGCTGGTGGTAGTGAGGGGTCTGGAGCAGCTCTTCGTGCTCCTCTTCCCTCATCTCCCTCCCGTGCTCTCTGGCTGCATAAAGCTGGGAGGAAGTGACAGGCTGTCACTTCCTCCCAGCCAGCCGAAGTTACAGGGGCCTGATCGCGGTCTTACAGGGCGGCGGCACACGACCGGTTTCCTGTTCAGCAGATATTTTTCTATGTGCTATAGCACCAAGGAAACATTTCGCGGTGCCCCTATGTGCCCAGTCGCAGGGTGCCACAGCACACAGTTTGGGAACCGCTAGAGTAAGGGGATATATTCCCCTATATGTACAATGTGAAACGGGAGGAAAATAGTAAGATGTGTGAAAGAGGGAAAGGAAGAGGGGAAAAAAGGGTGGGTATGCTTTAAACATTCCGATTCAGTCAGTGGAACTTTCCATAACCTTGAGGGATGAAACTATCTGACTAGGCAGTGTGTTTACATCTAACCATGGGTCTTGTGAAAGGATTTGGCTGAATCACATGTGTGAGCTGTTATCCTATCCAGGTGGAATGTACATTTTTTATATTATGAAAGAGAGTTATAATCCTTTAATATATGGGGAGCACAAAAATTGCTGCTGTTGCAGAACTGGATTAGAACCAATTTGTATTTGTTCCACTAGATGTCACTCTATACAAAGAAACCTGCTGTACATTATTTATCTCACTAGCTGGGAAGGTTCATACATTTATCGTCTAATCTAAACTGAATACTGCCTGTTAGATTTCTGTGGACGTAATGCTGGCCAATATGTAACCCAGCACTTGAATTCCAGCTCCCATCATAATCAGGCATCCAAATGATGATTTAGTAATCATGAGAGCGGTATGTGTTGCTCAGTCCCAGTGTGTGGGGTAAATTCATATTGTAGGTTAATTTGTTCCCTGAGCCTGCCCAGAGAGTAAAAGTTAAATTAATTACTAATTAAATATGTTATTATGCTCTGTATGATGTGAGCTATTCTTCAAATCTCTCTTACTGTTATTAACTGTATTATCTCCCAGTGTATCTCTGTGTTATTTATAATATCCCCCCCAATGTCCCTCTCACTGTTATTTATAATATCCCCCCAGTGTCCCTCTCGCTGTTATTTATAATATCCCCCCAGTGTCCCTCTCGCTGTTATTTATAATATCCCCCCAGTGTCCCTCTCACTGTTATTTATAATATCCCCCCAGTGTCCCTCTCGCTGTTATTTATATCCCCCCAGTGTCCCTCTTACAGTTATTTATAGTATCCCCCCCAGTGTCCCTCTTGCTGTTATTTATAATATCCCCCAGTGTCCCTCTCACTGTTATTTATATCCCCCCCAGTGTCCTTCACTGTTATTTATAATATCCCACCAGTGTCTCTCTCACTGTTATTTATAATATCCCCCCAGTGTCTGTCTCACTGTTATGTATAATATCCCCCCAGTGTCCCTCACTGTTATTTATAATACCCTCCCAGTGTCTCTCACTGTTATTTATATTCACCCAGTGTCCCTCTCGCTGTTATTTATAATATCCTCCCAGTGTGCCTCTCGCTGTTATTTATAATATCCCCCCAGTGTCCCTCTCGCTGTTATTTATAATATCCCCCCAGTGTCCCTCTCGCTGTTATTTATAATATCCCCCCTGTGTCCCTCTTGCTGTTATTTATAATATCCCCCCAGTGTCCCTCTCAGTGTTATTTATAAAATCCCCCGTGTCCCTCTCCGTGTTAGTTATTATATCCCCCCTCCCCCAGTGTCCCTCTGTGTTATTTATAATATCCGCCCAGTGTCCCTCACTGTTATTTATAATACCCCCCAGTGTCCCTCTCACTTATTTATAATATCCCCCCAATGTTTCTTTCAGTGTTATTTATAATATCACTCCCAGTGTCCCTATCTGTGTTATTTATAATATCCCCCCCAATGTCCCTCTCGGTGTTATTTATAATATCCCCCCAATGTCCCTCTCACTGTTATTTATAATATCCCCCCAGTGTCCCTCTCAGTGTTATTTATAATATCCCCCCAGTGTCCCTCTCACTGTTATTTATAATATCCCCCCCCCAATGTCCCTCTCGGTGTTATTTATAATATCCCCCCAGTGTCCCTCTCACTGTTATTTATAATATCCCCCCCCAATGTCCCTCTCGGTGTTATTTATAATATCCGCCCAGTGTCCCTCACTGTTATTTATAATACCCCCCAGTGTCCCTCTCACTTATTTATAATATCCCCCCAATGTTTCTTTCAGTGTTATTTATAATATCACTCCCAGTGTCCCTATCTGTGTTATTTATAATATCCCCCAATGTCCCTCTGATTGTTATTTATAATATCCCCCAATGTCCCTCTCACTGTTATTTATAATATCCCCCCAGTGTCCCTCTCAGTGTTATTTATAATATCCCCCCAGTGTCCCTCTCACTGTTATTTATAATATCCCCCCCAATGTCCCTCTCACTGTTATTTATAATATCCCCCCACTGAGATTCATGGATGGTACAACTCAAGTGTCCTTTTCTGATCAGTTTTTGTGGTGTATGGGGCATAATAGGGTTTCATAGAAGTGCAACTATTTGCATTGAATATTGAAATGAGAGCAACTGTCTTTCAAAGTTAATTTGTTACGTAAAATAATTGTATCTTGATGTGGAAAACTTGTATTGTACGACTATTAACAGTTAAATTATGCTGCAATAGGTTTCCTGAGTACACCACCAGGCAGCCCCATAAAAATAAAATGTCCCTCAATTAGGAAGGTTATTAGGTAGGTTTGGGACCAATCTCCATTTTAAAATTCCACCATTTCTCAGAAGGCTACACAGTCTAAACACAGAATAAAAACACCAATCATTGATTCATTTCTTTACTGTTTTTGTTCCTGCAGTTAGCTTTAGGTGTATTCAGTTTCCAGATATGTGTTTATTTTTCCAGGTGATTGGAGCTGTGTGACGAACCAATGTTAAGGAAGAGTTCAGCCAGAACCCCAGATATTGTTGGCAGGTAAGAACCATTGTCAAACAGTAATAGTAAAAGGCACTCCAAAGTATCCCAATTGTCAGTGCTTGTGCCGAGGGCCAGGTTGCTGTTCAGCAGAACCCGCTAATATAGCATCAGTCAATATAATCCTGAGCAATGTCGTTTTATGGTGGTTTATTGTACTATCAAACATGGTAATGTCTTTCTCAAGCCATAGCTCCACTTCTTCTAGGCATTTGATATTATGCAGATTGTAAAAATATTTGATTCTAAATTTGGACGTAGACATGTATATATAAACACACAGGAGCAATTAACGCTTAAATATGATGTGTAATATATTTTCATTAGGTAATATTTATATGTAATTGCAACTATACAATATAGGGAATATTTTAATATATTTGCACTCATAAATTATAATGTCAGAATATACAATATTGGGAATATTGTGATATGTTTGCACTAATAAATTATAACATGTCAGAATATACAATATGGGAAATAATTGCACAAATGGTTGTAACTTGTTTAAATACATTGTATTAAATATGTCACTGAATTTTACTTGATGTAATTGCGATACTAAGTTAACCTTCCTAATTGTTATAATTATTATTGACTACTTGCAGTTAGCATGTGATGTGAACACATTTACTTAATTGGTTGTATATTGCATGTAACCACCTATTTAACACTTTGTGTAATGCACTTTTAACTATGGCTTGAGAAAGACTTCGAAATGTTGCCTTTTCCACGCTTCATTGCACAGTAAACCACCAGGAGACAACGTTGCCAATTGCGGAGGATTACTTTGATTAATGACAGATACGAACTAGTCAGCCCATCTGTTCTGCCAATTAGAATATCTCTGTCATTGTATGCACATTCTAAGCTTTCGTCAATTTCCTTACTGTTTACTATACGTTTCCATGTATCTACTTCCACTTAAAGGATACAGCAGGTATTGACTGTATGAAGTATAATGATTACCTAGAATTGCCCTACATAGTACTATTTCCTCACCTTGCCCTCAACCTTCAAATCATGTGCTCTTATTCAAAAATGTCTCTCTATACTTTATTTAATACCTCGAAGTCTGTGATGGTCTTTATTTCAAAACACACCATGTTGTGATCACAATTTCCCCTACTTGAATGTTTGTCAAATATCTCTCCTCTCTTCCTTGTACACATTAAAGAAGCATGCGTGGTTAGTGAGACCACATTCTGTTTTAGCGAGCCCCTATTTGAATGATCACGCAATTATTCCTGACATTTTCAAGCCTTGGTCTCAAGAACTGGGCACAGTATTTAAATGATGTCCCACTAATTATGGATGGAGCACAGTAAGTAGGTCAGAGCTTCCACTGCCCCTTTATATAAACCCTGTGTACTGCTGGTTCCTCGACTGATGTGCAACGTCGTATTTAACCTCAAAATAATGTGAAATAATAAGATATTATTGTTTAAAAAGTTACTAAATGAGCAAAGCCTTGTTAGATCTGTAATCCACAGTTAGTGTTCTAAATTCTTAATTTTACACCTACTTGTGTTAAACATTCCTCACATTTTAAAATCATTTAACATCTGCATTACTCGTCCTGATGAGTCAGCCCTATTTCAAAATGTTATCATCTCCAAAATGAAATATCTTTCTCTGAATAACACTACTGATATCACTGATAAGAATATTAAATAGAACAGGCCTCGGGACTGACCGTGAGGTACTGTGTATATAGCTTTCCTGTTCTGTGAGTGACCCCTTCCTTAATTATGACACTCCCTCCTATGTCTGTTTAATACCATCCTCGTATTCTCTTACGTACAGACTCATCCAGATATAGAGCGTCAATCACTCCTTACTAACCCCAGATATGATGCATGTGCTGGTCAATCTCTCTCTGTTATTCTGATCGGAGAAACCTACAGTGAATGAAATGTTATATCTTTCATTATGCTTTAGCTATGCTAGGACTTTGTTTCATTTGAAAATATCTCCATCTATGTTCCTTCTTCTGGTGTCAGATGTCCAAGTCTCCAGATCCCAGCATTACCCATAACCCTGGTTTTGTACACCGCTGCGATATTGGCAATCTAGAAACCAGGCGTCAGTTGAATGGACCTTGGATGGGTCGTATCCAGAACCAGCAACACGTAATTTTTAGTTTGCTGTAATCACTGAAACCCTGTTATTTTGTGTAAGTGTTCTATTCACTGGATTCTCAACCCCTCTATCTGGTGGCAAAAAAACTGCAGAAAGGACCTCTTACCCAGTCTATTCCTCAGTAATCTTTTGTGTAAATATGTTACTCATTCCTTACCTAATCATTAGTGATGTCCCGAACTGTTCGCGAACGGTTCGCCGCGGACTCCAGTCAGCAGACACATTCCAGCCAATCAGCAGCAGACCCTCCCTCCCAGACCCTCCCACCTCCTGGACAGCATCCATTTTGAACCTGCATTCTTAGTGAGCTGTCCAGGAGGTGGGAGGGTCTGGGAGGGAGGGTCTGCTGCTGATTGGCTGGAATGTGTCTGCTGACTGGAGTCCGCGGCGAACCGTTCGCGAACAGTTCGGGACATCACTACTAATCATCTCTGTGTTTTTTTCACCAGTCAATGAGTTGTAAAGCTATCGTAATCCTATTGAAATTGTCCTTTTTAAAATTACACATTTTAACATACCCCATGTGCATTTACTTTTTTGAGTTTATTTCAAAAGACACTATATTGTGATCACTTACTTAAATGTTTGTCAAAAAGGTCAGTATTGTTTGTTATAACCAGATTCAGACAAGCTTACTTTATAGTCCTTCTACCAGTTGTGTGACTTGAAGGTATCACTTAAAGGACCACCATAGTGCCAGGAAAACATACCCGTTTTCCTGGCACTATAGTGCCCTGAGGGTGCCCCCACCCTCAGGGTTCTCCTCCTGCCGGGCTGGATGGTGAGAAAAGGGTTTAAACTTACCTTTTTTCTAGCGCCGGGCGGGGAGCTCTCCTCCTCCTCTCCGCCTCCGATCCTCCTCTTCGACTGAATGCGCATGCGCGGCAAGAGCTGCGCGCGCATTCAGCCTGTCTCATAGGAAAGCATTTACAATGCTTTCCTATGGACGCTGGCGTCTTCTCACTGTGATTTTCACAGTGAGAAGCACGCAAGCGCCTCTAGCGGCTGTCAATGAGACAGCCACTAGAGGATTTAGAGGCTGGATTAACCCATTTATAAACATAGCAGTTTTTCTGAAACTGCTATGTTTATAAAAAAAAGGGTTAATACTAGAGGGACCTGGCACCCAGACCACTTCATTAAGCTGAAGTGGTCTGGGTGCCTAGAGTGGTCCTTTAACAGGTTCAAAAACCTGATTCCCCTTGCTGAACCACTGATCCCTGTATCCCTATCTAAGTCCGGGTAATTAAAATCTCCAATAATTGTGTTACCCAGATGTGCAGCTTTCTCAATTTGCTCTAACAGCTGTTTTTCCTCATCAGTATCAACATACAGTCTGCTTATGTTTTCGTCACCCAGAATACCTGTCACCTCGCTTTGATATCAAGAGAGACTTCGTTGACTTTGTATTTTACGAACAAGTTGGACAGAAGACGCCATCACTTCACAAATCACGCCGTTCATTGACTCCCCATGCAGTAAACAACATCATGATTTAGAACATAATTTTTTTTTTAAATTAATAGATGTGAATTCTGAATGTTAATTCTGCCGTTTTGAATCTAAAATGTTTTCACATTTATTCACGAAAATCCAGTTTGTAGTGAACTGAAAATTGAATTGCAAAATTAAGGCTAAAATAGCTGAGCTGTGACTATAGCTTAGTTAGAGAGCTTTTAATTAACAGCTGTTTTAGGCTTTTACTTTACTAGAATCTACAATAGATCCCCGTGCCTTTAAATGATTATACTTTGCACCTTCTGCAGTAGTAAGCTATAATATTATAATATTTACTTATCATTTAATGCCATTTTCAACCAAAAATACCCTGCCAGAGATAGGTTTTCGTTGTAGATAAAAAATGAAAGAAAAACAGCTGAAATGAAAGGAATGGCGGCTGCGCTATTCCATGCTAACCGCAAAACATGTTACCATTGATTGATAAAATAAATATACTTAGAAAACCAAGGATTTGCTTAGAAAAATGACAACTGTAAGAGACTGTACACACTAACGGGACACTCTCAGCAACATAACCACTACAACTTTCTGTAATAGATTGCCTAGAGCAGGGGAAGGCAACCTTCGGCACTCCAAATATTTTAAACTACATCTGCCATAATGCTCTCACAGCTACAATGCTGACAAAGTATCAAGGGAGATGTAAGACACATCTGGGGTTCGGAAGGTTGACTATCCCTGGCCTAGAGTGTCACAGTCTCCAGGTGTAATATTAAACTGTTAAGGGGAAAAATTGGATATTTAACCAAGCCTTTTACCTCAACCACATTGAATTATCACTGCGTTATTAGTGTTGGACATTGATGATTCTGATTGGCTGAGGATGACGGGCTAACCCACCCCCTCCAACTTCCTCTGTCCTGGGAAAAGCCTGGGTTTTTATCAATCGATTCCTAAACAGTTTATTAATAAAGTGTTGGTTTAAATGCAGTTAGCACTTTTTAAAATTTCTGCTGCTAAGAGCCCCCAAAACACTTGTTTCAGAAAGTGGATTACAGCAACTGCTAGACAGAAATCCTAAACTGTGCACTTTACATTTATTTTATAATTTTTTAAATATAAATGAAAGGTAGTGTTTAACATATATAGGCTAAACGTTTCACGTAGACTAACTCCATTAACTGGTGGATGACGCCTCGGTACTTTAGGCTTCATAACCGCCACATTCCGTTATAGTGCTAATATTACTTTGTGTTTCCTTGTAGTAAGTCCCAAAATACATGGAAGTGTCTTTAAGGAAACCTGAAAATCGTGAATACAAACGTCAGAATGCGTCCTCCAGAGATTTTGTCAGGTCCTTGGAAGAGCAAGAAATAAATTAGTCGCCACACCAGAATGGTGCTAGCTAGGAATTTTTAATTCAGCAGTGTTTCGACCCACAAAGGGATCTTCTTTATCAAGCCAAGTCCACATGTTGGTGGATTATAAATTACCAGTTAACACTATTTAGGTGGCGCAATGCTATTCTGCTTCTTCCAAAATACATGCATGTGGTGTAAAATCCTTCACTCCCCCCATCCCACCCACCTAATGTTAATGCGTAGTTAATTAAATATTTGCTATTCATTCGTTTGAGTCACTCTTGCAAAGGTGAGTTAATGCCAATAACTGAGTATTTCTGGGTTTTCATGGAGGTCAGGCAAGTGGCTTCACATGTTTTCCCACCCGGTGTACTTTGGGTCAAGAATTTTTAAAATTATTTGTTTTAAATCACTACATCTATCCACAATACTTAAGTATTTGCTCATTATATTCAGCCATTACCTGCACTATCTTGTGTTTTGTACGATTTTGATAAAGTTGCAGCAGTCGTCATGGAAACAAGTGGAGCTGGTAGGCACTTTATATTAGTGACACTGTTCCTTTTTCATATTTTATTCTTTGTTTCCATCATTCTTACCTGCTGACTGGAAGGGGTAGTGTCTGGTAAGAGTTAAAGGGGCACTATAGTAACCAAAACAACTTTAGCTTAATGAAGCAGTTTTGGTATATAGATCATGCCCCTCCTGTCCCACTGCTCAATTCTCTGCCATTTTGGGGTTAAATCACTTTGTTTATGCAGTCATAGGCACACCTCCCTGCATGTGACTTGCACAGACCCTCTAAACACTTCCTGTAAAGTGTATCTAATGTTTACACTTCCTTTATTGCAAAGTGTTTTTAATTTAGAATTTCTTATCTCCTGTTCTGTTAAAAGCATGTTACACGCTGCATGACCTCCAGTATGTGATTAAAGTTTACATTTACAGAGCAGGAGTTAAAACCGTTTAAAGTAAGTAACAGCTGAATGAAAATGAAAGCATTGTGTTTTCATACAGTCTGTGTCACTCACAGCCAGGGGAGCTGGGGCGGCATAAACAGAAACAAAAGTGATTAAACTTCAGAGGCATGATCTATACACAAAAAAAACTGCTTCATTACGCTAAAGTTGTTTAGGTGACTATAGTGTCCCTTTAATTGGTGGCACAGCCAGGAAACAGTTACCAACTGGGCAGAACAGCCTGAATTAAATTAATAACTGATCATGGGATACCGTTTGTAAGTGGGAGGGTTTGAGCAGCCAGGAAAGAGTTAATGATTTGTTGGAGCGACCAGCAAAGGGTTAATGATTATCTGGGGCGGCTTGGAAAGGGTTAATGCAATGCTTGCCCATGTGTTATTGATTTCTGATTGGAAGTGGGTGGAGACCAGATCTATAAATGAAATGCACCCCAGGGTGGGTGGGTATGCGGTGTTGAGGAGGGGGACGTTTTCTTGGTTCCCAGCATTAGTTTGTAGCTGTTAGTGTTTCGGACAGGATCTCCCCGGTGTGTCTGTGTGTTTCAGGTAAGAAACTTTCCTGTTTTTTAGTAGATAAATAGTCTGACAGGAGTGTTTTATTAACTCTTTCTGTGCCAGAGGAGAAAGAAAGATACTAAGTTATTAACTGTTTGTGTGCCAGAAGAGTGACATTTTAACCATTTGCATGCCAGAGAGAGACAATATTAACCATATGTGGGCCAGAAGGAAAACAGTAGCTTAACCGTTTGCGTGCCAGAGAGAAATAACTAATTTTGTGCCAGATAATGGCAAAAAAACATTTGTGTGCCAGAGGGGAAGATACTAAGTTATTAACAGTTTGCGTGCCATAGAACTAAAATAGTAACTGTTTGTGTACCAGAGCATAGTCTTACGTTTAAGTATAATTTTAAATATGTTTTTTTCCCCCCATCACGTAGAGCCACATATCATTGGCATTTAAGGGTTACTGCTAATCGGGTATTATTGATTTCTGATTGGAATGAGTGTAGTCTGCTAAGGGGTAATAAGGTTGTGCAGACTGGAATCTGGTTCATGTGTTATTGGGCCGTTACTGCTGCCCCAGTGAAGTTGATAGCATTGTTTTGTTTTATAGATAAAACCGTCAGACCTGAATCCACTAAAAGGTGTCACAGTGTGCCAGATAGAACATTGGGGAGAGCTGATATTCACTTCCATTTTAAAGTGTAAATTGTCGGGACTTCAAAGTGAGTTTACGTTTTTCGACGAAAATAGCCTAAATTACTCCCCCTCCCCATTTGGCTGTTTTGGCTTAGACATTAAATTCACTTTGGATTTCGGACAACTAACATTAAAGTGAGTAACACTGCTTCCATCTGAGTCACTCATAGGGCGGAGTGCCTAGGGCTGCATAAACAAAGTAAGTTAACTCCTAAATGGCAGATAATTGAGCAATGTGACTGAAGGGGCATGATCTATATAGCAAAACTGCTGCATTAAAGGAGCACTTTAGGGTCAGGAACACAGACATGTATTCCTGACCTTGTACTGTTAAAACCTCCATTTAGGTTGCTTGTCCCTTAGGTGTTTAAACTCCCCTTATTTTCAGCGCTGCTCAGGTTTGCATCCTTGGTGACATAAGACTTTACAATTTTTAGCCAATCCAATGCTTTTTCACATAGAAAAACATTGGATTGGCTGAAATCGGCAAGGAGGTGGGGCCAAACGTTGACTTGGCCAATCAGCACCTCCTCGTATAGATAAAATGAATCAATGCTGAAAGTGAAGCGTCTCCGTGGAGATGCTGAACTGCCCCAGGAAGCACCTCCAGTGGCCATCTGAGGAGTGGCAACTGGAGGTATCCCTAGGGGGCAATGTAAACACTGCCTTTTCTCTGAAAAGTCCATGTTTGCATGAAAAATGCCTGAAGGGAATGATTCTACTCACCAGAACAAATTCAATAAGCTGTAGATGCTCTGGTGACTATAGTGTCCCTTTAACACACTTGCTAAGTAAATCTAGCACTCTGAGTTAGTCATGGTTTTTGTCTTCCCTTTAACTTTTCATACATGATTAAAGTTAAAGAAAATATTCTGATATACAATCACCTGATATTTTATCCATGTTAGTCTAAATGTTTTCCAGAAGTCCAAGTAAGAGCAAGCCATCTTCCTTTGGTCTGTTAATGGATCATGCTTTATACAGCACCAATCAAAATCATAGCATTTCTTTTTTTAACCACAGAAAACAAACCCTGTTTCTTTAGAGAGAGTAATTGTGATTCCATCCATAATTTAGAGACTCTGCAAAGTTCTGCTTTTGAGTCTGTGTTCTGTACAAGCAGTCACTGTCTGAGGACAGGTCATGAGAAATATATCCTCGGCTTTGCAAGGAAGCGGAGCCTGGCTTAAAGATGATTTTAGATCACCATCTAATAAAATGTCCATTTATCACTTCATAACATAATCAAGCGCTAAAGTTTCTTAATGTTTAATGCATCTCCCTTTGTCTCTCTTGATCCAGCTGATGGCAAGGTAAGGTATTCTCGAGATATGCAGAGAACATTGGCCTGCCCCTTCATATGTGTAACTAAATTTATGATTGAGTAAAGGGTCAACTTATGGAATCTTACAACATGTTTTTATTTTTAAGATAATAGGTTGAAGGTAAAAGAACAGTCCAAGCACTATAACCACTATGCTATGAGAATTGCCTTCCTAAAGTAAGTAGTGAAACTGTTTGAAAATAGTTTTGCAACATACCTGGGGTCAATCAATCACCTCCTTTCCTGCAGCTATAAGATGGCTACCTGAGGCCAACTAAAGAACCATGCGGTAGTTTCTGGCTCCTAATGGAGAGAAAGTGACTAGTGTTTGGAGAACCCCTGGTATGGTATGGTTATTTTTTTAATTATATATATATATATATATATATATATATATATACACACACACACTGTATTTTTAAAGTCACACTACTTACATTTGGTGTTTTAGAGGGAAATGCCAGAATAAACCAATCACCATATGTAGCTGTGAATTATACAGTTGCACCCCCTACTTTGATGGAGAATTGCCTGGAATGAAGTCTTGGGGGGGAGGGGGGGATGGATAGAGAGAAGAGGCTAAGCTGACAAGCGACGTTTGGACAACTTTTGGGTAAAACCGTTTAACCTCTTAATGTAAGATGACACCTAGGACCTCCAGGCACCATAAAAACTGCATTGAAAGAAATTATTATGGTGCCTGAGGTGTTACTTTTAAGTTCCTTATAGTGGGTGGTTGGGATGGGGGCAGTTATTGACAGTTACATGTAAGAAGTCCTCGCTTTTTCCTCTCTGCTGTTATACGATCACTTCTGAATAGTAACAGCCCTTTTCTGGGATAATCATCAGGACACGTGAATAAAGTCTTAGGGAAGCTACAAAACGAATGGACTATTTCAATAAGGACACATTGTTTTCCTTGATTCTGAGTTATTTAGGAGAAATTGTGACTCCATGATATAGTAGCTATATAAGGTGTCAGTTCTGGGGATCACTTTACAGACTAAGCAAAATGCTAACATTATATTTGTAGGGACTGGATCATTGGGCAGCAAAACTGGGCATTATCACATCTCGCTTCCTACCGCTCACACTAAAATACAAAGAAATGTAAACCATTCCAGGTAACCCATGTATGACAATGATTGTATAACACTTACTGGACCACGATAACTAATCCTGCCCTGATTTGACATTCCACCATTTTTATCTCTCTACATGTAAACCCCATTCAGATCCATTACACACGGAACATGATTGAGTTTTCTCTACAAGTAAATACAATGTGTGTGTATGTATGTATGTATATATATATATATATATATATATATATATATATATATATATATATATATATATATATATATATATATATATATATGTATATATATATATATATATATATATATCTTCAGTATAACCTTGATTTTGCCCATTGTACAGAGCTATAATAATAATTTCAGCCGGCAGTGCTCCATTAAGAACTATACGGATTTACTCAACATTCCAAGAGAACCGAAATTGTTCCTTTCCTATAAATGACAAATGGTTTTATGGATTGTGTGTGCTCAAATGGCCCCTTCTCACCCACCCAACAGGAGTCAGCAGGATGGTGATTTTTATAGATTTTATTGTTTTTATAGATTAACAGCAGAATATGAAAATCACAGCCAAAGCAGTTCTTTAAAAAGGTCTGTCATTTATTCTCTCTGAAAAGTGTCTGTGCATTGCATAGGTGCGAATTCTGCCTTCATAGAAGACATGACAAAGGAACCACTTCAAAGTATTTACAATTCAGTCAACATGTATACATGGATAGAAAGACCGTATACATATATAGACAGAGAGATATATACGATTAAGATATATTTACAAACACTCATTCTTTTTCACACTCTGTATTCCCACATTTGCTGGAGGGAGCCACTGATCTGCAAGGACGGGCTCATCTCTGGGGGTCTGTACCTAGGGCAGGGATTAAGATCACAAAGATGGTGCCTACCTAGAACCACTCCCTTTATAACTCGACTGAATCTGTTTACGCTGCAGATGGGAGTACTATAAAAATAAACCCCGTGGGCAGCTTGAGGTGGGGATGGAAGTACTATACAAATACTTGTAATATTGAGAATCACTGCTTTTCTGGTTAAAAAAATGACGCGATTAGAGGAATTGTAATGTAAGATTTTTGTTTTAAGGTGATCAGCTCTGTGCTGGGAAAAAAGGATCCAGAATTCAGGCAGATGGGTGGAAAATCTAACTTTACGACAGGGATCGTTGCAGATAAAACTCAGAGCGTGCCAGAGGCAAGATGCAAAGTGTGAGTGTCACATCCTACAGGATTAAGCTCTGTTTCTTGATTAGGCGTAATGGGGGCAATGTAAGATTTCTGCTTTGGAACATGTGAAAAGTCTGCTTTTTATGTAACTGCCTTCTTTTCATTTATTCCAAAGCCCTTGCTATCTCTGGGTTATACCTGTATCATGCCTTACCAATAGACAGATCATGGGATTTCCCGGCCTCTTCTTCTTCTTAGAATAGACACCATCACTAAGGCGGATCTTTGACACTAAGCTTTAATACAGTTAGGAGAATGGTTCAGTGGGAGTTAAATTAATGGTTAAGTCTTGCTTCAAGGACTGGTCCAGAATACATTACTGAATTTTATCTGGTGGTCAAGTCATTTTCTTTCTCCCCCTTTCCCCACAGACTTTGCGTGGGCACCTTGCTTTTAACTCTGTCATGCGGTGGGTAATGTGTTTAAATCCTGTTCTAATCAGAGTTTAATCCTGTCATGTAGGGATCTGGTCATTATGCATGAAAGGCAGCAGATTAATGTTCTGAGACACGGCTGCAGCATTAGTGATTAGTTGCGGTGTGGAAAGAAAAAGGGCCCCCAGCTCTGCTCACAACACACCAGAGAGTGGGAGATCACAGCTTGATGTAGTGATCCACTCCTACCGTAGTTCTCAGTAGACATATTATAAAGTTCTGCTACATTTGTATGTGATATCATGGCGGGAGGGGGACTGTTCACAAGTGAACCAATTTTGTTTCTTTGGGTCCGTTGTCCGTAAACATGCACCGTTAGTACATGGAAAGGATAACCATAAAAAACATTAATAAAACCTGAAGCGCTGTTTTATTGCTGGCCTTTTCTTTGCTGTTCTTGAGCGTACAATAGCCACTAATCATCCACTTTCGAGGACACAATCCATTATCAGAACAGTATTTTTCAGGGATCTGCAATGGTAAACCAGCGCTCTCGTCCATCGTGCTAGGTCAGTTTGTGTGTAGTTTGATTGCTAATGTGGTTAGATGTTGGGTAATAGATATACAAAGTACAAGGATGTCATTACATGTGTGGCCAGGATAGTGGCAGCTGAACACTGCATATTTGGTATGCAAGGCTATCTGCAATTGCGTGGCCAATAGGAGGCTCTGCATTCCTTCAGGGAAGATGTGCTACCACAATGTCAAGCAACAGAGTACAGGGCTCAAAATATCTCTTGAAATAAACAATGCAGGTACCACAGCTTTGGAGATGGGCTGAACATTTATCCATGTATTGTGACAAACACTTGCGGCAAGGTGAGAAATGAAGGGAGCAGTTTCTGGGATGGTAAGGCCAACCAACACGATGGTCTGCTGTTCCTCCAAGGTTCTGTAGTATCCAAAGAACATCTTGTCCTTACAGAAACAAAGAGGGTGTAGGCACTCAAGTAAAAAAAATAACAACCAAACAAAAGAAAATAAAACAAAAAAACAGCCCTCTATTGTGGGCATTAAAATGGAGCTTGACAGCTCGCTCTACAGCTCACACTCTTGGTAGGACACATGTACGGGTCTCTAGGCTTTGGCCTTTCTCCTCGCCCCATCAGGATCATTTGGCAGTGGGTAAGTGAGGAGACGGAGGCCTGGATAACATATTTCAGTGCCGCAGGTTGCAAAGGAGATAAGATGGAGGATGAAAGGGTCTGTGCATCCAGCTCTGACCCTACCTGCTCGTTATGGACCATTTGTTCTTATTCTGGAGTCTGTAGCTTTTATTCTCAAGGCCTCCACATCAGTCCAGCGTTGGGAAACTAGGATGCTAGCAGTGTCATTAGGAGAAGAGACACTGCCACTGTGAGATGCAAATGTTCCCTTTTGGGACTTGTTCCACTAATGCTCTTCTCTAATTTGGGGATCTCAGGCTTGAAGTTATCTGAAAGGAAGGAAACAGATTGTTAGTTACTGAGATACATGGAGTGAAGCGGCTGGGTGTAACTGGAAAAGATCCATTTGGGATACTAACTTCAGAACAGATTCTGCTAGAGTAAAAATTACCACCACCACCTATGTGGTGGACATTTCCTGTGCGATCAGCTGAAGTGGAAATCTGAAAGCATCTCCACTCAAAAAGTTAATACCGTGAACATCAGAATACAAAAATGTATTCCGTTTGTAAAAACAAAAAGCTTTGCTTATAATATAGAAACCCTTTTGTTATTGTGCTTTGAAATCCTCATATAGAGAGGAGGATAAGAGAGAACAAGATTGAGCAGGACTCTCAGGAAGGCACAAGCTAGGTCTGTTCCATACAGTTTTAAACCTCTAAGTTTATTACAGCCAAGTAACTTCTTTATTAAAAGAATCAAAGAGACTAAGACTATGAGCTATTCTTGCAGGGACCAAATGATAGCATCCTCTAGGTTGCATGCAATATAGCGCAACCCACAGAAAGCCAGTTTCTGCAGTCACCCTCCAGGAGACCATGCAGGGAAAACCGAAACAATCCAGTAGCATTGCCTGACTGCACCGAAACAGGTCTTATATGGATCTAATTGAAACCTATGTAGAGAAAATGGATAATATCCCTGAGCTAAGAACATCTATGAACATTCTTCATTTTTGTGGGAACCAGAACCGGACAGGCTGATATTGGTCACAGGTCAACTGAAAGGATGAGCCACATTAAGAATTTAGCTCATCACAACAAGTCTACGTGGTCTCAAAACAGAATTATTACTGACGGAGCACGTTTGCTGGTAGCCAGGTAGTTGGAACCCTCACTCTATTTTAAAGTTGTTTTTAAAAAAAATTAAATATAAGAAAAGACTGTGCTAGAAACCAGCAAATGTCTATGGAAAATATAGAACGTTGTGGATTTCTAGTTTGTAACGCAGTCTTTTATTCTATTCTGTTTATATCTCCTTGTGATAGGGTCTAGGTTTTTCCTATTTTTAGACTGCAGCTCTTCTCCTTTCCTGCACTCCACGTTGGTCTAATTTATTCCTTGTTTTCAAAACAACTCTTTGGTTTCCCATTGTACCCAAAGCCTACCCTCCTGCTTTAGACAACAGAATACGAAATGTTCACTTCTATATGAGGCATGCAGAACAAAAATAAAGATATTCTCTCCAGTCTGCCTCACTTATATTTCTATTACTCTTTTTAATTTTAATTTTTTTAAATGAACACTATAATGTTAAGTATACAAACATGTATTCCTCATGCTATAGATAAGTCCTACTTATCTTTTCCCCAGCCCTGGCTTTCTGTGGCTGTCCAATCACAGACTTCCCAATGCAGCTCAATGAGAAGTCTTTGCAAAGCAGGTGTTCTGGGGAATGGTTACCTCGAGTTCAGTGCAAATAAACTAACCGTACTATGAACTAACAGGACCTAACACCTATATGAAAGCCAGGAGATATAGTAAAGTACATACATGAAAACGAGAGAAATCTCAATGTATCTTTCCTGGTAAAATATTTTAGAAATAAATTAAGTTAATTAATAAATGTGACAGTTTCTATTGAAATTTATGCTTTTGCAAAATGAAGAGAATAACAAAGGAAAAATAAACAACCCACTCACACACCCACAACATTCAGAGTCTCCTCACACCCCTCCCTCTCTGAGCTCTGCCAGTTATACCCGAGTGTTTGACCAGGAGTTGAACACATTGCATTCCCTTCTGCTCGGTCTCCATGGCTCCACTAGTGCGTTATCTCCTCAGTCTCTCCACTCACATTGAATCTCAGGACTATGCACAAAGTCTGGCTGATTCCTTCCTCCACTCAACACTGTTCATCTGCAGTATCATCAGTGGCAACACCTCCATTTCTGCAGGCAGCCAGCCACACTTAGTTTTTATCAATACTCCCTCTGTAGGCAGTGGTACTATCTAACCACAGGACCACTAGAGATTCTACTCACAAAAAGTGGAAATTATGGCAAAGATCTTTAAGAAAGGAAAGAACCAAAAAAAATACAAATTTTTTTTTTTTCTTCTTATAGGGAGAAAAAACAGAACCCCAAAACTGTACCATAGGCTATCATGTATCTTATCTGATATCCATGATTGTCTGCATGGATCCATTGAATATCAATAGGCTTTAGGGGAGACAAGAACACTAAACACAGTTTATTTTGCTGACCCTGCAGCACCCATTGCAGGAATGTAACCTGTTGTAAAGATCTGGGTATGCAAAGCACAGAGCTTCAAGCAATATCTGCCTCTACATTGTGCCATTTCACACAAACGTGATGTTAGTTGTGAGATTGTGGAAGAATTATCCAGCCTTGCATGATCACCCACGGCTGACAGAGTACATTAGTGATGCGAGCTCTTGGCAGAGTAACACATCAGGACATGGTGTTACCATTTAATAGATCTTAATCTCATTTGAGCAGGGCCTTCACCTCTTGCCTCTGTTCTATTCTATATGTAAATTACTTGTCAATTAACCCCATTTTACAATTGTAAGGCGCTGTGGAACATGTTGGTGCTATATAAATTATAACAATACCATCTTAACTCAATGTATGCATTATAAATACTAATTATGCACATTATGGTGACTGCTAATGATATAAATAATATATATTTTTTTTCAAGTTATGAAGACCTTTGCTGTCTATATTTCACATGGAGCTTTGCTATCCTTGTTTAGTATCAGAAATATTTTCCAGTTGGTAATTCCAAATGAGTACACAAGAGGGAGCTGCAACACCACACAATCAGAGCTACTCACCGAGGTCCTCAATCTTCACTTCAGGTCCTATCGTGAACTGAGGCAGTGTGGGGGAGTGTTTCTCTCCTGAATGTGCAGCTGCAATCAGAGAGAGAGGAAATCAGATTTAAAAAGCGCACGTTTAATATTGCCTCTTAAAGGACAAGCCAGACACATCTTATGATCTTAAGTTACACACTTACAATGTTTTACTTACTGTAGAATGTTGATGCAAAAAATTATTTGGCAAAGCCTTTTTAAAAAAATAAAAATTTTAAACTCACCCTGTGATAATGCATCTAAAAATGGGTGTGAACTGAAACCTAGGGTATACCGTTTAAATTTTGCGATCCTGATAGGGCAAATCTAGTCTTCACAATAAGGCAGTTATTAAAGGGACACTATAGTCACCAGAACAACTACAGCTTAATGTAGTTGGTTCTGGTGAGTATAAGCATTGCCTTCAGGCTTTTTCATGTAAACACTGCCTTTTCAGAGAACAGCAGTGTCTACTAAGGGATCGACCGATATCAATTTTTTAAATTTTTTTTAGAGTAGATACCGATAATCTGTGAACTTTCAGGCTGATAGCCGGTAACTTGCCGATATTCTGTACATTTACCATTTTGAAAAAAATACAACTATTTATAAAGTTAAATGCACAAAATATACATGCCACATGTAGTGGATGCAGTGTGTTTAGACAGGGGAGCTGTGTGTGTTTGTGTAGTGGATGCACTGTGTATATAATGAGTACAGGGTTTGTTTGTGTAGTGTATTTAGTGTGTGTATATAGTGAATGCAGAGAGTGTGTAGTGTGCATCTCTTTGAGGAGGTGCTGTTTGGCCCTACCCAATTGCAGATTTTAGCCAATCCAATGCTTTCCGATTGGCTAAAAATCAGCAATTCTGATTATGTCACCAAGAGGGTAGGGCCAACACCGGCAGACCTGTGGAGAGCTGAAAATAAGATGAGTTTTAACCCATTCTAGGGGACCTGGGGGGGAGAGGGGGGGGGCAAGCCACCTAAATTGTGGGTTTAACACTATAGGGTTAGGAAAAACATTTTTGTGTTCCTGACCCTATAATGTTCCTTTTAATAAAATGCAGAATCTGGGCCAAATTAACTTCTTTGGAAAAAATTTCCAATTCTGCTATAACCAGCATGGCTATTTTTTGGCGATTTGGTTCTCACTTCACTAAAAATTTATACAGATCACAATAATTAATGCCATCAAATAAGTCTCAATTTAGTTTACAATGAAAATATATTTTATTTAAGTAAATATAATATCAATCTAAACTACCAAACACTATTTCCATGTGCAAGCATATAAAGAAAAGAAAAAAAAAAAAAAAGTACAAACACAAACGTGGTATTTTTACCATGCACCCAGAATACAAACACAATGATCACAAAGTGTGTAACATTTAGGTTTCTGTATGGTAACGTAACAGGGGCAGCCACTAACAAACAGACAATATAAAAAGTCAAGAGACAACAGTCACATGCAGATACTATGTAATAGAGAACATCTGTCTACTCACTGGTTGCACAGCACACGAACACTTTCATCTTAAGACAGGAACGTCTGTGGTTATGAGTTGGCGTTGCTAAAATGGGGAAATAAATAAAATTACTGCTAAAACAAATATCAAACAACCTATAGCTCACAATTCGGTCTCCTGGCCAGACACCCCTGGGTTGCTCTCCGATGGCCCTTTTATGGAAACACCAGAGTAAAGTCCCCAGTCTGAGAACATCAGACACTTTTTTTCCATGCCCAATATCACTGCTTGTGCATTGTGAAACGACTTAACTACCCGGTACTTCGGTACTTACAGATGTAGTAGTATTCATGTCCTGCATGGAACTCATATCCCAGGGAGAAGGCGCTGTAGCGTTGAAACTTCTCCGAAAATTTGATAGGGTTGTGTGGGGCATGCGGCCGGTTACATTCCCAGCGTTTAAATCCCTGGCTGATGTTACAGGTGCGGTACCCCTCATAGTTCACCATATACAGGATGTACTGCTCCATCTTGTGTTCCGCCATGGTTTCGTTGTAATGCGGACAGTAGATGTCCAAGTAATCATTCACGTTAACCTGCACTGTATAACCGTCTCGACGCAAACTGTAAAAGAGACAATTCAAAGTTAGTGAAGATATCCTTCACAGAACAGGTTCTGATGGAACATTCTCCATTCACTAGGCTCAGATGCCACTCGCCCCCTCTTCTCAGGCCTGTGATGGCAGAGTACCTATCCCAGGTCTGGTCTGCTACATCAATCTACTTTTTATTGTTGCTATTTTTTTAAAAAAATTTTTACAAGCATTCAAAATAAAATAACACCGGATACTCCCAGAAATGAATTACCTTCATCTAATGCTTTTATTGAAGTTTAAAGAGAAGAACAATCATTTGTGGAATATCTAATGTTTTGAATTGTTATAAACTATTCTGACTGGTGCCAATTGTTCTTTATAAGCCTCTATAAAAACCTGGAAAACGATCATTCAAACTGGCTTTTCCTACAAATTATGTTTTCAAATAGTTGTCAGGTTTGTGGGTAAGGACCGCGTGCTTAGCGTGACTGGAGGAGCACCAGCTACAGAAGGCCGAAACGATCATTTGGGTTGCAGTAAGAGAACTTGTTGGCATTCGGATCTGGACTGCCCTTATGGGTGGGATAATTCTGATATTTAAATGGTATAGGTTCTCTTTGTAATGGCAAATGATAATTGTTTTTGAGACCAGAGCCGGGAATGACTGAAGAACAAGCGACTGAGTTTCTCTAAGCTTTTACCCAGTCTCAGAGTTCTCATATTCTCTGTTTTTGGGAGAAAGGTAACCCTCTAGTTTTGCCTAGGCATACTACATTTGTCACTAAAACAATTTGTTAAAATGTAACCTCTAATATTCAATTTTTGACTTTCTTCTTTTTATTATAACAATACAGCATCATTGTTGCATCTATCCCCATCTTAGCCACAAGATTCTACATTGTTGGTTGCTGTATAAAGCGTTGTGTAATCTGCACGAACTTCAATGTTGTGTAATCTGCACGAATTTAAGATCTAATTTCGTGGTGATTGCACCGCTGTGTCATAATTCACTCAACGTTACTCTTTATACAGATTCCCCATCCGTCTTTAAGGAAGTCACTAGTTTTCATTAAGCCCATATCACACAGTCCTGAATAATTAATACCAAGTATCTGTACAGGGCTGCACTGAATCCCACAGCACTCCAGTGGTTCAGTTACCTTTGCCTGATTAGTGTTCAATAGCCACAAACTAAAAGTCTGATTGGCTCCAGCCACTCACATGAAAAAGTGAATACACTGCATGCAAGATTGAGCTGTAATTTGGGTTTTCTTGTGATCTCTGCTCTGAAAGGGCTAAGAATTAATTAGGATATATATCGAGCTAGCCAAATGCATTTAGTGATGTTCATAGTCTCTTTGTAACACATGCCCTTTCTCTGCCACCACCGCCATTACACTTACCAGAAAAGAGCATGTGCAGTTAGGATGGCCTTAGATCCCCCTACAGTGCACACGTTCAGATGGATACAGACATATAAACATACTAGGTAACTCCAGAAAAAATGATTGTGTAAAGCTTGACAAATGCCCCATTGCAGAGGTCAATGAAATAGACTCCAAACAGTTCTGAATTTGGCATAGTATCCGGTCCCTACATATTGGTTGTTTCATATGAGGCCCTGTTTTTGATACATTACAGCATGAGCACAGTCTTGAACCTGTCCTGATAATGTACAGTCAGACTTCCTACATTAGATATACACCCAGTTCTGTCTGAACCTGTCCTTGTGATGTGCATTCAAGATTCCCTACATTAGATATAAACTCCGTTTTGTCTGAGCTTGTTCTGATAATGTACAGTTAGATCCCATACATTAGATATAAACCCAGCGCTGTCTGAGCCTGTCCTGATAATGTTCATTAGAATCTGTCAATGAGAACCACCGATTTGTTCTAACAGTTTTTGTACAATTTATTGCCTAGTCTGTGTCCCAATCTGGGCAGGTTGACTGTCTGATATACAAAGAGGAGCCTGTCCTTGTGAAGGACACAAACATACGTGATGGCATATGGCAGACAGGAGGTTTATGTCAGTAATATGCTCTATCTTGCAAGGCCAGGACCCTAGCTTTCCACCATAGGGACAGATGCAGAGTAACAGTTGCCAAAGGTCAAGCCAACAGTGGCAGAGGTCAGTGCCTCTCCCAGCAGGAAAACAATCACAGCAGCCTGTAAAGATCACAGCATTCTCCGTGATGGCCACAATGTGTCCCTGCACGTTATCTCCTGAATCAAACCTTTTTATTATCAGTCCTACCGAGCATTTCAGGGATTAGTGTGATAATCAGAACAGGCATCAAATTGGAAAAACAGGCAAGGGCGATCACATACTCAATGAGAACGTTAACAAAGCGCTACCTGATCATTAAACAAGTGCTTGTCACACAATCTATTCTGGCTGGGAATATGGAACTGGTGGAGAAACGCGGCTCAGGTCTTTGTTTTGCAGTTGCAGGAGTGTGTTAGCAAATCTGTGTTATAATTTATATAGCGTTGACATATTCTGTAGCGCTTTACAATTAAAGAATGGGAATATTTGACAACTAGTATTTCACATACAGAATATTTAGACAAGAGGTGAAGAAGGCCCTGCTCAAACAAGCTCACACTATCGGATAAAAACATTCCGCAGAAATGGCAGACATCATGTAACACATAAAAGTGGCATAGAAACAGCCAATGGCACATACCGTGCAGTGTAAGAGAGAAAACAATCTATGATGGATACACCGCAAGGCAGGAGAGACAGTGCCTAGTGCGTGAAGAGCAGACCTGGGGAAAGTGCCTTGTAGGTCCAGAGCAGGGTAGGAGAGAATCAGTGCCTGGCGAGCAGAGAGTGTATAGCGAGTATAAAAGCAGGAGAAAGTGTCTGGTTGGTACGTGAGTCTGTCTGGCTATTCCAGGGAAAGGCATGGAGTCTGGTAGGTACAATGCAGGGTAGGAAAAAGACAGTGTCTGGTGGGTATGGGGCAGCGCATAAATGAGCAAATGTATATATTCAAGTAAATATACATGTAACTGCATGAAGGTAGTGTACAGTGCATGTTTTCTGGCTATTAAAAAGTATGAATGTGACAATGCTTGGATGAATGAATGTACTATATCGATTAATGTAGTGCGAACACTTGGGGGGGGGGAGATCCTCAAACAAATAAAAAATACCAATAGTGCAGATGGTAACAGGAGAGCAAACCAAATGTAGGTATAAGGATAAACTCACATGGATGAAGCCACAGAATTCGGCTCGTGATATAACAGCTCTGTGTTAATAGGGATAACACTCCCTTGCTTTATAAGACTGGAGCAGTAGGCAAAGGGCTATTTAAAGCGTATTTTATTCTAAAATATATATATTACTTATGGCAAGTAAGCCTATAAAGGGAAAAAACTATTGAAACAAATATGAAAAGGCTTTAAGTGTACACAACGCATTTCACCGCAGCTTCCTCATCGATTGATACAGATGATGAACCTAATATAGTTGACCCAATGAGTCATGTGCATGTTTCAGGTGCCAACTCAGTCCGCTTCGAAATTCTGCCCTAGGTACAGAGCAGAGTAAGAGATCCAGTGAACGCGAGGATTATTGCTAAACTTGCATGTAGGGAGCCTCGTGGCTGGCAAAGTGTTACAAAAACCAGCTGTCAGCGGCACTCAGCTTCAGGCTGGTGGAGTTTTTTTTAGTGAGAGGGCCCAATTTATGGTAATTAAGCTATAACTTTATGCACCTACTTCTGCCTTGTACAAATCACTTACAATGACAGGCTGAGCACACGGCGGTGGACAGGTGATGCTCTTTGGTGTGTCACAGCCAAGAGATCAGGGCCTTCTCTCCCTTGGCAGCTGCTGCACACAGAGCTCTGACTTTCCTTTGCCTATCAGGGAAACCGAATGTCATAATTCAACTTTTAGAGGATCAGAAGAACTGGATTACAGATCATTTCCATCTCGAGGGATTCCTCTATCTTTAGCCAGCTGCAGAAACCTCTTTTACTCCTACTAGCAAATTATGACGAATTATATTAAAGTCTCAGGAAAGAAAAAGAAACAAAAACCCACTTAGTATTGTACATAAAGCTAGATATACAGCAGATATAACCCATCCAGGAGTCACTGGAAGACTTGCCTATCTCGACAAGTGGCAGAGCAAGTCTACTTAACTGCTATTTTGAGGTTTGCTGTGACTTTGATACTTACCACGAGAGCAATGTCTGCATATCGAATGTACATAGATGGCAAATAAATGCGGTTTCTGAAGACCGTGGCTTGATACAGAATATGTAAACATTCAGCGAAGGCAATATATGAAGCAAATCCCAGCTTCTGCCCCCTTAATAAAAGCCTAGAGGGGGCCACAAGCAGCTCACACCTCATTATACAGAGAACAGAAGGTCTGAGCAGGGCCCAGCACAGCCAAGAATCATAATGACGACAGCATTAGTGACAAGGGACATGGCGCACGGAGCAAGCCTAGAGCCACCGCCATGACATATCTAGAGCAGCTTCGGAGAACACGGTACCACGTCGCTGACATTGCCTCCGGGGAGCAGCAATGGGCTGGGTGTCAGGGGGCATGGGCTCTCTGATGTAACATAGTCTGAAATGCCTGGGGCCTTCTGCAGTGCATAAACTTTGTCAGCAGCCGCCCAGAACATCACTGTGATTTCATCACTAATATAATTAAGTCAAGTTAATGAGAGACAGAGGGGGTTTGAACAGTAACAATCTAATCAGTGGCTGGCATGTTCAATGCGACATCCAAAGCGAAGGAGAAAGGCTTAATTAAAACCAGGGTGAGGCCGGTGCACACAGCCAGCAAGGTCTTTTAGAGAAACAAGGCTTGTGTTCAACCACACAGACTGGCAAAATGACAACAGCAGCTCATGGCCACCAGGTCCACGAAGCAAGAAAGGGTTACAGGCCCGTGGCAGTACGTGCGGCTGTGTTACACGGTCTGAGAGGTTCTGTCTTTCTTCCCAGAGACCAAATCCACTGAGATTGCTCCAGCGAGCCGTCACACCAGCCTCCAGCTCCTCCTGCCCGTACAGTCTTTTCAATGGGACTAATTTAAGCCGGCAGGCACACAGCTGTACACGGCAGGGAAAATGGAAGCAGTTAGGAACGAGGCAGGGGGAAAAGCATAATGACAGAACAGGGGCAGAGTTTTGGCAGGGAAATAGCTCAACAAAGCAGAGACAGAGAGGGATTTGGGGGGGGGGGGGAGCTTGAGAATACATTAAGGACATGAAGAGAGATAAGGGGACATTAAATAAGAAAAAAATCATTTCACCTGAAAGCAAGTATAATGGGGTGTAAATCAAGCAGATGTTCATAGAGACAGGTACAACCAGGTAAAATGGAAGCAGGTGTATACACAGACATCACACAGATGTGGTATACCTGGCGATAGGACCAGCACGGGTATACACAGACAGGTATAACTGGACACAAAACCAACATGTGCAAATGCAAATCACATTGTGAGGATTGGCCAACATCAGGCCCGGTTGCACCCTGGGATCTAGGAGAGTGCGGTATCTATAGTGGTAATTTTATTGCCAACTGTGCATAAGGTCAGCATGTGTATATGAATAGATGAGTATACAGCCAGCACATGTATACACAGACAGGTATAACTGGGATATAAGGCCAGCACGTGTATACACAGACAGGTATATCTGGATACTAAACCAGAACGTTTATTCACAGATGGATATAATTGGGTACATGGCAAGCACATGTATATATACACAAGAACAACTGGATGAAACTCCAGCACATGTATACACAGACAGGTATAACTGGGATATAAGGCCAGCATGTGTATACACAGACAGGTATAACTGGGATATAACGCCAGCACGTGTATACACAGACAGGTATAACTGGGATATAACGCCAGCATGTGTATACACAGACAGGTATAAATCGGGATATAACGCCAGCACATATATACACAGACATAATCAGGATATAAGGCCAGCAGATGTATACACTGACAGGTATATCTGGATACTAAACCAGAACGTTTATTCACAGATGTATATAATTGGGTATATGGCAAGCACATGTATATATACACAAAAACAACTGGATGAAACTCCAGCACATGTATACATGGACAGGTATAATTAGAACGCCAACAAATGCATAAACAGGTGTAACCACTAACCAGGGATGAAGTCAGTATGTATATACTGAATAACTTTGTGTAAGGCAGCAGGTGTATTTGCAGACTAGTGTAACTGAGTGAATACAAAGAGAGTGATTTCTGGATAGAAGGTATACACAAAGAGATATGCCCCGCTATAACACAAGCAGGTGTACACTCAGGTGTAATCAGGTATTACTCCAACAGGTGTAACAGGATTCCAGCAGGCATTTATACACAGACAGGTAATGCGGCATAAACCAAGTATAAAAGCTGGCATGTTAATAAAGACTGGGGCACCTGGGTATAGAGCTCGTAAAGAAGTGCCCAAATGGAAGCTATGAATAAGATAGTAACAGGACAAGGAGCGTTCGTGCACGTGAAGGACATGTTTAACACATTTGGTATTAGTGTGAGATTCGAAACACCGGGAGGGTATGTGATACTGCTTTATTAAATAGCTTGTGTGTGCGAGGTAGTAGAAACCTGGCTCCTAATGAGAGATACCGAAAATGATCCACACATGGATCCCGATGCTCTCCTCCGCTCTGCACATTAATAATTGAGCGTGTATTAGGCGGACAATGCGTCAGGAAGGCAGCTGTGAGTCTGAGTGACCAGCAAGGGAATAGTTTAGGACAGGAACATCAGCTGAAGTGGTCTGAGCGCTGCTGACCTTTGACATCTGACACACAGCGGCGCCCACCACTCAGGCCACGGTGTAAGATTGCTGGAGAATTGAGGGCAGTGCAGGAAGATGGAAGATAAAATACACAAAATGGGGCAATTATCCGTGACACTTTGCTCTTACATGGAATGCTCTGAGTTTTACAAGATATTGTTTTATTGGGGGTTCAGTGGGCAGCAAAAATTGGAAATAAAAAGGCGAATAAGAGTGGGAGGAAATGGATAATGTGAGGGAAGTAAGGAGAAATTGCAAGATGGTACCCTGGATAAAAGAGACAGGAACGTAAGGAAGATGGTGATATGGGACATTGAGCACTGGACAGGGGAGAGGGGAGTGTAAGAAGGAAGGAGAACTGGCGGCACTTGGCAGAAAAGAAATGTATGAGCGGGAGGGAGCACTGGGCAAGTTAGGAAAGGAATGAAGTAGTAACGGGGGCAATTAGCAGATAAGAGAGGGTGTAGGGAGAAAGGACAAATGGAAGAAGGAAGACTGTGAGCTGAAATGGAAGAAGGAAAATTAAATGAGAGAGAAAATAATGGAGGGGGGGGGGGAGGAATGGACACTTATAATGGAGCAGTAATATATTTATAAATGAATAAAGGTTTGCCGTTTTGTAGTAGACAGCCAAGGCTAAACCCCTCACTCCCAGGACCACCTGCTGTGCTAGACTGACGGCCCAGGCTGCCTTCAGATCGATCACCTTTCTCTCGTTCCCTGGTGGTGTAGCAGATGGAGCGTCAAGAGCAAGATCGGTTTGTACTTTCTATGCTGCACGCACCTGTCGCTCTGCTCTTACACAGCTCCGTGCGAACGCTAGAACGCAGAATACATGCAAATGGTGCCCTGTATTATGCCACTTACACCATGCTTGGAGGTGAGAAGCCCAAAAAATGCACACTGCTCTTACTACTGTTCTTAAAATGGCACACACACAAAAACAAAACAAAAAAAACAAGAACAATTCACTTGTAACTTGTCAAGCAAAGGGCAATTTTGCACCCTTAATCATGGTTTTCATTGAGAACATCTAACAAACAAAGACATCCAAGTTTAGCAAATCCAAGGCCCTCTAGCTGTTGTGATACTACTAACTTGCAAGGCCCAGGGACCACCCTTTATACAAAGCTAGATTTCTGTCTACTCCAATGGACATCTATCCGAGAACGTAACAACCAGCCAGCTCCCAGGGTAACACGCCAGAAATACATAGCAAGTACAGGACCTTGTCAGGGAGGGGAATACATTTTACACATAAGCTACTGTCCAACTGTCAGCTGCCATTGATCTGCTAATCACGAAATTACAGAAGAAACTTTGCATTAACAAATTCAATGGACTACTGCAGAAACCCAAAATGTTGCCATTAGACTGCAAGCTCTTCAGATATGGTGCACATTCTTCCTATATCCCAACTACAGGATTAAAATGTATATAAAATTAAGCAGTGACTACTAGAAAATGGATTTAGAAAAAGAGACAGGAGTTAGGTAATAAATCAAAATCTTAAAATACGGCATTTCATTAATTTGTTTTGAAGACGGAAACTGTTTCAGAGACCTCATAGGTTGGGATGTACCGCTCTGCAGTTGTTAATTTTTTGCAGTACAGGTACTGTAAGCATAGCAGTATAATATTTCTACATATTTATTACACACAGATTTAAGAGCATTCCTTTAATGTCCCTGTCTTAAAAGTCTCAGTAAGTGAACTGGTTATGTAAACTTGCCATCTCTCTTCAGCTATTTTCATATTCAGCATTTTCCCGGTGTCTCCTTTGAGGTTATAAATTGGTCTGGAATATTTTATCCCATAAAATTATACAAATTGCCGTATGAGCCCATTTGTATTCAATCACAGTGGCTGGAGGGAGTGTGGCTATAAGGCAGTTTATACATCACTGTGTATACTGCAGAATACATATTGTGATCACTTCATAATATCAGCTATAATGGGTTTCTGGATATACCCTGGGCGCTTGCTGAGAATTTCTTGAGTAACAAGAATCAAGGGAAAATAGAGGGGCGGCCTGTAAAATGGGGTGTGTTTCCCCCCAGGAGCCCCACTTCTTATTTCCAGCTCTGTTGTTGGCGCTGCAATAGAAAGAATACATTTTGACAGGCTTCGGCCTTCTCATACCTCCCCTTAACAACTGATGGGCTTGTAGAGATGGCAATCCATCTAAATGATGAGTGTGTGGCTTAAGCGCCAATTTCCATGCTAATATTACCCAGCGATGCCCACTAACATGCATGGCAGATGATACCTGCTGACTAGCAATTTAAAGAGCTGCCTCTCCAAGGCGTCTTTAGCTGTGAAATTGAATATTCTCAGTACACATCAATGGTCAAAACCCTCTCCCACACATATCACGTTCTGCCCCCTGCTGTGCCAACAGCGGCATGCTGCCATTTAACATCATGCCGCACAACAGGCATTCCTCATACACAGACTACATCGTACCTTCCTCTGTGCCACCACTGCAAGAGCACATGGCAATGAGGTTTCTGCCATGCAGACTGTCCTATCTGTATCTCTGATACACACATAGGTTCACAAAGACAGCACAATGCCACTTAACAGGACATGCCAATCCAGGTTTTTGCCACAAACTGTGCTATCTGTAGCTTTCTACACCCACATAGGCATTGTCCTATTCAACAGGTCGTGATAATATATGTTACTCACACACAGATCACACTCTGCCTTCATCTGGGCCCTCAAAAACCATAGTCAACACATGGTACCCCAGGTTTCTCAGAAACAACACGCTCACCTCCCTGCAGTACCCATGCCTCACACCTGCCACCTATCAGCACGTGTTTTTTCAGGGTAGTCACATGCAGAAGACATTATGTGCCTCCCCCTTCCCCCATGGAAGCTACCATTCTGCCTACTAAGAATACATATAGTAACCCAGGTTTCCATTGCAAACCCAGACAGCGGCAGAAGAAAGAAATCTGGAGGTGTGAGATGTAAAACGAGAGAAAATCAGACAATCCTGAGGAGGTAAGGGGCTATCACCCCTAAAGAGTTGTACTGGGATTAGAATGAAGAAATACCTTAGTGACATATTCTCCTCTGTGCTCCAAACCAGAGATCCAAATCAATGAACAGTTTACCATGAACTGACCCTTTAAGATTTGCTGTAACTTTAAACTAATTTACATCCAAGCAAAGCATTGGGATTTCTGTGATCCAATCCCTAGGAGACTAATGTGCCCTCTGAGCAGAGATTAATGTTACCACACACAATACCCTCGTGCAGGGTGGCAGGGTCGGTCCCCAAGGACCAGACTAATAAATAACTCACAAAATGGAGCCCGTTCAGCAATTTTTAAAGGTTACAATTTCCATAATTACATAGCACCTGGGTGTAAAGAAAATATCCTGTCATGTTTCAGGGAGAACACAATGTATCCTTCAGCTTGCCTCATATTGCAGAATTAACCACAACCAAAACATATAAAACCTCTGCTGAAGGGCTGTTCCATGCCTCTACTACCTTTTACTTAAGAAAATCATTGGTAAGGTCCCAAAACGCAAGAGGTTTTACTCAATAAAATCAGGATTTCTGTTGGAAATTGCAAATTATAGGGCAAAATAAATGGACTAAATAAATAGAGTTGGAGAATTTTCAAATGCAGCTGTTTAGGAACAGCATTTGTAATTCCATTTTGAATCCCTCATATTTTCTGGTTTAGTAAAGAACCCCCATGGACAGTAAACTAGACACAATCATTGACTCTGGTCCATCTGTGCCGCAGCCCCCCAGGACTGACCTCCACTACAATCCCCTGGTCCAGACAGCAGCGCTCAGCTCTAATAAATTCTGTTTCCGAACAGCTTGTGGTCCATACACCACAATGGTTTATAAACAGCTGTTTAATTCTCTATCCCACGACCGCCCAAAATGAAGAAAAATAAGCTCTAGAGCCCAGAAATTCAGGAAAGAGGGGAAGATGCATTTCATTAATCTTTCAGATTTCTGGATGCAATGTTTCCCATCATGCACTGCACCTCTTTTATAAGGGAAAGTCATAGACGCAGGCGCACATTGAGTTAATCACCTACCAACTGACTAAAAGCAGCCAATCTGGGCCTGAGTGACAAAATGTAGACCTAGCACAGCGTAGGGAAAGGGGATTGCAATTCTCCGGCCTACACAAATTGTGCGTCTGAACTTGGATCCAACAAAGACAAAGTGGGTTAAACACCCATTCGTATTATCTGACAAGGCAAACACAACATGAAATAAAACATTTGGTGAAGAAGACGATTTCTTTTGCCGAAAAAAAGCTATCAGAAGACTGATATTTCTCTTGGCACTGAACGCTGGATAATACCCCAGGATCCAGCAACACCGCAGGCGGCTTCCATCTTTAATACAAACTCATTATCCTGTTGGCAACTATTTGTCTCCTAAAGTAGTGCCAGCAACACAAGCCTGGCAGTCAGCGTGACAAGTGCCTCCTCGTCAGGTGTCCAGGGCAGACGCGGCAAATCCTACAGGGAGAGGAAGGAACGGGGCTCAATAGTGGATAAATAGAGGGGGCCATTGAGATTCCCTGATTATCATTCCCGACTGCCACCAACCGATAGGTGTGCCTGGAGCAAGAGCTAATCTCACAGTGTTAACCTCTGGCGTAGAAACACACGCAGTTGTCCTACATAGAACTGGAAAATAAAACAAGCATTTAAGATTTTAAGTGTGACAGGTTTGCAGCATTATTACGCAGCTCGCGTGTTCCGGCCTATAGATCAGAGCTGACATTTTGCTCATGGGACTGACAGACACTAGGGAGGTGCGCTTAAATAAAAATATTAACTATTGCTAACTCAACATATATCATATCTCCATAAAGAGCCATGGATACGGTTCATAAACATGCAGATATGGGTAATATTGTCATTGAGAGGGTGGAGTAAACTCCAAGACTTTTAAAGTGAATTTTGTGTTTTTAATTATGCTGTGATAGCTGTGCCCACATTTTACTTCATTCTCCTGATGGCTGCTTGCATCTTATTTAATGTTAATTATTTTATATTAATTAATATATATATATATATATATATATATATATATATATATATATATATATATATATATATATACACACACACACACACACACACATTTTATATAATAATATACATACTGCTAGCTGTATGTATAATATTATATAAAATGTGTGCGTGTGTATATATCAGGCATCAGGAGAATATATATCAGCCATCAGGAGAATGAAGTAAAATGTGGGCACAGCTATCACAGCATAATTAAAAACACAAAATTCACTTTATAAGCCTTGGAGTTTACTCCACCCTCTCAATGACAATATTACCCATATCTGCATGTTTATAAACCGTATCCATGGCTCTTTATGGAGATATGATATATGTTGAGTTAGCAATAGTTAATATTTTTATTTAAGCGCACCTCCAGCGTCGCTCAATTCACCATAGGAAAGCATTGAAAAGCATTTTCAATGCTTTCCTATGGGGAGCTCTAATGCGCATGCGTGGCAATAGGTGTCCCCGGCCGGTGGGCAGGATCAGTCTAGCGCACCGGCCCAACTTAATGCAGAGGAGGAGCGGCGGCGGAAGCAGCGACGTGGGACATGTCGCTGCCTCTGGTAAGTGACTGAAGGGCTTTTCACCCCTTCAGCAACCGGGGATTGGGAGGTGGGAGGGAGAGGGGACCTGCAGTGCCAGGAAAATGGATTGTTTTCCTGGCCCTGGAGTTTCCCTTTAATTACTATTATCACTATATTTATCAACCTATGAGTATTTATATAGCGCCAGCACATTTCTTCGTTTTTAATATCATGTTGTAATATTAAGATTTCTCTAATCAATGTTTCATTTATATTTTACTATTTTGAATATGATTAATTACAATAATGCCACATAACGTGTCCAACCGCCATTTATAATGGACTTACTGATATGGCGGTTTGAAGACTTCCGTCTCCCACGTCATTACGCTGATACCATCATGACATCACGACACAAGGATGGAAAACGTAAGCGTCAGACGCGCAATGATGATGTAAGCAAGAATGGGAACTTGAATCCACCAAGAGAGGGTGCCAAAACTCCATTTGTAAACAGAATCACGGAGGAGAACAGGACTACCACTTTTCAGAAAGGCTACTTGCCAAAACGCGTCAAGTGGCAAGCAACCAATGGACGTTTTATACTTTCACATTTTTATGTTGAACCAATAAATATTAGCCTATGATCTCCATTTGTATTCATATTTTAGGATTGTATCCATCTATATTTGTGGTAACCTTTTACATTTATTGAGTGCGCTCACTATTGTATTTCTTCACCTTCTGCAGCGCTGTACAATTACACAATGGGGATATTTGACAAAGACAAAATAATATTGACAGAGACAAGAAGTGAAGAGGCACTGCTCACATGAAGATCCATATAGCTCTCTGCTTGTGACAAAATGTGCTGTTATTTTTACAGGGACAACAGGTCTGAATGACAAAGCATGCTGGTCAGATAGGTGAAAGCAATTCTTCTTATTTCAATAAATCCACATATTCAGAAGATAATAAAACAGAAATCATACATCCCCAAACCCTTTATTTGCCAGGATTGTGGCTCAGGGTGCAGAATACATAGGGTTAGGAGTGGCGCCCTCTAGTGTATGCCATGTTACCCTGCTTTCATTTGGTGCAGGAGCCACGCCAGCCACTGAAATTCAGATCAAAGTAAACTTTTTAAACTGCAGCCATTTACAAAGGTAAAGATGATAAAGGCTGAATACAGGAAAAGAAAAATGGAATAGGGAGCCATTTCCAATCCTTAAATGGAGAGTATACATCTAAAACCAGAAATTCATGTGAAATATGAAGGGGGGGAACACCATGCCAGACAAAATACAGATCAGGAGTTAAATGATGAGATGCCAAATATGTTGGGACTTCAAAAGTGTCACACACACTTTTGTACGAGTGTTTTATAAATGTTTATTTTTTTTGTTTTTTTAAATATAAACAAAATATACGTTTATCCGTTGTACAAGGTAAGTTGATGTCCTCACAATCCCCACTAGAGTGGTAAGTAATACTCCATGAGCTTGGGTTAAACTAGATACTGGAGAAGAGACGGCTGCCACATGGAAGCAGAGTGACCATCATCACAGGTGCCCTTTCCCACCTCATCCTTATAAGAAAGGAAGTCCCTTCAAGGGTCCGTATTCTGGGCTGAAGATAAGTCACGATGGACTGAGGCATTTAATGCTGAAACGTGGTTTAGACAAATATCAAGTACTATTCTATAGATCACAATCCCAGGAATCAGGATTTCTCACCAAAGTGAGTGACCGTGCCTGGCCCTGCCTCTATGGCTGTTGATATCATTCTTGATGATCTCAACCAATCCAATTATTTCCTATAGGAAAGTACTGCACCAAGTAGCATCTCCTCACAGAGATGTATTGAATCAATGTACCTATGAGGAATGTGCAGCACCTCCATACAGAGCACACTGTGCAGCACTGATATAGGAAGCACTTTCGTGGCCTTCTGAGTGATTGCCACTAGAGGTGTGACTAGGCAGCAATGTAAACACTAAATTTTCTCAAAAAAATAAATAAAAAGCAGTGTTTACAGTGCTAAGACTGCATCGACAGGCTATAGACACCAGAACCACTACATTAAGCTGTAGCAGTCCTTAGTACTATAGTGTCCCTTTAGTTTTAAATTAAAGGCTAAAGTAGACAAACTGTTACCAAAGCTGACTGGATAGTTTTTCCAGTTTGGTCTTAAATTTGAAATTCCCTTTGAATTCCCAACAATTCTCACTGTACTGAAAAACCCGGAGTGCACAGCATAGACAGCACTTGGCAATATGACCCTTTCTACAGAAAATGCAGTAAGAGCCCAAGTCATATTAATTCATTGGATAGTGGGGTTAAGGGGATGCACACTGGATCACAGGTACTGGCGATACGTGGGAGTGAGAACACAAATTATACATCATTTCACATATTTTTTCGTAGCTCAGTCTGCTGGCGTTGTGGTCAGAGGTGCTTTTATTTAAGCGAAACAACGCTGTGTAAAAACTGCATGTCTGCGAAATTCCTCTCCAGCCGTGCAGGAGGTCAGCGCAATCAGCGACAATATATTCAGTTATTCAGTTTCAGTGTCTGGAGCACACTGCAGCAGAATGGAGGAATTGTGTTACATGGCAGCAGCTCTGCAACCCAGCAAAGCATGTGACATTTTACCATCAACACGAACGTACTATTGTGCCCATAACGACTTCGTTAAATGATGTCACGGTTCCCAAAGATGGATTCCTCCCCATATAAACACAGACTGTTGGTGGAATTCTTTAAATTTATAACATGCATCGATCCCATTTATTAATCACCAATTAGCTGGTTTAGGAAACAAAGCATTATTTAGTGATGTATACAGCACCCAGTCTGCTGTGATCAAGGTCTCCTTACAGACCATCCTCAGACTGCGTGCCTTCCAAATGAAACCATCAGTACTTCGAGTACATGGGCCTGTCACAGGACCCTCCTAATTCACGCCCTGGTGCACATTATTGCCCCTTCTCCTCTGCAAAATTTCTGTACACATCCATCTCATTAGCATGACCAACAGCGGTCAGTTTTAACACTTGTCCAACTCCAGTACTGGCTACTGTTTACAGATCCCCAAATTCATAATTCATGTCAGAAAGCAAGCTGCCCTGTGCTGTATTATAATACAATCACCCCCACCCCTCCCCTTAATTTTACCCCTACCAAGAACAAGGTGCCCATTACCATACTGTATAAAAGCTACTAAATAATCCATAATGATATGCATAACACCCCCCCTCCCGCCCTAAATACAACATACTGATGGTTGTGGAATAGAATTTCTGTACATGAGACACACATTAAGATATATTGGAAAAAGAGAAAATAGCTTCCGCCGGCGTCCTGCCATATGGTCTAAAACATGTTACACATATGTATTTCTGTAAATGACACTAAACATCCCCCCTTGGCTTTAACCCTTTCACAGCTAATAGGGAATGAAGTGTTTCATGGCATGCCATGAGTTAAGCGCTATTTCCTCTATTTCGGAGGACAAAGATAAACAATCTTGTCTTGTTTCATGTCTGAAGTAAAGAGCGATCATCACAAGCCTGTATTCTTTTGGGGTTTATTTACTGAACAGCAGCTGCAAACTGACAACTAAAACTAGGCCAAACTATCAGCAATGGAAAAATAGCTGGAGTTTGGGTTTTATTCTTCCAATTTGGCCATGTTAATGTTTTTCCTTCAAACTTTGGAATACAATTAGCCTCTTGCCACAGTTCTCCACATTCCACAAATCTCCCTTTGCTACATGTACCTGGGACTCCATTCCGTACACCTGCTCGCTGCAGGCGATAACGGGTTAATGGAAACACAGCTTCCAAGTTAACATATAATCACAACAAGCAATCAGGATGGCCAGGTCTCTGAAGGCCACAGGTTCAGGTTAAAGATAGGACATCAGAGTGCACCACAGGGCTGGACCTGCCCTTTAAACAACAACAGACCCTCCCCTGGCACATTGCAGGAGCAGGTGTGCCCAACATAAAACTCTCTGGGGTCAGGATTACAATTCAGTAAACAAGCACAGGGCACAGCGAACAGGAGACAGTGGACGATCACAGGACCATAGAAGGCACAAGACCAGGGACAGTGGGCATTCACAGGGCCATAGAGGGCAGGAGACCAGGGACAGTGGACCTCCACAGGGCCATAGAGGGCAGGAGGCCAGGGACAGCGGGCCTTCACAGGGCCATAGAGGGCAGGAGGCCAGAGACATAGAGGGCAGGAGACCAGGGACATAGAGGGCAGGAGACCAGGGACATAGAGGGCACGAGACCAGGGACATAGAGGGCACGAGACCAGGGACATAGAGGGCACGAGACCAGGGACATAGAGGGCACGAGACCAGGGACATAGAGGGCACGAGACCAGGGACATAGAGGGCACGAGACCAGGGACAGCAGGCCTTCACAGGGCCATAGAGGACAGGAGGCCAGGGTGGGCCTTCACAGGGCCCATGGGAGCAGGAGACCAGGGTCAGTGGGCCTTCACAGGGCCATAGAGGGCAGGAGGCCAGGGACAGTGGACCTCCACAGGGCCATAGAGGGCAGGAGACCAGGGACAGTGGGCCTCCACAGGACCATAGAGGGCAGGAGACCAGGGACAGCGGGCCTTCACAGGGCCATAGAGGGCAGGAGACCGGGGACAGTGGGCCTTCACAGGGCCCATGGGAACAAGAGACCAGGGTCAGTGGGCCATCACAGGGCTATAGAGAGCAGAAGATCAACAGTGATTGGGAGAAATGGATAGTGAGTGGGAGTGTGTGTGGGGGGGGTGGTCACATAGTTAATGGGAGCAACAAGCAGTGGACTATTGTGGTTTTCTTTTTAACTACTCATTTCTCCTCCTTCACAGCATTTCACTTTATCAAGACTCATCCTATTACTCAATTAGATTTCATATTTATAAATCCCAGCCTTTTGCGCATACCATATACATAGAAAGCCATAACACAATCCCCTAAGTCTCTTCAGCCTTCATCCTTTCCTGAACACGAACAATTAGTCCCCGTTGGCATCCCACGCAGGGTGCTAACCTCTTCAGAAATCCACCAGATTGAGTTGTTTCCGTTCCACGCCATGATTCTCGTTTAGTGGAGAATTAGCAGTCACTAAGTCTCTTGGTTTTACACATACTAATGAGGCTCTCTGAGTAAGGAGCGTACAGAAAGAGGATTTCGCGCCCTGTTAAAATTAAATCCCTTTTATTTTCTTAATGCCGTAAAGGGCAGCCTTCCGGGAGTGCCTATCATTGATTAAGAGCTTCAATCCCCATATATCCACTCAGCAGACAATCGCCGGCCTCCTAATCGGAGTGAGACTGAATAGCAGGTTTGTGATGATCACTGGAGCCGGTGACCCTGCGGTCCTACTCAATTAATTATTAACCTGTATTTCGAGCTTCCTCGTACAGGCACTACGCTCCAGAATTAAAAGCCAGCTCAATGTTTTGCTAAATAAATGAGTGTATGTTTCACAGAGATACATCCTTAACTGTGTCTCAGGGAGAAGAGCTAGTCTTTCGGGAGGAGACGCGGGCAGGTCTCCAGAAATTGAGGGAAAGCTCACGTATCATTCCAGCTCTGTAAGACGATAGTGTGCGTTATCTTCTACTAGATAATTACCACAACTTCCCACAAAGGGAGTACTCCTGTCTGCCCCGACATCAAACTCAATAACAGTCTGTAAACATCTCAAGCCATTGTGTAAAACAAGCCTGCTTTGCGCCATTAACAACAGTCACTCGAACTAGCAATTCCAGCAAGCCACAGCCTGCCTTATCAGTTAAACATTTGGGGAAAGTGATGTTCGCTTACGAGCCCCGATAAATAATCTGAAGATTAGGGATGAATTATTTACTGCACAGACCTTGACCTTCAGATTTTGCCAAAAAATTACACTGTAATGCTACCCCGGCATTAACACAATAATAGTAATGGACAAGACATATTGGACTCCTGTGTTACGGCAGGGCTGTGGTAAGAGGACAGTCCAGATAACAAGGTGTATCTAATGAACATATTCTTCACCCAACACATGTACATTGCAGTTTGGGGCCTATTCTTTTAGTATTCATCATGGAATCCTGTTAAAAGACCCTTACGCTGGCATAAGATACCAACATTATGCTGAGGTATAAGGGAAGGGAGTCCTGGGTCCCTTCCTGACTTATCACTGGTACCAAACTCCGATCCTGCGGTGCTGTCACGGCTGCTTATGAATGTTCTCATTTGCCTGCTCTGTGGAGCGAGGAGGAGCTAGGCAGAATGATGTGAGCTGAGCGGGAAATAAATTAACTGACCCAAATTAACACTACGAATAATCAGAGGGTTACAAAGCGAATCGAACCCTGAGACAGGACTTTCACTGCTGGAAAATGCACGTTAAGGTAGAACTTACTCTGTTTAACAGTACAATACTGAATATTCCACCGAATTCATAAACTCCTTAGCTATGCCTGGCTACGTGCATTCCATTGCGGTGACAAAACAGTGCATTAACATTGGCATAAATCATGCTTTCAAGGTCCATTAACCGCTATATGGGTTAACAATCAAAATAAAAAATGAAGGTAGATATATTCATGCATAATGTTGGGCAGAATTATGGCAAATATCCTACTATATTACTACAAAATGGAACCAAAATAGTTTTGCGACAGGTGTAAAACTCACGAGTGTCAGGAGGTGGGCACTGATAGGGACTTGGATGGCAAGATGGCTGAACCGTGCCTAAGCCATCTGCCCAAGATCAGATATAGAAAGGTGTCAGCTCCGACCCAAGCACTGGCAAATACAAAGTTTGCAAAATTGTGATTCTTGGGCAAAGTTTGAGCAGGTCGCTTTGAGCATGTTTCCTGTCAGTTACAGCTCGATCCGCCTGAGCAATATTTCCGATTGGATGACCAAATAAAAACCACAAGGAATGAGCACTTTTTGGAAATTCAAATGTGTCTGTAGGCGCGTTCTGCCAAACATGTCACTCTTGTCAGATTGACAACAGGAAGGACGAGCTAGCAGGGCATGACTCCAGCCTGCACCCAAACATATAAAGCAGTTCCTGCAAACGCAATCAGTGCTCTCTGAATACTTTAAGAAAACCTCAAACTGTAACCAAGTGCCTTCCCCTTACTTCTCGATTCTGTATGGCAATAATAATACAATGGTTGGCACACTGATGAGTGCACCCAGACCTTTCCCCCACTTCTCATGTAGCTTCATGAAATGTCAGAACTTTAAGAGGGCATATTATCCCCTGCTCCAGCATTACCTACCTGGAAACCAGGGACTAGAACTACAGAGTTTAAATTCAAGAGGCTCGGCACAACCCCACATCCAGGAGCATCTGTATTTACCTAAAACAAAAGGAGCTATAAAAAAAACAAAAAACCCTCGACTGGCTAAACTACTCTAACCTATTCCTAAAATACGGGTGTCTACAACTTGCCCATTCAAAGGTCCATCTCCTATTTAGTGCATTGTAGGGAACACAGACACATTCCCCCACAATAATCAAAATGGTCTTTAGAAACAGTGTAACAGATGATACATTATGCTGACACTGGCAGTATGGGGAGGTCACTGGCTGGCCAGTGGTCCTGGCACAGCAGTGTCACCAATAAATATAATTTATGGAAATTTACAGGGAATCAATTACTGTCTCAATCTAAAGAATGACTTACAGTGAAATACAAAATGATGCTCAGTGTTTTGGTGTACAGCACTGTGCGCACCCTACAGAATGGATTGGAGTGTGGTCCTACAGGGAGAAACTGGACAGATTTTGCACCGTGCCCATCGGATCTGTGTATGCTTGGACGCTGTGCCCACCTTAAAGAGTGGATCTGTGTCCACACGTCACATTGTATCAATGCCACCAAATACCTGTTTGAGTGAAGTAAAATACATTTTCCTAAAAAGTAAAGGTTTAGCACAACAAGAAAGAAGAGTGTTAACTCGGGCCGTGCTCTCTGGACACTCAATACCTTTTTTTTTTATGCTGAATATTTCAAAGTTGACCTATTTCTTTGTTTGTGCAAATTTCCTTCATATCTGGAGTATTCGTGTCAGGATTTACGGCCTGTGATTCAGTGCAGTCGCCTGTACAAGACAGAAATATAAATATCTGGTGGCCGCCCTATGCGTACAGATCTAGGAAGAGTGTACCGCTTGCCACATAAGTGACAGATTATGCGTGGCGGAGATTTGAAAAGGCCATGCAATGCTTCATTTTCGGCACACTCCGTTAACCCACTTCTTCAAACAGCCAGAAAACAGGGGGTAATCTACTTAACAGGTCCCTGCATTACAATCTGCCCAACTTCACAGGCCCCTTTGTGCCTTCACTAAGAAGATTGAACAATGTTGCATTTGGCTTTTATTTTTTTATTTAAAAAAAATAAAACACACACACACACACACAATTTTGGTTTGTTAAAAATGTAATTCCGAAAAGGTGTACACCCCGCAGCTTTTCACCAGTGCGAAATTAGTGGTTTAATTTGCAGAGCCGGCTGTCTGAGCAATGAATCCAGCTGGATGGGAGCTCACAGAGGACATAGCGTAGCTCTCAGACAGCAGATAAGGGCAGGGTGTCTCTGTAAGGTCTGTACAGACAGAGAACATTTCCACATAGTTAAAAGAAAAAAAAAAAGGAAGAAAAAAAACCTCAAAACATATAAGGGACTGCAATAACTCACAGAAATAGCAAGAAAATAAAGCTACAGGCCATAGGACAACATATATATCTATCTACATCTTTTAATTCACATTCTCATAGCATGTTCTAAAAGATTCCAGTCAAGATGCAATTCCCATTTCTACTACTGTTTTAGTATACAAATTCTGACCAACAGAACACACAGTTCTAGAGGAGAGATGGAGGCGTGAAAGGGAGGACTGAAAGCAGAGCCTTGTACAATGCTAGATTGTAAGCTCCTTGGGGAAGTGGAACGGAACACTAATTTGGAAGGCCTCGAGTAGCATTGCAATAAAGCCCCTGGTGGAAGTGCAGTTTATGAGCTGTGAGAGAAAAGCTACCATGACAAGCAGATAAATCCTGCCCCAGTAATGAAAACAGCGATTTCTGACACCAGTCTCCCATAAATCTGCTTTATGAGGTCATTTAGAAGCTGGCAGCGATTTGCAATTCAAAGTAATTCGGAGGGAGTTTGGGATTCGGTGCCAGATGAAGAGATTTTATTAGGGGAAAAATTCCACATACGGGAAGGAAGGTTCTGGGGTAATCAAGCACCCACTCCTACCCCTGGCAGCTCTGCAGCAACCGAGACATTCTGGAGAAGAGCGCCCACCACTGGCAGCTCTACAGTACTGGAACCCCCAGGCAAAGAGAGGATCTTGGGTAATAAGTATTTATTCCCACTCCAAGCAGCTCATCATCTACCACAGCCTCAGTGCAGATCTCATCCGAAACCACTGAGCTGCTAAAATCTCCCCCTGTAAGTGAGGATGGTTTTATATATTATATATAAAAAATAGATATATACACACAGATTTTTTTAAATGAAAGGCCAATATTAACCCATACTAGATGCACCTACACATTCTTCAAGCTTTTACTCTTTAAACCATACAACACATATATAGGTCTATAGACAAAGATGCCACACTATATGTCTAGTCCCCAAGCTGTACTGTAAGACTAAAATATCCAAAAAGGATTCATGTCCCAGGGAAGGGGGGATACGTGCCCCCCCCCCCCCCAAGACACTTTGTCGAGGCTGTCAAGAGTCCAGCTGGTGCATGGAGGGCCAGCCCTTTTAAGCACTGGCCCAGAGAGGTTGCTTCATGATCACCTGGTAGAGAGATCAAAGATCTCCTTTAACTGCCAGGCCGCCTGGTAACAGGGATAAGAGGAGAATCAAGGGCTAAACCACGTTCTCTGCTACTTTTACAGAACAAACAGAATTACTCTACCCAGCGTTGGCCTGTAGGAACGGTCTACACCCACTGGGATAGCATACGAAGTAAGATAAGAAGTATCTCCCACCATACCACCAGATAAGGATACACCCTCCCTGGCCCACGGTAAGCCTCAGGGATAGGAGAATAAACGTTAACGTATTTCTTTTTTCTATTATTTCCCTTGAACTCTTAACACCCCCCACCCACCTAAATAACAGGTCCTGTCTGCCCACGATTAGGTTCGGAATCTGCCCCTTTAAGGTCTATGACTAAAATATTATTCCCCAAGCCTCCAACACAATGGTTGATCACAAAGGTATGTAGCATGATTAAAATCCCTTCCCAAATCCAGCAGGAGCATCACGATAGTCCTAAATCACCACCTGTCCACCATTGTTGGATTTATAAAAAATAAAAAAAAAACACACACACACACACACGGGCTAGGATATCGACTCCCAAAACAAACTGCAGGAGTAGTAATGTTTCCCTCAAACCCACTTGTAGCATTAGTAGAATAATTCCCACACTAGGTTTGCACATTGACTTGAACATGCTACATGCATAAACATTATCAAAGCATTTTCCCTCATTTCCATAAATAGGGACAAGCTAAAATATGTGTTAAAATATTCAATTTCTGGCATTTCTTATGAATAAAGTATTAGGGGATTTTATCTTTACACTATTCTCAAACATCAAAGCTGTAAAGTTAAGGTGCCAGGCAACCCAACTTAGCCGAAGAGCAAAAGAGCCATCGACCTTTCAAGTCACTGCTTTGATGTGTCGCTGAATAAAATCACTTTTTTTAAAATGCCCCACAGAGCTTTTTTTTTTTTTCCCTCTTACAAATAATTCTGTTCTGGTAAGAGAAGGGAAGTCTTTATAAAAAGTCTTAAAATAAAATAAATTTTAAAAAAATAAAAGCACAGCAACATTAACAGCTACCCCTGCAAGGAGAGAGGGAGAAATCCAATATTTTAGGAAAACAGGATTATTATACCCAAGGCTTCAAAATTAACAGTTCTTTAAATATTTCTTTATGCAGCCTATCGGATCTCGCTCATACAAGTTGTCAAAGAGGTGGATTTAACTCTAAAATGATGAACCAAAGAGACCAATACACTACGCGATCACTGTGTGTTTGGTGGGTAAGCTCCCAAGGATCGACATAGACTAACCGTGTAGTAGTGCACCCTTCAATGAAGAGCTGTTAATTCAAACAATAGTGATGTGGGACATCATTATTTGAATTCACTGCTCTTCATTAATAGCTGCACCATTATATATTTAATTTCTTTTTTTATATGTATTCCGAGACCGATTCATTCCCATTTAATACAACATACATGCGTTAAGCCTAGTCAGCGTTACACTATGTACATTTTGGGTGTTTCAACAAAATAGGTTTGTAATTTTTAACGTTCCACCATTTTCTTTTTTTATAAGCGCTTGGTTTACACATTTCTATGTTTTTCCAGGTTGGGATCACGCCTCATATCAAGCAAGGCATGGGAAGAGCAATCACTATAACGATTAGCAATAAAGAGGTTTGATAAAGGGGAAATCGAGACAATATGAAATCCTGCTCCACACGACCCTATGACAACACCTACGCCACATTCAGAGCATTGTCCATCTTGATACAACCCTAGATAATAATGTACATCCTACACATCCTCCCCCATTTTCGAAATCCTGCTTGGCGCCCACCCACACAACCCTAGCCATCAATAAATTCACATGCTTCTGTCAGGCAATAAACATGCTTTAAATGCATAGACTGAATATACTTTATATATGTACAGATAAGGCATAGCAGAAAATTCTAATTTATACAGGAAATAAATAAAATATATATCCCTGTGATCTTCAAGAATCCTCGTTTACATAAAAAAAAAAAAAACATGTGAGGATCAGGTCATGCTTTATTAGGAGAAAATCTGAATAGATGTAGCAATATAGTGTAAAAGAATGGTAATTATCTCGTATCAATGGCGGATAATGCGCACTGCTCCAAACGAAGTGTAAATAATTACAATTAGCTAACTAAATGAAGTATTAATGGCACGTTACCTGCGTGTTCTCTTGGAGTTAGTACCCAGAACACGTACAACAGGCACTGCCGAGATATTACCACCCTGTCCACCTCCCCCACACCAAACAAACCAATCAGGATTTGAGGGTCGGTTAGACCTATTTATGTAGAATGGACAAGATGATCTTTTAGAGTTTTTTAGACTAATCCTCGGGCAAACTGGGTACTAGCTTACCCTAAAGACATACAATGATCTCTTTGATGGGGAGAAGTCATTGCTAAAACCAATGTATCCTACAATCTATGTAACAATTTATTAGAGTTCCATGTTGAAATCTATCCCAACCAATGATGAAATCACGAGGGGCTATATTAAAGTGGATTTGGAAAAAGAACTATAGGTCACGGCTTGGTTACTTTAGAATCAATTTTGCCATTCTGATTTCAATTCCATACAATATACCTCAAAATCTCTCCAGAAATCTAAACAAACTCCAAATTCCCAAAAATGTAGTCAATGGGTTAACCATAGAGAATATGCTGTTGTGCACTACGAAATACACAGTGTACAAATGTTTGTTTATGTAAACATATGTATTTTGCTTTCTACAATTTTTAATTTAATAATACTAAATTCATGTTGTAAAATCTATAAATAAAAAAAAGAATTTCAATAAAAAAAATGTAAAAAGAAAACACAGTGTATATAACCAAAGCGAGTTTCTTTCCTTTTTTTTTTTTTTTAAAATAGCTGCAATGGAAGAAAAAAAATATGTCAATTCAAATTAAAATGATTTTCTCCAATTGCATATTTATCAGAGAAAGCAACACCATTATCCTATCAGACATATCCTGCTATTCCCTTCAGACACCAGCTCTAAAAATATATATTTGTGCAGAGTCTTTAAAACTAGGGAATCTCATAATTTAGATAATAAGTTAGAAGATTCTTTTTAAAGAGGAGATCCATTGGAGACCCTCTCCTTTGTTGACGCCATGTCCCGGAGACCCCTTTAACTTATACTTGAACTTATGTGATATGGTCTGAGTTAGTTATTTTCCTTTGATATCAATCTGTTTCATGTTATTCAGAATATAAGTTCAGGGGCACGGGGTCACATTACACCCCTAAACTATAGTGTCACAAAACTGTAAACTCCTTGTAGCAGACCATCCCATTATGGTACTAGATTGTAAGCTCCCAGGACAAGGAATCTCTGGAAGAAATGAATTCTTAAAACATATATAGAATTCCTGTATAAGCAGACCATTGCGGATACGTAAACTATTCTACAGATTTTCCTAGTAATAAACTAGCTGCCCGGGCGACATCTGCGTCCATGTTCGGTCGTCTAACAGCATATCAGAATCCTAGAAGGAGGTGAATCAGCCTCAATTCACATTTCATCGCAATGACTGCTGCCCTGTAAAGCGTCTGCGCCAGAGAGGATCATTGGTTAAATAATGTGTTTACCAAGCTCAAACAGTGCTTCCTTCCTGTAATTTACCGCTGCTGATCAGACTCACAATCCATTAAGATTCTTTCAGTGTGATTTATCTGTTACTGCTGGCCGAGATGCGGGGCAGAACATGCAGGAAATATTACATTGTGATATGAGCACCTGTCAGCGTGACCTTCCGATCTTTACACGGTGACAGAGCTTGTTAGAGGCAATGATAAAGAGGCAGGTTGGCAGTAAACACCGAGAGAGGGTAGAGGTGGTGGGTACAGCTCAACATGCCTTTAACTGGTTAAAAACTAAATAGGATGCCAGCAAGTGGTAAATCCTGAAATAATTGCAAGATAAAGGGCACGGTGGAGCGTCTCCCTGGCATACGAACAGGTGAATATATCCTGTGAGCTATTGGAGCGTAGGTGGTGCATGCAGAGCGAGATCTGGTCAGTAGGTGGTGCATGCAGAGCGAGGTTTGGTCAGTAGGTGGTGCATGCAGAGCGAGGTTTGGTCAGTAGGTGGTGCATGCAGAGTGAGGTTTGGTCAGTAGGTGGTGCATGCAGAGTGAGGTTTGGTCAGTAGGTGGTGCATGCAGAGTGAGGTTTGGTCAGTAGGTGGTGCATGCAGAGCGAGGTTTGGTCAGTAGGTGGTGCATGCAGAGCGAGGTTTGGTCAGTAGGTGGTGCATGCAGAGTGAGGTTTGGTCAGTAGGTGGTGCATGCAGAGTGAGGTTTGGTCAGTAGGTGGTGCATGCAGAGTGAGGTTTGGTCAGTAGGTGGTGCATGCAGAGTAAGGTTTGGTCAGTAGGTGGTACATGCCGAGCGAGGTTTGGTCAGTAGGTGGTGCATGCAGAGTAAGGTTTGGTCAGTAGGTGGTACATGCCGAGCGAGGTTTGGTCAGTAAATGGGGCATATTGGTTTCTGTTCGGGAAGACCTGTGCTTGCTTGCCATGTACACATCTGGTCCAATCTTGGTGGCTGTTTCTAGGTGGGCTGGCATGCCAATAAGCAGGTGGTGCACAATGGTTGCTATCCCAACATCAGTGGTAGTTTAGGTTAAAAAAAGGTGAAAAGTGTCACGTGGTTTAAGTCTGCCAGCCATGTTATGCATGAATTATCTATGAGAATGATCAAATGTCCTAAGAAACTAGGGACACCAAGACTGCTGTATGTATGTCTTGGTAACTGGATTCAGGACTGACTGCTGTCCAATGCTTATAAGATGTAACTATGCTTGGCCCACCACTCCTGTGTCAGGGACAACATTCCTACGGTCTCCAGGCCAATACCATACATAGCAATTCTGCCCTCCATAACCCCACCTTGTGCTTAAAACACGGCGCTTACAACATGTTTAGAGAAGCACACGCACCCAGAGACAGACAAGCATTTGGTTGTGAAGCTTAGATCAGTCCATTAGAGCTGTACGCGTCACGTTTGCTCCCTCTCCCTTTCTGCAGCTGTCATAAAAATTTAAAGCAACAGGGCTTGGCTGTTCCATTTGATGCACTCAAAGAACAGAGGAGTCTTAAATTAGCAACACGTCCGCCTAGCACTGCACAGGGCCCTGCTGGATCTGCCTACCCTTCCTGTATTTAGTGCAAGGGCCAGTGGGCAAGGTGAAACATTCAGTATGCCTGCTATCCCGAGTATCCGTCCTGTTTAGCACTCAGTACCAGCCCAGCGTCTGGACCTCAGTCCTGCTAGGAGCACCTAATTGGTTGCATTCTGGAAAAACACACAAATAAATGTTTTAAAGGAATGGCACTAACGATGCGGACTACATGGCAAACGTTATATATAGAACGTTGCCATTGCTAGGCTTATACGAGTCACACATCAGTCTACAGTTGTGGATCTCCACCATCTGCTCATTGTCACAGTTTATTAAAGGGCAACTCACCGGTCCAGAACCACTGGGAACAGAAGGAAAAGCTATTTTGGATATGCAAGGATGCTCTCCAGGTTAAGGGCACATCAAAGAAAGAGCAATGCATTAAGGTCATTTACAAGATCACTCACTGGTTTCAACAATTTTAACCCCTGTGAGACAGATGAGGTTAGAATTTTGATGGGATTTGCTTAGCCTCTTATCTTGAAAGGGGGGTTAAGAGGCCCATGTTTTTATTTTGTTTTATTTTACCAGTAATAATATATACCCCAAACAGAATATTCCCCCAAAAACTGTGAAAAAGCAAGAATGTTCTGCATTTAAAAACGCCCATCTCAAAAACAGTGTTGTACCAGAAGACAAAGCTGGGGGAAGGATGGACGGACGTACGACATGGCCTCTGTCCATAAAAACTACAATCTGCCGGACATGTGAATTTCTAAAACCACCACAGAAAGAGCCGATAACTGGTAAATACACAGGATAGGCATGGTTTCACAGCAGAAGGATTGCTGGAGGCAGCAGTAGCTCATTTTAAGGACATTACATTAAGCAGTCAAGCTTTTTGAGCCAGAGCGTATTTTGGTGCAGAAACTGACTAGCTAATGGGGCGTTTCTAAGCAATCCTCAATCACGGAGGCACGTTGCCTTTAAGCAGCAAACAGGAGACACTCCACATGTTCTGCTTGACTGGCTTTGTAGGACAAACTCTTCTATGTCACACCTTTGATTTGCTGTCACTACAGACCTTCTGCAGCTCCAGCACAGTCTGTTACTGCGTTAGAGACCCTGCAACACAGAAGGCAAAGGCAATATAATCACCCCCCGATATAACGGCTGTGTAACGCTATCACTATCACAGGTTATATAATCACCCCCCAATAGGAAGGCTGTTATATAATCACCCCCCCGATATAATGGCTGTGTAACGCTAAACGCTATCACAGGTTATATAATCACCCCCCTACATAACGGCTGTGTAACGCTATCACAGGGAATAATACCCCCCTGACATAAAGGCAGTGTAACACTATCACAGGGTATATAATCACCTCCCCCGACATAACAGCAGTGTAACACTATCACAGGGTATATAATCACCCCCCGACATAACGGCTGTGTAACGCTATCACTATCACAGGTTATATAATCACCCCCCAATAGGAAGGCTGTTATATAATCACCCCCGATATAATGGCTGTGTAATGCTAAACGCTATTACTGAGTATATAATCACCCCCCGACATAACGTATGTGTAACGCTATCACAGAGTATATAATAACCCCCTACATAACGCTATGTAGCTATCACAGGGTATATAATCACCCCCAATATAAGCAGTGTAACACTATCACAGGGTATATAATCACCCCCCGATATAAAGCAGTGTAACACTATCACAGGGTATATAATCGCCCCCTCCCCCGATATAACGGCTGTGTAACGCTATCACAGGGTATATAATCACCCCCACGACATAACGGCTGTGTAACGCGATCACAAGGTATATAATCACCCCTCCCCGATATAACACAGTGTAACACTATCACAGGTTATATAATCACCCCCCGATATAACGCAGTGTAACGCTATCACAGGTTATATAATAACTGCCCCCCGACATAACGGCTGTGTAACGCTATCACAGGGTATATAATCACCCCCCCGATATAAGGGCTGTGTAACGCTATCACAGGGTTTATAATCAACCCCGATATAAGGGCTGTGTAATGCTATCACAGGGTTTATAATTACCACCAATAGAAGGGCTGTGTAACGCTATCTCAGGGTTTATAATTACCCCAATAGAAGGGCTGTGTAACGCTATCACAGGGTTTATAATTGCCCCCAACAGAAGGGCTGTGTAACACTATCACAGGGTATATGATCTCAGATGGACTGTATAGCAAGGTACAAAATCGCCCCATGATACAGGGGCTCTGACAGGCTTTCGCAGGATATTCAAATATCAGGTGCTGGCTACATGTGGCCTGGTGGGGGCAACTGCAAATAGCCTAATTTGAGACAAAAACAGCATATTCCACTCCCTTTCTTACATTTCTAATAAGAGTTCTAGAACAATACTGAAAGAATTAGTGGGCAATAAGTGAACACAATTACAATTTACTATTGTGATGTGAGGAAGCAGTCTACAATCCTCCCTGTACTAGTTTCCTGGGGGGAAACTGCCTCCCTGCCCGTCACATATTGGGCTTAGTATATAGTCCGTAACATGGATCCCCTTGGAGGGTAGAAGATGAATAAATTACTGGTTGTTTTCCCACCGTCCATGATAGTTAGGGGTGGCTTAGAAGGTTATTATTCACTGTGCTGGTCTTGTGTCTGGAAGGCGAGCAGACTGTGACTTCACCCACTGAAAGGCTTACAGTAACAAATATCCAATGCCTGCCTAGAGAAATACTCTTCAGCCTGACGAGAAATGGCATGGCAATTATTTTTAAACAGTTTTACTTGGATAAAGAAAGTTGTTCTGTTCACGCTATTGACAGTTCCTGGCCCGTTCTAATCTTTTTAAAAGCCGACCATAGGGGATCTGTTAACAAGATCGATGTTGTTCTAAATTGGGTTTTAATTAAACAATCAATCTACGTCCACTTACTCAATTAGTGGCCCCAATGATATTCAAACGTCACAAAACATTCTCAACTCCACATACAGGAGCTGGAGGTAGGAGGGGGGGGAGACTGCACAATGTGTCCGAGAATCTCAGTATCACTGACCCTAATCTTGTTCTATCTGTGGAGACATCTCACACTTCACCAGACCCTCCCACCCATCTATCAATAGACATATCTAATCCTAAAATTACCTCTCAATGCCTGTGTCAACTTAGTTTAGAGCACGAATCCCCATCTTCAAGCTGCCCTTACCATTACTCGATTAGGCCTGACATGTGGTAATTAACTTGTCAAGAGTTCTGAGTACGTTTCATCATAAAAATATTTAATAACAGTGTATACCATTAATTATCCCTTGTTTCTTTAAATATTTTGTATCTCATTGTGCTCGTATTACATTTTATTCCATAAGTAATGTAGGAGGGGCGGAAGGTTAAGGTGGTATAGGTGTGGAATGTTAAGTGTCCTAGTATCACTGGTCACATGTTAAAATTAGAGAATACTTTTACCTTAAAATATCTTAATATCATAATATGCTTCATGTGACCAGCACTGCCATTAAATGGACATGCATCACTTAAACCAGCAAGCAAGCACTTTTAAACGAATATACAAACCAAAATAAAGCAAGAAACACTCTAAAAAAAGTCTAAGTGTAATAAATGTTTACAAAATTTGTATATACTTGGTCAAATTGCACAGTTGGACCCGCCTCTCAAGGGAGTTTCTTCAGCCTCCCCTACCACTTTCCTGCCCATCTCAGTTGCAAATCCCCCAACTAATGACAGAAATAGGGAATAGTGTGCGGTAGCAGGAGAGAGAAACTGGACCCCGGAGCCTACACTGCATGATCACACTGCTCAGACTCCATCTTCTCCCTGTGTCAGATGTTGCAAGGTGAATAGATCTTCCACTTGCACATCTGTAAATCTGACAGGCATGCCCAATGCACTTTACCAGCATTCCTAGGGATAGGACACGGATTGGTTAGATCAGTGCCCCCCTGGAGTGAGTGTAGAAAACATTTAGAAAAAGCAGGCAAATATGAAAAAAACATATATCTCTTACTTAACTCCTTAAGGACCAAACTTCTGGAATAAAACGGAATCATGACTTGTCACACAGGTCATGTGTCCTTAAGGACCACTATAGTGACAGGAAAACAAACTTGTTTTCCTGACACTATATAGTCCTTAGGTCCACCCCACCCTCATGGCCCCTGTCCCGCTGGGCTGAAGGGGTTAAAACCCCTTCAGCCACTTATCTTAATCCAGCGCCGGGCTCCTTTGGTGCTGGTGACCTCTCCTCCCCCTCCGATGTCAGCTCCCGAGTGGAGCCGAATGCGCATGCACGGCCAGAGCCGTGCGCGCATTCAAACCACCCATAGGAAAGCATTACTCAATTACTCATCCTATGAACGTTCTTCCTGACAGCCACTAGAGGCTGGATTAACCCTGCAATGTAAACATAGCAGTTTTACAGCTGCAGGGTTAAAACCTGGGGAACTGGCACCCAGACCACTTCATTGAGTTGAAGTGGTCTGGGTGACTATAGTGGTCCCTTAACTTTTTCTCACCCTGCAGAGTGAAGCAACTCTATTATTCAAAGCGATTTATTTTGAATGAGACAGTTGTCTCAAAGTGATGCATGTTCCTTTAATATTGGATTGTTTTATATTTTACGTATAACACTGAAATTTCTAATCAACTGTAATTCCCTCCCACACTTTGATATTTCTTGTCAAAAGACAGAACATGTATTTGTGGACCCTAATCAGTAGATCTTGATTCCATTGAAATGTAAGACTATCTGCACAGGGTAATGCACCCCATAATCATGATCGTAAAGATGCCCACTGCATGGGTTTACAAGACCTGGGCCTAAACTTTTGGGTGACAGCCACCAGTTGAAAGTTTCCAACAAACAGAAAGACTGGGCAACAATTGCACTTTGTAATAATCCATGAATTGTCTCTTATTCAGCTCAACCTGAAGGCAAAGACATACCTGAGAGAGTCCATCTACCCTGGCCAACCTTTTCATGTTTAATTAACTGGCGAGGACTTGATGTACAGACAATGTAATAAAAGCTGAGCCTGACATCTGAATGCCATGTGAAAGACTCACATGCCATCTCTGAACTCATGAATGTAGACACATAGAGCTTCTAGACTTCTTGGCTCTGATATTAGACTTGTCTATTGTTTTGCTGGTAACCTTAATGTCTTCCACTATTGGTAGAAATCCATATATAGGTATACTTCGATATTTCAACAATCCATGCCAGAAGCATCATGTACCAGAAAAAGAATGGAACGATGCAGGTCTAGCATGACGCTTTCAAGCTCATCTATTAGATTTGCTACTCTCTATAACTGAATATGCATTTAATCTAGTGATTGGGGGGGACCCAGACTTTTCCCACTGTCCCCATCTCCAGCATCTCCCATAATGTACCGGCAATACACACTAATCTCAACAGCACTGCAGGGTTTATGGGAAACAAATCAACTCTGCTGACCAATAGCACTAACATATTTCATTGAACTGTACAGAGTGCTTTTTTGCTTATTTCCAACAAACACACTGATGCCCGAGTACCTTACACAGACTGTCCACAGTCTGTCATGATAGGTGACCAGACCTTTAGTACTTAAAGGGGCAACGTAAGCAGCAAACCAATTTTAGCTTTATGAAGTGGTTTTTGTATACAGATCATGCTCCTGCAGTCTCACTGCTCAATTCTCTGCTATTTAGGCGTTAAAACACTTTGTTTATGTAGCCCTAGCCACACCTCCTCTGCATGTGACTAATACAACGTCCCTACACATTTCCTGTAAAGAGACATAACATTTTAAAATTTCATTTATTGCAAGGAGTGTTGAATTTAGAAAAATTATGATCTCCTGCTCTGTTAATAGCCTGGTAGAGCCTTGCAGTAGCTTCCTGTGTGTGACTAACATTGAATTAAAGGACCACTCTAGGCACCCAGACCACTTCAGCTTAATGAAGTGGTCTGGGTGCCAGGTCCAGCTAGGGTTAACCCATTTTTTTTTTTATAAACAAAGTTTCAGAGAAACTGCTATGTTTATAAAATGTGTTAATCCATCCCTCAAATCCTCTAGTGGCTGTCTCATTGACAGCCGCTAGAGGCGCTTGCGTGATTCTCACTGTGAAAATCACAGTGAGAACACGCAAGTGTCCGTAGGAAAGCATTGTAAATGCTTTCCTATGATACCGGCTGAATGCGCACGCAGCTCTTGCCGCGCGTGCGCATTCAGCCGAAAGGGAGGAGAGGAGGCGGAAAGGAGGAGGAGAGCTCCCCACCCGGCGCTGGAGAAAAGGTACGTTTTAACCCCTTTCCTCTCCCCAGAGCCCGGTGGGAGGGGGTCCCTGAGGGTGGGGGCACCCTCAGGGCACTATAGTGCCAGGAAAACGAGTATGTTTTCCTGGCACTATAGTGGTCCTTTAATAGAACAAATCCATTAGAACTTCTAAAGTAAACACACTGTGCTTTAAGATCTGAAAGATTTGAAAATGGAAAAAAAATTTGTAGCTACCGCTGCATAAACTGAAACAAACGTGATTTCTCCCCTAAATGGCAGATAATTTTTCAGTAACACTGCAGGAGCATGATCTGTACACTAAAATTGGTTGATTTGGTGCTTAACATCTTCCTTTAAATCACCCTGACTTGCACGATTATAAAGTTTGTGCGCTTTTCTACTTTATTTTGCACCCAATACTTTCATTCCTTGATAGAGAGATTACACCTTTTTTCCCTTTAAGTCAGGTTGTTTTTTTTTTTTTTTTAATGCAAATTGGTAAAAAAAAAAATAATAATAAAAAAAAAAAAAAAAATAGCTTGTGTGTCGTTTGAAGGTTTAATTAGGTTGAAGCCTTAGAGAGCAATCCTTTAGGACTTTGCTGAGTTATTTCAACAACAGGATTTTTCCGACTTTGTGATTTAAAGAGATTCACTCACTCATCTAAGTGCTCTGTGCCTGCTACCCCCTCCTAACTAGCAGCCCCCCTGTGATGTTACAGTCCCATTATTACCTCAAAGCGCTACACATGAAACCCAGGATAACATTTTGTTAGGACAACTGTAAATATTTATCTACGTCTGAGCTTGCAAGCAACATATTACAGATAATCAGACAGTAATACACACGGATGTAGATATTGTATATGGAAGGGTAGTTAATTGATTCCCGCAAAAAAGTATCTTCACACAAAAGCTAATGAGCCTTAAAAAAGGACCATAACATGTTACTAATAGAAAGGAAAAAAACAAACCTATTTTAAAACCACAACATATCAAGAAACAAGAATGTCTGATGTTTGGAAATATTCAGATTTTTACATTCTCTTTTTTTTAAGCATTTAAAAAGTTTATCCAAAAATATTAAATCATTTGAAAAGCTTACCCAAAATATTACATTGATGCCAAAATCTTTAAAGGAGAATACCATTAATTTCCCCCAGTGTCAGCCATAACCATCCAAGATAATTGTGATATTTGGCAAATCCGTTACATCTAAGTCTATCATTGTTCAACTTCAGAGAAACATGTCCTAGCTGCACAAAAACACTTTTTCCCCCAAACAGACACTTCAAGAAAAATTCATAATTTTGTATTTCAATTTCATGAAATGAACAGATATGCATTATGCAAAATAGGGCATACTTTGTGTTGTGTTCAAGACCACTGATAGAAAAAAAAAAAAAAATGCAGACCTTTGAGAAATGGTAAGATGCAGCAAGAAGACGTTGTCACTCAAAGACTGTTGAAAGACACCATGTTCTTGCTTGACACATAGTACATAGCTATCGTTTGTCATTGCACATATGCACAGAGATCTGAGGAGGATCCCATGGTCTTCTCCATAGATCCCCATTATTGCACACTCGTGTATGCTCTTTAACCGGCTGAAGTGGAGGACGCGACAAAGTCATCCCCGAAGACAGAATGTATAGCTCCCTTCCCAGTTCTCAGCCAATGTACCACCACGGCAAACATTCACGTAACCTAGGAACTACACACATCCACTCCTGTAGATAGATCAATTCTCCATCCAGTCAACAGAACCCTTCTCTCCTGCTTTCACCACTTGAGTGCAAATATTCAGTAACATGAGCCCAGTGGGAGTGCAGGAGAGAGATGAGAACGCAAAAAAGACTATACCCATGGAACAATTACCACTAGAACTGTATATACTGCAAGGAGAATGATCAGAACAGGAAGCTATCCATCCACCAGGAGCATACCATGCCAACGAATGGCTTCTTTCCATTAGAAATGTGTACAAGTGGAGTTTAGGCTACCCAATTCACCACAACCCAAGCGTGCAAAAAGTATGACTGGTCCCCCAACAGTACATGTCTCCCAACCATAAATACCAGTATGCTCTTTCCTATTACCCAGCACAAGAGACCCATTTCCTCAGATCTGCTTAGTCTGACTTTGCCCCAGATCCACATCAGATGATAAACCAGTTTGGTAGATAAAAGGAGATACATCGATACATTTCTTCTTCCCAACACGATCCAGATCTGAACTTGGCCTCAGCACTGCTCCTCATTCACACTTACTGTCCTCTCAACCTCCCCCATTGCAAGAGTACATGGATCGATTTATCAATCAGAGAAGTGCTGAAAGACCCAGCAGCAGGAATAATTACTCAGCGCCTGTATTAACCAACGGGACGCACGAAGAATTAGCTGAGAGGTCATTTGTATTCTAGGCAAACAGCTGGAGAAATGAGAGCAATCTGAGACCCTGTTCCATTAACCCAGCCTCACCCATACAATAATATGAGAGGTTCCCCAGCACCTCTTCAATCACACTGCCCATTCATCTTCTTGGATTGCAGGCAGGACTTGTAAAAATAATTATAATAATATTAGTTTGTTATTTTCAGCTTTGTCTACCCCCCACCACCCCCACCATACTCAATGTTGCCAGTACAGTGGAATTGCTACATCAATAAATGATCATACTAGGCTTGCTGTAGAAAAACCTTCAGAGAGCTGTGTTTCAGCCCAACAGCTCAAATGTTTTGCAATCTCTAGAAACGCCATCGCTATGAACTCCCAGGGAGTTTATGGATAGTGTGCTTAGTGCTGCCTACAAAATGAATAAATGCATATTCTGCTTTTATAGGATAACTGTCACTTTTCTGGAAATTGCAACATTCAATACAACATTGATCATACCTTATAACTTGTACCTTTTACCATGTGATACTGTGGTGGAGTATTTTGTTCATGCTACTAACTGGTGTAGGACTCAACAATCAGGGAAGAGATCTCTAACCTCTATACCTCCCCTTCCAATACATCACCCAACCCCACTCACTCCACTGTTCTATGCTCATTCGCACCTTCTACAGCGGAAGATGTTTCTGCTCTGCTCCGGTCCCACCACCTATTCCCTCGATCCTATTCACTCATATCTCATCCGCACCTTGTCTCCCTCTCATTAAAATTTTCAATTTCTCCCTTTCCTCTGGCACATTTCTTTCACCCTTTAAGCATGCAACTGTAACCCCAATTCTGAAAAAGCCCAACCTTGTCCCCAACTCCCCAATATCACTACTGCCGTTTGCTTCCAAGATCCTTGAGAGAGTTGTGTATGTGAGATTGACAGACTTTCTCGAATCCAACTCTCTGCTTGACTCGCTTCAGTCTGGATTCCACGCTCGTCACTCTGTTGAAACAGCTGTGACCAAAGTATCCAACGATTTAATCGCTGCTAAACCTTGCGGCCATTACTCTATCCTAATTCTCCTTGATCTTTCTGCTGCCTTTGACACTGTTGATCATCAACTGCTTCTTCTCATTCTCCGGAATCTCGGTCTACGAGATACTGCTCTCTCTTGGTGCTCCTCCTACCTCTCCCAGAGCTTTTTCAGTGTTTATTTCTCTGCCTCTTCTCCCCAACACTTCTCGGTTGGCGTTCCCCAAGGTGCTGTCCTTGGTCCCCTACTGTTCTCCATCTATACTGCCTCCCTTGGTAAACTCATCAGCTCCTTTGGCTTCCATTATCATTTATATGCAGATGACACACAAATCTACCTGTCCTCTCCTGATCTCTCCCCGCCAATATTGACTTGTGTCTCTGACTGCCTCTCCACGATTTCCAACTGGATGGCTGCTCACTTCCTTGAACTCAACCTGTCCAAAACAGAACTTTTGGTCTTTCTTCCCTCAAGTGTTGCTACTTCCGTGTCTCCCTCCCTATTTTAACCAGTATTTTTTTTTAATTTTTTTTTAAAATTTGGTATATAAAATTCTTAACAATTTAGATTATAAACTCATTAAATGACTGAATTTCTAGAGGAGGTATAATATAGCAAACCTAATTATACACGGATTTGGGCAGTAGGGGGTGAGACTGCAGAATAGGCATGTCAGTGGTGTGTTCTTGGCATGCTGAGAGTTTTACCATCACACAAAGTGGAATATCTGAGCATGCACATCAGTGACAGTCGTCTGGTCAACAAGGAATAGCACATATGCAGAGCACTTGCACAGGTGTTTTTTGTAGGAGTTCCTTTGATTTCATTATAGAAACACTATAGCTTTAAGAATATAAATGTGTTTTCCTAATGCTATAGTGCCCTAGTCACCGTTTTTGTGAGTGGGCCCACTAGTACAAGGGTTAAAATGGTGAGTATATTTATTTACTTTTTCAACTCATAGCGCTGGTCTCCGACCTACAGCTCCGCCTCTTTGGCCGAGTTCATCGAGATGATCTCAGCCAATCCAATGCTTTCCCATAGTAAAGAGCACATGCCAAGTAGAGGGTCTCTATGATTGAAACGGTCAGTATGACAGCCACTAAAGGGAATTTAACCCTGCAATGAAAAGATTTCCGATTCTGCAGAAAGTCAATACTTTCACCTTTCAATCATTTTCTTTTAAAATTTATATTACAGATTTAAGTATGCCTTCTTGGTGTTGACTGCCAAGTGCAAAGGAAAGGGCTTATAACAATGGCTGACAGGTGGCTAAGATGGGGGCACCCCGTTGATGTGGATTTCTAAAAATCATTTTATTTTTCACATGTCCCAAACATCTTTGTTAAATGAAGAGAATAAGTAAACCTACTAAAAACCCAGGGAAGTGACAGTTGCCCTTTAAGAAAAAACGTATCCTCAATCTCTTCTTTTCAACTAAAGCTCAGTGATGGAGGTGCATAGCCCTTCAGCTAAAAAAGTACAATAGACAAATTCTGAATAAATTATAGGACGAAGAAAAAAAAAATATATACTTGTGAGACAGCTGTGCCACTCAGTATAGAAATTGTATTTAATTATGGTTATTGAATTTTGCTTTATAGTAGGCATTTTGGCTATAGTACATTGCAGCTCTGCAATGCCCTGTACGAGGAGTTATCTGTACTGCACAAAAACCATAATGATAGAAGTAAACATTTCAGTTTGTGCCCTGTTGGTTCTTATATATAATGGCCATTCTGACATCTTTATTCAAACGGTACAGACGCAGAGACAGAAATAGAACCAGGTGCTTCAGTCAGTCAGAGAGATAGTGCTGTGTGTCTATTGCTCTGTACACTGTATGGGGGGTGTATGGTGTACAGTAATAAAGCTTAAGACCTTTTTCAGAAGTTCAAGCTTATTACTAGTAACTTTTATGAAGATGCACAATGCCAAAAAAAAAAAAAAACCTAAGAAATATCAGGTAGACAGCAAATCTTGACTTCTGCTGTGATGGAATTTGGCGGAAATGAATCCCATTTATTCACCCTGCCTTGTGTCAGCAGTACGGGCTGCTGGTGGTGAGTATTGGGCTGGGGAGTTTTCTCGGAATGCACGGGGTTCTGTGAAAACAACCGAGTACCATGTGAGTGAAAACCAGTTGTTGTTGTTGCAGAGTGTAAGCATTGCTTTACAGCCACCATCTACTCAACTTTAAAATAAATGCATGTGTCAACTCAATTCGCTTCTTCGTGTACACAACAGTGACTGGTTTGCTCCAAATTCCAGCACGTACACAGATTTAAAATAGAAAAAAAATGGGGTAAAATGCACTCCTCCTATTTTTACTGCATACACTAGAGATATACTGTATAAGAAAGTTGTTAACCTTCCAGCGGAGCTTTCACTTGCCTACTAGACAGTGGCAAGTGGAAATTCAGCCCTGGTGAGTGTGCAAGGACCTCCTCTCTGACTATGAGGATCTTCAGAACGATTTGCAAGTGGTGCTCCCTTCTTTGTCTCCCGCTTACCAGGCAGTGCCAGGTAGGAAAAAATCTTTGTCCTGGTAGTGAGTAGGGCTGTATGATGTTTTTTGCTCTGCAAGGATTAAATAACAAAGCACGGAACCAGCAGTTTAAACTTTGCATAGAGTCTATAAAATCGGCTATTCAGATACTAGCAAGCAGTGAACATTGACACCATGCAGGGAGTACTTCATGGGCGGTCACATATAAATTTACATGGGGAAGAGATCTCTCTCCTAAATGGAAAAAAAAATGTAAGTGCTAATCAATATCAGGTTGACTTATTCCCCATACTTAAATATATGTGTTTGTGGGGCATGAAAAATAAATTTAAAATGTAAAAATTGGCATTGTTGTATTTACCAATACTCTGGAAGAACAGTTAAAGGGACACTCCAGATCCCTGAAGCACTTTAGATTGCAGAATAGCTTTGTGTGTGAAGAAGGTGTAATTTTTTTAAAATTTTGCAGAAAGTGCAGATTTCAATCGAAATTGACACTTTTATAAAGTAACCTGGTTACACCCCCTTGGCCTTCAAGCAGGCACTAGGTTCTGCTAGCTCAGTGGAGCTAAACTCGAGAGGTAGTAATTGCTCAGAGCATCTGCCTTGCAAAGACTTCTCATTGGAGTTGCATTTGGAAATCTGTGATTGGGCAGCCACAGAAAGCCTGGACGGTGCTAGAAGGGGAGGGTTTTTAAAGGCTTCATAAAAAAAAATCTGCAGGTATTGCAGGCTGGTTTTAGTTATCCCCCCAATGAGAAAATGCATAATTAAATGCATGCATTTTTTATTTGGGGTACATCTACTAAACAGTGTTTTTATTTACTTTGCATTTGGGCAGTAGAGTGTCCCTATAATTGAAAAATCTGGGAGAACTAAAATCCCTAAAGAATCTTCCCAGAACCTTGTTAAGTCCATGCTATGAAGAATTGCTACTTTGGAGGTAAAAGGGGCCCCCCTACTAGTACTTGGTAACTGTACCTAACAAAGCAGCAACTGAAGTGTTTATATGTATTTAGAGGGGGGAAAAAATAAATAAATTACCAAGTATATAAAACAAATTCTACAATGCTCCGTCATAGGCTATTATTAAGGTAAGCTTGTATTCTTTGCCATTATATGGTAACTCCAACTCGTCCAAAATGAACACAAAGCACCAGAGGGGATAAATTGCTCTCTTTTGATACACAGATGTTTTGAATTCCAGGAACGCCGAGCGCAATGAATGGACCAGTCTGAAGGGCCTTTTTAAGAGTGTTCTTGATGTGCAGTCATTTAAAGGGAAATGATAATAAAAGCCCATCTTGCCTTGAAGCTGGAAGAAAGGGGCTGAAAGCAGCCAGTGACTGATAACTTCAGCTGAACAGAAAGGATCGCCTCCCCCTTCCCGCATCATTATTTTCACAGGACGCCGGATTAACGGAGTACGATTTTACGCTGGAGCAAAGAATAGATTTAGGACGCACCCCAAAATAAAACCTTCCTTTCAATTTTAGTTTCATAAACTCATGGATCCTGCTGGGAGAGTCTTGTGGATCGCGGCACTCTGCGAATATCTAGGTCATGGCAGATTAACATGGCTGCGGGGCGGGCAGAGCCTCACAGGCCTACTGAATTTTTCAATAATTATAAAGACGGAATAATACAATCTCACAAGATTTTACATCAGAACAAACATTTTTTTTTTAAAAAGTGTGCATTCCCCTCATCTCTACAACAGGTGTTTAGAGCTACAACATTTAAAGGACTTCTACAATTCTAGAAGCGTAAAAATGATAGAGGTAAGAATGTATTACGTCTAAACTCTGAACTGGAAAAGTACAATCTGATTGGCAGAGAGTCATATTTACCAGCTGTAATATATCCAAAATAGAAAAACACCTTTCTAACTGAATGAGATTTTATTCAACAGATAAACTATCACAGTTATTTGATTTCACTAAAATGGTAGTGAATTAAAAGCCGAATGGCTAAAATTTGATCAGCAGTGTTTGAGAATTAATCCAAACCAGGTATGTTTGCTTAAATGTTTCCACCTGGATTTCAATTCAAAGTTTAGTGAATAACGTGTCCTAATTATTCACAGAATTTGGTACGGACTGAAACACAAATTTTAGCCCAAAATATCACTACACAGCGGAATATATTGGAACTTTATAAATAATTATAAAAACACCCTGCCTGAAAAAATGTTGCAGGTTCTGCTGCCATGGTCTAAATATTTGAAATGCACTTTTTAGTAAATAACCACTCCACAGCAATTTATAAATATGTATATTCTAGGCTGAAAATACCCATTTAAATCATTTCTACCAGTGATCTGACTATAAGAAGTCTTCAATTGGAGAATAATTTTATTTGTGGCTCAAGTTTATTATTGTTTTGGTAATAAAGAAACGATAGCTAGAAGACTCTCGATCAAACTTCTCCCTCTCTTTACAAATTACTTATTCAATGTTTATCACTATAAATTGGCATTTATTAACCCCACAGCAGATTTTCAAGAGTAAAGTATTTAACCGTAAAAACTGGAACATTTTATATGCAACCATTGGGGCCTCAAGCTCCCTGGAGGAGCCCCCATACCCTCCTAGGTGACAATACTAATAGGGTGCCCCTAATCCCCCGGGTGAGTGTTAACAGGGGTGGCTGACAAGCTTGTGAAAAGGTTTAAGAAACAATCCTTTTTTGGGAGCAAAAAGTATCCAGCAGTCTTTCCGCTATTAGCCCTGAACTTGCTGGCTGTACAAAGGTCCCAACCGATCATTAATGTTTCACTAAGCTCTGTTCTTGAATGGGGTTTATTGAGACAGGGAGGCCAGGAGGTGTTCCCACCTCATTCTGCACAGGATTCTGTAAGAATTTTTCTTCCACTTTGCTTAACTGGGTAACATTCAAAACTAACCTTCCCGAACACCAACACTGAATCCCACAATTCCTCTGGAGGGCATGAAATTTCTCTATTGAGAGGTAGGATCTTGTGCTAATGTACCCCATGCCGAGCAATTTACCTAAATCCGTCTCGGTTCCCACCCTTTAGGTCTCTGGGGGCAGTGGCAATCTGCGTGGGAATCTGTGAGGACAGGCTGTTTTCACAGACAAATCATGCTCTCTTCAAGGCGAATGAACACAGCCCGCCGGACAGGAAGCACTGTCACGTGATGGAACTAGGATGCCAGTTCCCATCACTCAGTAACTCCTAAACCAGAATTTTACACAATAAGGATATGATGGATCCAGTAAGGAATATGGCCTCCAACAAGGTCTACCAATCCCCTAAATGGAATAGAATATTTTATCCTTATTGTACGACTTCTACTTTACATTACCGCAAAACATATTTTCTATAAAATCTCTTTGCACTACAGGCTCATTCTTAATGATATTGAAAATTCTACAATTAAAGATCATTATACAACAGTCACATACCCACGTGTGTCTGCACAGCCCAGTCACAAACACTCACGCAGTAATTCCAGGCTGCCATGGTACTCCCAACTTCATCCACACAGGGCTACTCCAGGCCCTGGTACATGCATCCATTTACACAGAGAACAACCCCAGGCCACGGTAGATCCATCTACATACGCATAGACTAACACCTGGCCATGGAACGAACCCCCCCACCCCACCAGTGTTAAACTGTTTTTAATGCAAAATAAAATCATTAGCCTGAGCAGCAACTGGTGGCTGTGACTGAATGGGAGTGTCAGCTGACCTCTTGCAGGCGCAGCCTATCAGAACGCCCATTGCTGGTATGACGGAGTATGGCTAAAAGCAAGTGTTTAATCTCTTCCTCAGTCATACCCCCAGTATGAGCCAGGGACCCTTATTTAGTGTTAAATGGCTTAACAATAAATGGAAGGATAGAATCAGGGGACTCCAGCCACTATAACCAATTCAATGAGAAAAAATTGTTATAGTGAGTACACTGTCCCTTTAATGATACAGTAACTATCTCTTTAATATATTTTTACAGACTACATTACTCTAATAGAGTGTAGCCTATCAAAATCCCCATCATGGGATCTCATACAGAAACATAGTACTTTAAAAAAACTGCCTTACAAACTTGGCTCAAAAAACACTATTTAGGTTTTATCCTTACTAGCCAACCATGCAGCAGCATCCTATACCCAAAAACAGACGTCTGCTGTGTTTCACGATTGTATTTAAACTAAACGTTCTCTCCCGTGTCACCTTCCTACCATTAAGCCAATGTCAAGTTTGAACCCTCCAAACATTGCACTCTAAAAACATTGTTAAATGAAATTAATCTAATCCAATCTGCACTGCTTCCTCTTCCTACAGGTTATTCATATCCCTTTGGTCTGCATGATTAGTGTATCTTATATAAAGTAAAAGTTGCTATATACATTGTATACACTGATGTGGACCATAGATTACAGATTACCATGAGACTGCAGTTGTTAGCACCTCCACTACCTCAAGGTCTACGTGGATTCTCCCCTCCAATAACGCAGTATCTGGTGGCCAACAATAATGCACAACGAGGCTCCCAGCCATGGGACACTGACCGGATCAGGCATGCATATTGTGTGTGCTAGATGCTATTGAATGAGTGACAGGGGAAATTATCGAGAAATGGGCTCTATGCATAATAGATTTATTGTAGGTTTTACATACATTTTGGGTGCAATGGGGTGCTCTTACATATACTGGGTGTGGGTGCTGGAAACGATTGGGTCTGACGTGGGAGCTATGCGTGTCTTATGGGCGTACTTATTACTGCTATTAATCCACACGAATGCAAAGTGTTATATGGGTGTCATGGACACTGTGTTACATGTACAGTGAGGGCAAGTGGTGGGTGACAAGTGGTACAGGTTATCTGGATCCAAGAAACGTGCATGAAATTCTGAAGAACAGCATTCCATAGATATAAACGGCGCAGTAAATCAGAAAAACGGCTTCTGATAGAACAAAATTGGCCCATCTAGTTATTAAAAAGCTACAGAATAGCCATATACACATACCAAGCATTCTTACATGCCTTTACTGTGCGAGCCATTCTTACCTACAGGTATTAACTATTACAGCATACATAAAATATCATCATATATTGAGCTCACTCAACCTTTAAGAGATGTAAATATTAATATGTACACTTCCAGCCGAGTTCGCTCAGGTTTAGTGAATTATAAATACTTGTTTGCATTAGAAAGGCAGTGTCAGAGGACACCACGTGCACCTTTCCATGGCTGAGCTCTTTCCCTGGTGACTCCAGGAGCCCCTTCACGGTTTAACCGAGGCTCTTATCTCCGGCTTCACCCTGTCCCCAGTGACACAATTATATATAACAGCCGCAGAACTAGATCACAAGCCAGGAGATGGATAGTAACTGGGAACAGGCACAGCTGCTTCAGAGAGACCACAAAGCGTGCTTTTACTTCTGAGAGCTGTGCGAGCTTCACATTTATCTAAATAACGCGTGTAGACAGCGACAGGAGAGCGTGCGCCTACTACTGAGAGCTGTGCAAGCTTTCCATTATCTTAATAACGCGTGCACCCAGCGACAGGAGAGCGTGCGTTTACAACCGATAGCTGTGCAAGCCTCAAAATGTATTCAAATAATGCGTGTACAAACCAGCAGGGCTACATGGGAATGTGCTTTGAACCAAAATGTGTACTCCTATTTATTTATATAAGGAATGCATTCATTGCCTGGAAGAAGAGAATACCGATTTTACCACTGACACCAGGACCATTCAATTATACGATTGCTGGAGAACACTCAGTACCCAGTGAATGTTAATGCCACCAATTCTCAAATAATTGTTTTCAGAGCCTATGGTCAGATTGATGCAGATCCAGGAATCCCAAATACCCTGTTGAGAATGCACAGGATGTGAACAACAATGAGAAGTGACTGGCACTATGATGATCAGTAAAGAGTTGCTAACTGAGTTAATTATTTGTAGTTACCCCCTTAGACCAAATGATCCAGCCCCCCCTTGCACTTTCAGAACACAAAGCAAGTAAGGATCAGCTAGAACATACTGGTGCATGACTCCAACGCCCATCCCCCATGACTCCTACTTAATATTATTATTGGTATTTATATAGCGCCAAATTATTCCGCAGCGCCAATACTATGAAAGGACAAAATTTTACAATAAATGAGACATTTACAAAATGATGCAGGAACAATAGGTAGATGAGGACCCTGCCCAAATGAGATTACAGTCTAGAGTCAATGCCGGTTGCAAATGTGGCTAATATGTCCAATCTAATCTACATATTAGCCCCTCCTGGATTCAAATGAATGATTGAAACGAACGCTGACTGAAATACTAGCTAGACAAATATTTCTAGGGAGGCAACAAACTGTTAGGAGAGTACAAGAACCACTTTCTTTACTAGAGGGGTGAGTGTTCAGGATTAAATAGAAAAAAAAATGTAAAAAAAGATTGCTGTGGTTTGAGCCTTTTAAGGTTGGTGTCTTCATCAAGAATAATATTTGTATCCCGTTGTACAGCGCTACGGAATCTGATGGCGCTATATAAATAATATTCCACACATACACACGAAAAAAAATAAAGGAGAAAAAAAAAAGAAAAAACAAAAACAAAACACACACCCATGCCCTTTTCCACTATTACACCAATAACATTTGAACAAGATACAATGTAGGGTTTCTCATTAAAGTGTGAATTATGGAGGAATAACAGTGAAACTGCAATTTTGAAGCCAATAAATCCAGCCTGGAAAGTAGGTGAGAGAAGAAATTTGGCTCAACATTAACAAACCCATTGTCAAATTCTCCTAACTAACTTAGATATTGCCTTAAGTAGCAGTTCATTTCTATAATAAACAAATTAAAATATAAAAACAACGGACGTGTTGGATAACAGTTTATAGATAATAGGTGGTGTAGAAGGAGAGGACTGGAGGGGAGATATTTTGTTTTAAGTTTTTCTGAATGTATTAATATACAGTATTAGTATTGGAAAATGTACTATTGTGTATTGTTTTCTGTATGAAAAATAAAAAGGAATAAAACATGAATGTCAAAATCCTTCTAGTTCCCAGTTTAAAGAATAACCCCAAGTAATTCTGAAATACTATGGAAGGCCAGACCCATGCTAGAGACAACTGTGTTTCTGTCTTTACCCCCAAGGGGCCTATAGTCACAGGACAGGCTCCAGCTGGTCTCAGGTCACAACCTGGCCAGTGAATTACTCTGACTAAATAACATCACAGGGAAGAAGATATCTTGGCCAGAAGGAATAGGCCCATCACCATGAGGACAGGATAATCACACACATTGACTGGATCAGCCCAAGGGGAAAAAAACTGTAAATGAGTAATTATAAAGACACACGTGTTATCTATATACCCGATAAAAGACTTCTAGCAGTCACAGGTCCCTCTGACCTCTCTCTCTGTACAGCCTAAGACTTAATTAACGTTCCGTTAACAAATAGGTGACCATCACAAGAAAATAGGCGTTGGGTAACAGAACCAGACTAAATCCTCCAGGTGGCAACAGAAGAGTGTCCAAAAGCTAGGCAGCAGCCCCCAGGATCAAAAACAAATTATATCTGAGGACCCAGGGAAGCGGTCTATATTAAGGTTTTGTGCCCGCAGTGACACACTCCACAGCCTTACTCCTGGGGCTCTTCAAACACCGTTGGCAAGAAATGAAATGGACAGAAACAGAACACACTGCACTCAGACACAATAACTGACACATCTGATAATGGACATTTACATCTCACAAACAAAACGCAGCCTTTTCTACAACAATAAATCTACACTACATGCAATTGTAGCCGTATAAATAGTAATTACACTGCAAGCGCCAATCGTTACACGAATTACACCATGTATCAGTCTGTGACCATTAATTTATGGTTCATGCATCAGTGTCTGTCTTACATACAGCCACCATTGTATAAATAAAGTTATACTACATGCAACAACCTCTCCATAGATTTATACAACACAGCCACCATTGTATAAATAAAGTTATACTACATGCAACTACCTCTCCATAGATTTATACACTCAGTCACCATTGTATAAATAAAGTTATACTACATGCAACGACCTCTCCATAGATTTATACACTCAGTCACCATTGTATAAATAAAGTTATACTACATGCAACAACCTCTCCATAGATTTAGACACTCAGTCGCCACTGCTCAGATCAAGTTATATTCGCTCCCATCTTGTGTATAGAGTTATAAAACATGGAGCCACCCATGGAAAAAAAATTTATACTACAACCATCTGAATGGCATAAAGTCATATTACACATAGCCACTGCTAGAGAATTAAAGTTATACCACACGCACCAGTTGCTGTATAAAGTTATACTACATTCAGCTACTACTTTATACATTAAGTTTACTAAACAGAGGCACTGCTATATAAATAAATGTATATGACATACAACCACCGCTATATATAGCTGTACATGGTGAAGCGGTTTCAGCATTAATATTGCTACATCCATCCCTCTCTGTACAGAAGATAAAATTCTAGGCATAGCTTTCAATGCACTGTAAGTTAAATTGCTCTGCAAGACAGTACTTTGCACAACATTCAGCTAGAGCCAATCTCAGTATAAAGTTACAATACACACAGCTGTGTACGTATAAATGTATTGCGCCATGCAGTTTCTGCATAAAGGCAGCCTACAAGCAGCCCTGTCTGTGAATGTACTCTGCATGTACAGGAGTATCTGTATAGGTATTACGCTACACAACATGTATAAAATGAAGTAGAGCGAGACACATCTCTGTTTAATGTTACAGCAGTCTTTTCCACGAATACTCTCACTATACGCTATACACGGTTGCACAACTAAAAGCAGCTGTCCGAGTAAACGTACACAAATCTTTCTATGTAGATATTACACAGCACAACGCCGAGTTACTACACACATCCATCGCTGTATACATTACATGCAGTAATCTTCATATACAGATATTCCTGCAGGTGTCATCACTGTCTAAAGAGAGTTAGACAGCAACCTGCCGTATACAACTACACAATATGCAGCGTGAAAAAAAAGTTACACATTCTACAAGTAGATAGAATATTACAATAATATGTAGCAGTAAATTCAAACGCAGATTTTATATAACAATCTAAGCAAACTTGGGTGCTTGTGTGATCAAACAAAATTGCAAAAGTAGCAATCAGAAATCTGGAAATCACTAAATATTTGCAAACAAGACTTCTTGCACATTTGGCAAATATAAACTGGGTGCCTATTATTTACTTCTGGCTCCACAGTTACATGTGATCCTGCTGTAAAGAAATGATAAAAAAAAAAAAAAAAATACACCCGATATGATGTCATAAAACCAAAACTACCAATAGACTGTATGTTTATCTGAGCAGCGTCCACATCTACTGATTGTTCCTGTATCATTTTATAATTGTCCCATTTATTGTTAAATTTCCCACCTCCATAATAGTGTAAAGCACTGCAGAATAAACTGGCGCTATATAAGTACCAATAATAATAATAATTACATTTTATTATGCCGTATAAATAAAGTTACACTGCGCACAGCTGTCCCTGTATAATTAAAGTTACACTGGGCGCTGTCTGCCCTGATTAAAGCATTACATTGCTTTATAAATAAAGTTACAAAGTGCGTGGCTTATACTGTTTAGGGGTACATTCTATGAAAAAAAATAAAAAATCACCAGGTATGATCAGTATATAAAATTACACATTACTCTGCTGTATTAGTAAAATTACAACATTCCAATATTAAATCTGATAGATTAATAGTTACACAGAGTACAGGTAGCGTATAGAGTTACATATTACTCGGATGTAGTACTCGGTAGTATATAAAGTTAGACTTTACTCGGCTGTATAAATAAAATAAAACTCGTGTATGAAGTTACACATGAATAAAACACAGCACTGATAATACAATTAGACATAAACTATATGGCATCATACTGGAGAAATAGTCCCACAGTGCTCTTCTAACACAGTATAAGTTATGTTACAATAAACTACCCTTGCAATAAGAAAAATCTGAGCAGAATTGTTACTGATGTAAAATGTAAGTCTTGGGCAGGATAAGGTTAGGAATGTCGCGCACTATAAGGGCCAAATGTTATTTTTCATTTTTGGTCAGTTTGGTTTTTTTTTTGGTTTTTTTATTAACCATCTCAGATTAAAAAAAAAAAAAAAAATTGTAAGTGGATTTCTCCCTTCAATCAATTTTCCTTACACCCAGTATCTGCTTGAATATGTTGATGACAAAACGCATAGATCCCACCAGCCTCTCAGAGTATGGAGTGTGTACATTATGAAGAATGGCGAATAAAACAATTCTTTCCTCTAGACAGGAACACCGCTTTGGCTTTGTGAAACCCCAAATCAAATATCTCCATAGAAGAAACCCTGGAAAATGAGCTTGCCGAGATCTGCGCTCTCCTAGGAAATAACCTGTCTGTGCCGAGATTTACTCCTGACACATCGATCCCTTGTTTCCCTGCAGGTCTTATATCCAGTGCTCAGCCACACAGCAACGTTAAAATACTCCCTTAAAAATCCTATAGAAATTTGTCGCGTTGAAAGCCTTTTTTTGCCCCGTTATCTCCAGTAGAATAAAAAGGACATTTTACGAGGTATCAACATGGCTTTACATTTACCCCAAAATGGAGCAGAACCAGGGCCATGCACCAAGTGCTAACACCACTGAGACTGCTCACTAATAGCACTGTTATGGTCTGTCCTATTAAAATAGAGGTGAAATTAAATCATAAAGGTTTTTTTTTTATGTAAACTGCCCCTTCTCATTAACAGTAAAATACATTTTATTTTAAATAATAGTGACAAGGAATGAATATATATTATGAGAAATAAAATGTTTTTCCATTTTATTTTGAAAGAATTACAGACACATTCTCTGTAATGTGTTTATTGGTTTCTAAAAGCTGGGCTTCATTCTCTACCCTTCATATCCCTATATCAGGTTGAGTCACAGATCTCCTGTTAGTGATTAAATGGAGAGTAAACTGCACATCCCCCAACTCACATGTCTGTCCTCGTACAGAAGCTATGTGAGGATCGGACTTTCAATCACATGCGCCCGAGTGGTGCTATGGTGGCATCACGCCAGCCGCTCTGGCCAACATATTGTTACCATCCAGATCCCTGAGGACAAGATTTATTCAATGGACCTTTTTCTATACTCTACCAGTCTCTACTGCTGAGACGGGACAATTGACAAACAGTGCATCTAATCACACAACAAGACATTTTAGAATCCAAGGATACAGGTTGAGAAAATAATAAGCATTACTAATAAGGATAACAAAATACCAGTTTGTCTAAAATAAAATGCGTAATTTTCCATTATAATAAAAAAACATATCTACAAGTAAAATAATAGTAAAATATGGAAAAGGTATTCAAGTATGATCGGGAGAGGTTCATTGAAGTAAGACCCCAGAGATAATGGGCGGTATAAAGCAGACATTTTACGCTTTGGAGTGCCACCATGTAATGTGTGATCCTGCGCAATGGGAGGAACCATAGAACAAATTACAATCTCCTTCATAAAGGGAAGTACCAACAGTTACGTGCACGCCTACTGGGCTCCTGCGCAAGGGATGGTACAAGGGAGTGTTATTGCCCTGCTGTAGAAGGTGGGCTGAGTGTTGACACAACGTTGTGGCGACAGCATCCTCCTGTTACAAAGATATGAACAGGTGCACTGTAAAATCCTCACCAGAAGAACGCCAACAGCATTATTTCACGAAATGGTGCAGTCGTAAACAAGGGGACAATTTTTTTTAATTTTTTTTTAAAAAGGACGGGAAGCACATTTATCTCCCAAATTTTGCCACCACCTCTTATTATGAAATAGAAGTATCGAATGTTACTATGCATAACAAAAATTAACAAAAATACTAAATCTGGCTAATTGTCAAAAAGACAAGTCTGAACAAGTGACAGATTTATACATAATTTATAGTAGTTATCAAAAACAGGAGAGATTCAGTATTTTACAAGAACAGACATGAAGCATCTCTCAAAGCATGCTATCTCAGCACCCCAAGCACATAAGGAGATCCCAGTAAATGTTCTTCCATTCCATCTCTGCACGGAGGTACAGCTGGTCCTTTTTAATTCCGTTTCCCTAGGGAATCCAGTAATGAAAAAACCCGGCTAAGTGATTCTTGATACATACAGGACATGCTGGCAATAAAACGAATTGCACGGTATGCTAGGATAATGACACCCAGGAAGGGGGGTACACGTCCCGCCATGCTGCGGATGTTAAACTCCTGATTATTACACGGAAAACGAAGAATGATAAATGTAGCTTGTGCAAGTACAGATGTTCCACATGCACCCGGACACGTTCTGCAGATGCCCCGTATTAAATTCAGATACCTAATTAATAACCACAATTCCTCTGTGCCAGCCCCAGGCTGATGTGTGATTTATCTCGGTGTAAGGCTAGATTTTGACTTCACAGGGTACTCTACCCAGCAGATTAGATGAGGCGAGGAATTTCTCACGACACAGCCAATTCACTAGTAACTTTACAACATCTGATGGCAGCTAAGGCCGCGATGAAAAACACACGGGTGTATAATCTGACAGACGGCTGGGGGTGTCACAAGACGTGTTATACTAATACTCAGTGTGTAGAATAATACAGAACGAAGGGCCCCTCGCTGCAAAGTCATGAATATGCAGTCTCATTCCTGCGTACTTGTATGTCACTTTGATTTACACCAAGATAGCTTATGCATCCCTCCATGTTTAAATGGGCGCTCTATGTTATAGCTACAACAGCCCCTCACCACACAAGGACATATGTTTTTGGTATTAGCTGACACACCAGCGTATGTATGCTTCTTTTAAGGCATACCCCCTCTGCTGGCGAGGCAGTAGGGCATATGTATCACAAAAGTGACACACTGAGGCGAATGTTATCCCCCCAAAGAGAGTGACGCTCTAGGTCATATGCCCCCAACTGGTGACCCTTGGTCTTACTCTCACATCAATGACATTCTAGGCATGTGTGCCCCCACTATCACCATGGTAGGGCATGTGCATGCTCCTTGCTGTCAGTACACTAAAATATGTGTGCGCCCCCTACTGTCACTATGCTAGAATGCACAACAAGAACAACTCACTGTGACTGTCACAACTTGCACACACCAGCCCACTGCAGCATGATTACTATATCTGACATCTCAGCTGACTTCAATGAAGCAGAAATAAACGACCCCATCTTGTACAGTTGATCTAATAATTTCAGTCTAAAATAAAATGTTAAAAATCAGACTATAAAAACAAATAAAAATACTACTCATTGCATTTCTCAGACACATTTAACTCCACATTTTCAAATCACACTGATGTGCAGCCCTGATGCCTCTGGCTTTGTAGTCAAACACTCAAATAAATCCAGACCTGTCTGCTCCGCAAAAACAGGCACTTTGCTCTGCAGCACCCCCACACAATGTTCTGCACTAAGAACCTTGATTTAAAACAGAGAAGGCTCTGCAAATTCACTGAATTTACACTGCAGTTATCCAATTAATCACAGTACAGGCTGATCTGCACTCACATTTAAACAGGACCACATTTATTCTTACATTTAAACAAATCTTAACACTGCTCCACATAAAATCTCTTTCAATAGCTCCCTCAGCAGACCTCTGTTTTCTATAAAACACTCCCCTCAAATCAAATCATTTCAGAGCAGCCTACAAAAAAAATATTATAAAAAAAAACAGACAAACCGCTTTCAATAGCTCACCCCTTTATAAAACACACAAACTCTTTTACAATTCTACTCCCCAATATACAAATCTCATTCAAAGCAGCCCTCACTAGAAAAATAAGCAAACTGCTTTCAGCACAGCCTCAATAAAGAAACATTCTGCAAAGTGATTCCATGTAAATGCAGCTCTAGCATAGCAGCCCCCATTAAACACAGCTCTTGCCCTGTTACCCCCTCCTCCAAAGTAACCACAGCTCCTATTACCCTCTCTTGCCCTGATACCCCCCTTCAGTCCCAGCTCTTGCCCCTGTACCCCCCTCCAGTCCCAGCTCTTGCCCCTGTACCCCCCTCCAGTCCCAGATTTTGCCCAGTTACCCCCTCCAGTCCCAGCTCTTGCCCAGTTGGCCACCCTCCAGTCCCCAGATCTTGCCCAGTTAGCTCACACCCTCCAGTCCCAGATCTGCCCCTGCACCCCCCTTTCCCAGTCCCAGCTCTTGCCCCTGTACCCCCTCCAGTCCCAGATTTTGCCTAGCTACCCTCCAGTCCCAGCGCTCTTGCCCAGTTACCACCCTCCAGCGTCCTGCATCTGCCTGTTGCTCACCTCCAGTCCTGTGATCTTGCCCCTGTACCCCTTCAGTCCTGCAGCTCTTGCCCCTGTACCTCCAGTCCCCAGCTTCTTGCCCTCTCTGTACCTCTTCAGTCCCAGCCTTCTTGCCCTGTACTCTCCCAGTCCTGTGCTTCTGCCCCCTGTACTTCCAGCCTCTAGTAGATTTTGCCCAGTTACCCCCCTCCAGTCCCAGATTTTGCCCAGTTACCTCCGCTCCAGTCCCTGATTTTGCCCAGTTACCCCCCCCTCCAGTCCCTGATTTTGCCCAGTTACCCCCCGGTCCGGACTCACTGGTAGTTGGAGCTGTTCCAGTGCACGGCATGCCGGTTGGCTCCGGTCCCCGGGAGCAGGGAAAGCAGAGGGAGCAGCAGTGATAACAGAGCCATCCTGGAAACTGCACCGAGCACCTACTGACTGAGCAGAGCGCACGGCTCGGCCACGCCCACTGCCCGCCCACCACACTCAATCACTGCCACCGACCGAGCCCGGGCTCCGATAGGACACGCCCACACACAGCAGGCTCCGCCCATTAACTACAGAAAGCGTCGACACCGAGCGGGAGCGCGCGGCCAGGCCACGCCCAAAGCTGGTTCCGCGTGCACATACATACAGGCACCTGTACACTACCTCC